AGTTCTCACATTCTGAAGTATGGCCATTGGGTCAAGCTGACGGTTGCTACTTGATTAGGTATGCCTACGACTGAGGGTTCCTATGGCTGCCAGTATTGGTAGATTCAATCATCAGTTTGTTCTGAATAAAGCGATGGCAAAGCTCGAAGAAACCTGAACAAGCAAATCGGCACCTCAATGCTCTGTTCGCAATAGGAAAGATGGTAATAAAACTGCTGACTCGCTCGCACTTGAAAGGCGCGATGTGGCCATGATTCAGTTCAATCCGCACAGGGTCGGATCTTCGTGCAAACTGGAGGTACGCTCAGCTAAGTTGGCTCGTAGAGCCATCGAGTACGCGTACATATTTCCTAATGTAGCATTGTGCATCAATCCTGTCGCAAATGATGGTCAATTTCGAGACTGGTACTTCTGTTGGGTATCTGAGAGAATCGCATTATCGAGCAGTTGAAACTTGAGGATACTCGATAGATAGGGCAAAGCTCGATGCCAATAAGGTTCCAGTTAAAAGTTAAGGCCAAGGCTGCCAGGGCGAACTGCAGACGGGCCCAGAATGCCCACATCATGCAATGACAGGGAGCTTGGGCTGTCTTAAAAACAAGGATACGGCTCCCACCACGATCTAGGTCAGCCGGTTGCCGCCCGGTTCATTGCCACGGAGTCTCCGTCTGCCAACTTCTTAAGTTCTTAGATTAGGAATCGTAAAAAGAACCGAGTTCCAGGAAAATCCACTCGGTCGAGGCCTGGCACAAGCACCCCTAGCTTTCCGTACTTTGTACACGCGGATCAACAGAGGTTTGTGCGCGTCTGATCAGTCGAAAGCAAGCGGGCCACCTCTATTGCATGCCGTCCGCAAGCACCTCATATAGGAAGTGACCAGGATGCCAGAGAAGCACCAGACCAGAATCCAGGCCCAGTTGTCAAGACCCAAAGCGGCTAGCCGAGCAGGTGACTGAAGCTGTATGCATTGTCAGCACCATTAGTGCGAGGAGGCGCCCACTATCGAGCCGGAGGTGACGAGGTGTGGTCGCACGGTTCCTCGGCCATGGCCATATTAATGCTCCGTATTGATTGAAGTGGGACTTACCCTAGATGTTCCGGGAGCACGCATGGATTGGTGTGACGCTGCTTACTCTTTCGTCACCAATCTTCCGTCACCAGTCGTATCTAGGGTAGTGGCGCCGTCTGAAACATTGCAGCGAGATCACTGTGCAAGGACAGGGCATTGGCAGAAGTTTGCCGTTGCTCTTGAGTCTTGGGTAATACTTAGATCGAGCGCGGTTAGCGAAAACACTATGATGCGGGCGGTTGAGAAAGGAAAGACTCAGCGAGGCCCGTCTCGAATGGGCTCGCATTTCCTTGATCAATCGAGTCATTCATAAGTGTACGACTCTAGGTGACATTGGTGCACGGGTGATACTGGGGCCCAAATGGAGGCAGGATCCCGGGCGTCAATACTAAGTCGTACAAAGGACATGGAAGCCTTGGATGTTCGATATCAGGATTCATAGCACAACGCATGGATGATCCTCTCGGCGTCTGAAGAGTTCATCATGCACTTGCTTGTGGTGGTCAACCGTCAGGCTGGAAGTCTGATGGTCCATGGTCCGTGCAGCAAAGCGGCAGGTGCAACCCCGCGGCCTTTTTTGTTTGCACCTCTTCTAGCATCTACGTAGTCTACTCCGTACCTGACGTGGGTTTTCACCGATTTTTCGCATGAATAAGTTTTGTGACGATAACATAGAGGTTGACTGGGTATTTGCTGTTTCTATTTTTTCCTGAGACTCCTGCCCCACCAACATGTCATTGCTTCGCTGGCTGAAGAAACTTTGCCTCACTGTGGCTGATGTGTTGTCCTACGCAGCGTGGCGGTGCGTCCTCGCCCTCCGACTCCTCCACATGTCTTCTTCCTGCCAGAGGCAGTGCAGTCCAGGGTCATCGCTGATCCCCTTCGAGTTTCGACAACCGACCAGTGTCAAGGAATGTCGGTCCGATCAAGGCAAGGACTGGAAGGAAGAAACTGGGAATATTCCCTCGTTTGTCCCGTCTGTGTGCATACTTTGCCTCGTGACTCACTGATGCTCTCCACAACCTGACAGCAATCCACATGTATCGACCCAAGCGGCTGGGGCCCCTGGGCCGCTGGGCGCGTGCTGATACACAACTTCGGCATTGTTTTTAACATCGCTCCATCTGACCTCATGTTGCGGCACTCAATCCTTCTGCCTATTCGTGCCGTGCTCGTTGAGGCTTGAGCTGCGGCTTGCGCCGGACACGGCTTCTCGTGATCTCTTTGTCGTTGAAGCCGACTTACCTTGGATACGCTGAACGCTCATCCAGTCGCCCAGTCGCGGGTTTGCCACCGGTCTTCCATCTGTATCTCCTACCTATGATTACGACTTCCACGTTGGCTTCAGGAGATCACGGGGCTTTTTGGCTGGGGAAGAGGAGAATCCTTCCAATGATTACCCCAGCATGTCTCCATCGGCATTTGTTGCATGCGCATCTTGAAAAGGGGAACTGCGACGTGCATGGATATGAAGCAATCCCTAGCAACGCCAAAAAAGACGCATGGTTGCTGAGGAGAGCCGACAAAGTCCTCTCAGAGGTCCTCGTCTTTCTTATTTACATTTCTGATACTCTACCCTGCAGCCTGTTGGTGCTTACTCGACGTAACGCCCCAGTATTGGCAGTAACAAAATTACAAGTGCGTCCAGCCTTCGACGAAGATTCCTTTTCCAGAAAGGCTGGAGATGACCATGGACGAGACTTCATCCAATGGGTGATCATAGCAGGGGTATCGGAGGTAGCGTGGTAGCCGGCCTCTTTTGATCTCAGCGAATGAGCAGCCAGAAGCGGCATCTTGTCGTCTTTCATGGACATTTAGCTCAAGACAATGACGGATACCGTGGGTCCCTTGCCCTTTTCTCCGGTTGGGGTCCCTTGCTTCTTTTCCTCTCGGAGCCATCATCTTTGCTCTGAACCGTTTCATTCTTGCCGGGGCCGAAGCCGCCGAACCTTCTTTGGGAGTTCTCAGAAGTTTCAGGAGATGAGGACATCCTCATCTGGACATTCGTACATCTTATCTCAACCAGTGAGCCCGTGTTAAAGCTACACATGGGTCTCGTTGGTAGAGGGACCGGATACCTGGCGGTACCCTTACTTTCCTCCAGCGAAGCTCGTACAAGCCGGACGCATATACAAATATGGACTCTTCGTGTGCTGCAAGGCATCTGATTAGTGCCCTGAGCTCTCCTTGCGATACTCCAATCTTGAAGATGGAGACTTGAGTTTATCGAGTCCGACGCCATCCGAGTCCTTTGTGCAGTAGTGACTTGCATCTACCCCTGGTAGGAGTAAGACCGTTAGAGGTGAACCATGGACCGCTCGGGTTGGCAGGATCTATAGATCTATACAGCAAGTATATCCGGATAACTTGCCCGCTGTTTTGCGACATCCAGTCAGCAAATTTCAAGCCAGGAACTCGTTTGATCTTGCTTCCTGCAGTGCAATACTTCGTAATGCTTGCAGTTGATAGCCGGGAGTACCTCGGACTCGAAGCCTGCTGTGGAAAACTAGCCCACAATTGAAGCAACCTTAGTCAAGTCTCAAGAACACTGCCAGCTGAATATGCCCCACAGTGGTGGCAAATCGGGAAAGGCCATCAATTAGATCGAGGGAATTATGCCCTATTTCCGAATCGCGTTAGCAACCTGGAAAACCTTTCAGATTTCTAACATCGGATGATCGTCACGATGCAAAGTGGGGTGGGTGAAGGCAACGGTAGAGTTCTATTTCTGTGCTTTGCAGCTTTACAGACTATGGTGCTCTCTAAACTACGGCATGCTCTTGAGCGTCGTAGTATGGATTCACCTGCTTTAACCATAAGCACCGTACTTTGGGATTCCTACCAAAAAGGAAAATGTAAATCCAGAAATGGACGTATCTACTCTGGCATCCACAACCACGAGTCTGACCAAGTGGATCAACGGGGCTTAGCCCGTCGAGAGCGCCGACATCATTCAATTCCGTTTCACCACCTGAAGTTACTCTGCATCCACAATAATGAACTTCTCAGAGGTCAAAGCAGGGCACCCAGGTCAACGCTGTGACACTGACACTTTGTAATTTGTATAGGACTCCAAGGTCTGATCCGAAACCCCCCGAATCAGTCCGCGCAAGCCCAGCGATCTAGACGCTCTGGTTGAACCTTCTTGATCTGTTCTATAGATGTTTGTATGTAAAGACGTATCGACGATACGATAGAGATCCTACGGGTAGAAGGCTCTCCACCGCGATGACCATTCTGGACACCTGCAGCTGTTAACGCTCAGCAGAAACACGCAGCTGAGATCGCACGCCCGGCGAATCCGACATACCAAACCTGACTTGTTCCGTACGATCGGCTCACTGGCCTGCGCAAAAGTCGCCGTTACTCACTTAAAGGGCATGGATCTATGCGCGAGGTTGGGTTGATGAAACATAGACTTAATAATATAGTTGGAAGACTGGTTCTTGCTGAAAAAAAATAATTATTCCTCGTTTTCGAGTCCAGTCCGATTACATATACTTCGCAGGGGTTGTTTGCTGCAATTGCCCCTCCCCGCTGACTGCCCGGCCTCTCTGACTCTTGACTTTTTCCCTCTTCTCTCTTCTTCTCCATCATCGGCCTTTTCTCTTCTTCCCTCCTTTTCGGCCCTCTGGCCTTCTTCTTTCCTTTATACGCTTCGTTCTTTTCTTCTCCAACTATTTTTTCTTTTCTACTATACACTGACTTCCGTCGCGCACGCTCGCCCACATCCTAATCCAACCACGTACCCACTTATACGAGATTGTCTTGAATCCATCCTTGACCTCTTTTCAGCGGAAATAGGAAACTACCGTGGCCGTGGGATCACCGGAAAGACAAACTCGCTGTGGGCGACTGCTGCTGGATGAACGTTTTATGCTATTGACCAACTGCTACTTTACACTCCTTCGGACGTCTCATCACTGGAACAATGCCAACCGTCTTACTACCATCTTCGGCCGCTGCCTTTGCGCCGCGGTCCTCGCCGAACGTGGTGCTGAACTCTCGGATCGAACCATGGCTCACCGCGACCCTGAAACGAGTCAACCGGGTGAAGCGACCTTTGAATAACGTGGCCCAGCATACGCGGTGTCTAACCGAAACTCTTTCGTCGCCGAACGCCATCTGGAATCTCTGCTCGCTGATGTTGCCCAAGGTTCCGGAGTCGGAGCTGCGGAAGGACGACAACCCTCTAGTAGAGGCCATATTCAACTACCAGATGATTCACATCGAAGCATACGTGGTGCATGTTGATATGGTATCTCAGAACGAGGTCGCGTTCAAACTCACGCCCGAGACGATAGAGGCCCTCGTCGAACACCACAAAGATGTCTACTCGATCGACGCCGCCGCCAGTACTTGGGACTGGGCTGAGAAGGATGGTCAGGTGAAGAAGCTACAGGAGGAGTTCGTCCAGGCAGCCAACAAATTTGTTTACCGCACCAGCGCTCAGGCTCTTGAGGGGCTAGAGGAAGATGGTGCGGGTGAGCTGCTTGGTGGTAGGAGTGAGGATGCGAAGGGTGCAATCTCTGCTCTATTCGTTCCCCTACTCCCGCCGCCTCCTCGTGTGGTTGATGTCCTTCGCTCGACACCGTTGCTTCCCAGCTCGACCGGACCCGAGACGTGGTGGCATGACCCGATGCAACAGCCGGTAACGATGGACTCATGGAAGGTGCTGCCATCCAGCCCAGCGCCCGTCACAACTGGAGATGTAAACTCGAGTATGTGGGCCGGGCTGGGTGCAATGCCTGAAATGCAGATGGCCTCCGCGGCCCCTTCGACAGCGGCCTACACGCAAGCCTACACCACCACGCCTTACACCACCCTGCAGTATTACAGCGCCGCGGCCACGTCGGCCGCCCTTGCAGCGCTCCCGCTTCCGAGTATGCTCGTCCAGCCCTGTAGCACAGCGGCAAACATGACGGGCTTTGGATGGGGCGACCGCTACCAGGACTTTGCTGCCCTGCCGTACGGCACTACGATGTAATGGATTCAAGTCCTAGACACTTGATGTTGACGTCCCTGACTTCGCGTGTCTTTGGATTAGATCCCAGGGTCCTTACCGACAGAGCCACGACTGGTCATCAGTCTACCTTCAGCACCACCCGAATCCGAGATTACACCCACGAGAACAACAGGGACAAGGTCCCCCACGGAACCAGACCACAGAATAATCGGCATCAGTGACGGCGTTTTCCATGATTTGATTTCAACCCGATGATACTCCACTTCGCCTTGCATTTTGAATCCAGAACATAATCTTCTGTCGTTTGCTCTTTTTTATTGATTTTGATTCCAGCCAGCCTGAGCGTTTTATTTCTTTTTTGCATCGAGCAGCAGCGGCGGGACGGCTATCTGTCTTTTTTTTGTTATTTTCCATCCCACATATATGTCATCAAGACTGGTGAGCCTCGCGGCTAGGGATATGACTTGGATGAGAAACGTTTACCACACTCTTTGGGTTCATTTCTTCCATGTCAGCGGTTATCTGGCGCCATTGGTTCTGAGAACCGATTGCCGTTTTCCTGCTGAACATCTGCTTCTTCTGATACGGGTATCAGGCTGGAATCCGAGTGCGGATTGGGAGGGATGCGAACATGGGGCTGCGATACATCCCATCTGAGATGGGTATGGACGCAGATTGCAACTGGCAGCTTGCTTGGTCAAGGAAGGGGTGTGTCGGTCGTTGTTCAGGTCTGTCTGTGGCGGACCCGAGCGGAGTTAAGCATCCGAGTCCGTGACTCGACTTACTTTCCTCTAGACCGATACATCTCTTCTAAGCCAAGCAGACTGTCTGTTGCATGTAGGGTCATCTCCTACTGTCCAGGCTGGGTGTTTCCCTGGATGCTCGTCATTCGTCTCTCCTGGTGAGAGTATGGGTGCCGGGAATCGGATGCAGGAGGGCTGTGCCCACAATACATTCATTCTCCCATCAATTTGTATGCAGCTTCAGCTTGTATTTAGTTTGGAGTATAATCAAAAATCCATAAATCAAATTGATCTCGACAAAATCTGCGTGACTGAATTTTCCGCTGTGGTTAGAATTATAGGGGACAGGGCCGAGACCCATGACGTCAGGTACTTGATCCTGGCAAGTTCCCCCCAGGCTGCAGCGAACTGCTCCAGGGCAGATCCCCCAGTTCTTCACTTAATTTACTTCATCAATAATGTGTTTCTAGTTGTACCTTCCTTATCTACTATCAGCGAGCTAGACATCCGACCACCGACGAACAAACCATCCTGCCCTTAACCCGATATACCATCCAGCGCGCCCCTCACCATCCCCCCATGCTGCCATGGCGTCTTTGCAAGACTCCCTCTTATCGCTAAACGCAACAACCTGGGACGCCATCCCACGCGACCAGTCCGCCCTCCGAGAATACATCACCGACCTCCGCGCCAAAGCCCGCCTGATAATCGACTCCGTCCCTGAACCCCCTCCCTCCGACACGAAAAGCACACTCAACAACAACATCAAGCTGAAACCGTCCCCCGCACGCCTCGGCACAAAGAACGAGGCCACCCGCGCCAACCAGAAACAATGGAGCAAGCCGATTGTTAAGCCGGCGCCCGGCAAGGATAACCCGCTCGGCATTCCGGTTTACAAGTTACCAGGAAACGATGGACAGGGACATTGGTTTGGACGGCGGAGTGTGCATAGGGGGTTGCCGTATAGTGTGTGGGAGGAGAAGCTGTCGAGTGAGATGGCGGAAACGTTAAAGACGAATCAAGAGCGTGTCCAGAATGGCCAGCAGCCTGATCAGGCGGTAAGAGGCATTGGAGCGCAACGGGGTCTTGAGACGATTGAGATCAAGGGTGAGGATGAGGAGAAGGTTGTGGGGAAGGTGAATGTCTACCATGTTAGTGCGTCGTTTCCGAAGCCGACGACGAGCCGCGATTTCGTGGTGATGATTGTTACGTGGGAGGCTGGGTTTGTGGAGGATGAGAAGCGGGATGGGAATAGGGAGGAGAAAGAGGGGCGCAGCTGGCTGATGGTTTCACGGCCTGTCGAGCACCCCGAGGCACCTGAAGGAGACGAGTATATCCGAGGGCAGTACGAGTCTGTGGAGATGATTAGGGAGATTTTGGTGGATAAGGATGCTTCAAATTCGGAGTCCGAGTCGAACCCCGTCGAGTGGACCATGGTGACGAGGAGTGACCCTGGGGGCACGATTCCGCGGTGGATGGTTGAGAAGGGTACGCCGAAGAGCATCTGTACCGATGCAGCTAAGTTCCTGGAATGGGCGAGTCAGGACCCTGAAGCTGCTGCGAAGGTTCGTGAGCGCGCTGAATCCAGAACAGGGCAGGTGGATGGGACGGCGCCGAGTGCGGTTGTTGGTCACTTGTCAGACAGTGATAGCAGTTTGAGTTCTGAGGATGAGTATGAACAGGAGGAGCATCACGGTCTCATTGCAAGCATGGGCAGTCTTCTTAACGCTGGCTTGGAGCGTTACGCGCCGCAGGCCGTCCTGGATTACATACCAGCGCATTCGCGCCAGTCATCAGCCAGCTATAACTCGCCAAACGCAAAGTCGGACACGAAAGAGGTACATGAGCATACTCCCGAACCTCAGCCTCAACAAACGAACGTGGACCCCAATGATCCAGACGAAACACTCTCCCAAGCATCCGTCGCCTCTTCCCTTCCCGCCGAAGCGGCCCCGGCCAACGACATGATCGATGCCTCGGCAGCTGAGCTCCTCCAACGAAACCGCAAAGGCAAGCTCTCATCGCACGAGCGGCAACTCGCCAAGCTTGCCCAGGAGAAACGCAGCGTCGAAGCCCAGATTGAGCTCGTCCGGTCAGACATCCAATCTCTCGGCCTACGTGCACCAGACGAGCAAGAAGTCAAGAAGGAGAAAACGTCCGCCCGTGAATCGGTCGATAACCCTACCGCTACAAGCCCAAGCAGCAGCGCCAACAATACCTCCGACGGGGGCAGTAGCACGACCAAGAACCGCAGCCGCTCCAACACGCCGGCCTCCGATAACCCGGAGATGCACAAAGTCGCCTCTACTCTCTTCCGCGAAGAAGCTAAGCTCGTCCGCCGTCTCGCGAAGATCGAACGGCATCAGATCAAGGAAGCGGCTAGGGTCGAGGCGCAGCATCGGAAGGAGGCAGAGAAGGAGGAAAAAGCGCGCTCGCGCGATGAGAACGAGGCGCTGAAACGGGAGGTCGAGCAGTTGAAGAAGGAGTGCGATCGGTTGAAGAGTGAGCGGAAGCAGTGGCTTGGACTGATCAAGGCGCTGCAAGCGGAGAACACGAAGTTGGCGAGGCAGGGTGGGAGTCCGAGTAAGGATGCGGATGCGAAGTGATGGGCATGGTCATAATGGATTAAGCATCAAACATACATACTGTACATTATTATAATTGGAATCAAAACAGAACCTCTGCGAGGTCTATCTGCTGGTATTTTGTCCATAAATTCAGACTGTAGTCCGCAACGCCGTAGACGCCTGCCCATGTAATGCCATCTCGTTCGCTATCAGATCCAAATCCATACACTGTCCATTGCTCGTGGTGTACCGTATTTGGGCGTATCTCATGGCGGCAGGGTAAGATCTAGCAAGCTTCGCTGCGCTTCATATCATCTCGAACCGATCGTAACCCATCGAGCGAACATCCTGCGTATCCGAGTCTTGTCCCAGTCGACCATCCAACCCAATCTGCTCACAGCTCGCAGCTCGCACCTTTAAAGAGGCGTTATTGCTAGATTCCGTCTCAATAAGATCGTCCGTAATCGAGTCGCATCGCTCCGCATCGCACCACCAAATCCGCAAGAACCCCTCCCTCATCCCGCCATCCGCATATCTTCTACTCCTGCGTCTATTGAATCAAATTAGCCCCCTATTTCCCAATCCCCCAAACCATCCATCCGGACAAAGAACAAGTAAGAACCAACCTCCGGCGGATTCCCCGCCCCCCTCACCATCCTCTCGACCATCATCGCCCGCACCTTCTCACGGCTCTCGCCCATCCCCAGCGCCATGTACCCGAGCAGCGGCGCGTGCCCGACATAGGAAGCGTAGGAGTCGCGCACGATATTCGACAAAAACTCGTGCTTTGTTGTGTCGGCGTGGCCCGTGCCGATGTAGCGCGCTTGTTGCGCTTCGAGGTTTTGGAGCGTGCGGAGTTTGTCGGCCATTTTGGCTTTGCTGTGTTTTTTTTCTGAGGGATTGGTGGGTTGGTGTGGAAGAGAGGGTTGGGTTTGATGTGGTTTGTTTGAGAGTTGGAACTTGGAGGGAGTGCGGAGATTGGGATGCGGTCGCCGGAAAGGCTTGCGATAAGGGTGGCACGTGACCTAGGTATACTTCTGGGGTGTTGTAGGGTTAGCTGGAGTTGAAGCAGCTGTCTATAGAACAACGAGGATCCGTGGATTTAAATTGATGTTACATAAATGAGATTTCGATATAGTGTATGAGTGGCAAGCATAAAGCAACAACAGAGAATAGCTAAGCCGCATTATACTTAAGAACCATCTGCAAATAAAGAGCCGTCGATGACCCAACCACACAAGCATACCATGACTTACGGACAGGGCCACAAATTACTGCTCACAAAGCACTCCAATCCTGCTTCGCACACCACGCCTTAACAGACTGCAGCTGCAACACAACGCCCAGATCCTTCGGCTGCAAGACACTCTTATCAATCCTGCTTCCATCATACCGGAACTCAAGACAGAAGCCCAGCATATCCATATTCTCCTTCTCGGCCTCTGGGTCACCCATATCGAAGCTTGGATCCTGGTTCACGAATTCGACTTTCTTGCCCAACACCTCACCTAGGGTCGTCGCAACGTCTCGGAAACTGAGCCACTTGTTCACGCCAGTGACCTTCTTGCCGGGCTCGGCGCGGAGCAAGACATGCACAAGGGCGCCGGTGTCGTCCACGGCCGAGTAAACTGGAAACGGTGCTGTAGCGAGGATATCACCGAGCGTTAGAACGAGGGTGTCCGTTTCCTTGTTCAGCTTAGGACGAAGGAGAGCGCCAGTAGGCCCGAACCAATTTTCCAAGTAGAGTCCAGCATAGAACACAGTTGTCTTGGCCCAGAGGGCTGGATGGGCGGTGCGGCCGTACTCCTCGGCAATGGCCTTGCCCTCGAAGTGGTAAACGTGCTTATACTTCCCATCGCTCAGCTTGTTTGGGTTGGGCAAGCTGGAGAAGATGAAGCGCTCAAGCGTGTCTACTTTCGCGGCGGCGTCGATGATGTTTCGGTTCTGCTGGACTTCGAGGTCCCGGCAGTACTCGCCGATGCTCTTGTTGGATGCGGCGGCTTTCTCGCGCGCCGAGGGGTTGAAGAAGGGGGGCCAGAAGTCGGTGACGCTGAAGATGGCTGATGCGCCTTTGAATGCGGCGGCGAGGGAGGACGGGTCGTCGAAGTTACCAGTAACCATCTCCACCCCGCGGGAGGCTAGGGCAGTGGCCTTGGGTGAGGATGGGTCTCGGGTTACGCCGCGGAGGGCATAGGGGGAGGATGGCAGTGAAAGAAAATAGGACAGGACTGAGCCTCCTTGATTGCCAGTGGCTCCTAGAACAACGAGGGCGGGCTTGGTAGACATGGTCGTGAATAGTTGAAGTGGGAAGCGAAGAGTTGAGGTGGCTGAAAACGTCGAAGGCGAAGAATGTTTGAGTGATGATGCTCTGACAGACGGCGGGAATTCGGACTGAATTTATAGCCAGCTTCTCACGACCCTCTCATCATGTCAATATACAAACTTCTGTATATGATTCCCCAATTCAGTCTAGTTCCCACCAAGTAAGCTTCTCCACGCGCTATGACTGATAAGAATATCCATGACCGACGGCCACTAAACTTAAAAAGGCGTCTCCACGGAAATCGTCACCAGGCTTATGGTGACTTAGCCCAAACTCATGGAAGGATATGAGCTGTTCTCCGACTTGTTCGCCATATTTTACTCCAGCGTTTGCGATCCAAGCCTGTGGAGACTCCGCCATCCACAGCCCGGCCCGTCTATCGAACGGAAGAGACTCCAAGAACATCCAATAGGTGCAGTATCCGTTCGTGAAACTGTTTACGGCCATGGCCAGAGCGTATGACATGACTATCGTCCGTCGGACGCTTTCCCCGAATAGCCATGTCTGCCAGGGTGACTGTTCCGGGGGCATTTGAGTCTGAGCGGATGCCAGTAGAGCTTGTGCCCACTCCACTAGGAGGTCGAGAAAACCTTGGACATTTCGTCCATCCAGCGCAAGAGTAGCCAGATGAACGGTGAGGGCTTGCAGGGCTGTAAGAGCCTCTTTGATCGGCAATGCTTCGATATTCAGCCCGACCAGGCGCATGAAGTCTTCATAGTCTATACCCGTCTTCGATTTCACAAGGGGGTCAAGATGATTGCGATTGCCATGCAGTTGCAGCTTCGAATGCACGAAGAGCGCAGGCTTTCCAGATCGTAACTGGCTTGGGATACTTTGATAGCCCAGGCGAAGCACCTCGAGTGCGGATTCATGCCCGGGGCTGCAAATGGCCGGGTCGATATTGCTAGGCCGGGTTTCGACACGCCGGATCAAACAGTATCCAGGGGCTTCGGAGGCCGACGGGTTCCAAGAGAGTTGAGGCGTTTCTCTAAGCTGGGCTACCGGGGCGCTCAGAGGCTCAAGGTCATACGTGCACTGCAAGCCCCGCTGGGCACAACGGGTACACTTGGGAACTTGGATGACGCACTTTCGCTTGGAGGCAGTGCAATTCCGGCAGGCTTTACGTAGGGAGGCCATATTGAGCAGGAGAGATTTGGAGAAGAAGATGGGGGATCCATGAGTCCATGATTGTCCTTGACCCTGTCAGTCGGGGTGTCCGAATGATGTCCCGTTTCGGTTTAGATCCCCTGGCTGCGGATGGACGGATTCCGGGCTGCTGACTAAGATGCCAGCCTGTCACGTGGGAGTCATGTACCTGCCATATGCGGCAAGTGTTCTCCATTCCCCGTCCCCCGGTCCGCCATTATTATTATTATTATTGAGGCTTAGACGTACTTACACTCTATACTTCATCTTATTCAACTTCGACCCGAACCCCAGGTAAGCCTCCCAAGCCCCTCTACTCCGTACCCAACATGGCGAGCCAATCCACAGATCAACCTCGACAGCTGTGCTCCAGCATGCAAGCGCGCCCAGCGACGCTAGAATGACGAGGGCCCCCTTTGTAACAGGCAAGGTATGCCTTATGCTTGGGCAGACACCTACACCTCAATCAGCAGCCGGGGCCCGTATCGGTTACTCCGGGTCTTCTCTGTGAATCATGAACAAGCTCCCAGATCTCAGTTTAATGTCTCGGACCGCTATAAATCCAGATGATTCTCTCCTCTTTGGAGCAAGCAAGGCAAGCAATCAAACCTTTCGAGCTGCTCTTGTCGATTGCTGCCCCATTGTTGAGAAGCCTTCTTCAATATTTGCTCGAGGGCCTGGACTTCCCATCCATTTCCCATTCTCTGTCTGGCGTCCGGCACTATGGCTCTTGTCGACGAGATTGCAAATCTCATGGAGAAGGCACGCTCGACCAACGCCTCTCTGGATGATACCACTCGGATCAGCGCCTTGGAAGCTGCTCAAGCTCTCGTGCAAGCATTCATATCTCCTCGCGAGGCTGTGATTTATGATGTGTCCTATGTATGATGACGGAAATGTGTCAACGTGGAAATGGGAGAACTGACTCTTTTTGCAAGCGTCCTTTAGTGCCCATGTGTATCCGTATGGGCGTCCAGCTCGGGGTTTTCCAGACCATTTGTAGCAGCCCTGATGGCGGGGCCACCACAAAGGATATTGCAGACAAATCTGGCGCGAGTTTGGATGTTGTCGGTAGGTTATTGAATCTCACCCTGAGCCCCCATTGTCTGGCGCCTAACAAATTTTTAGACCAGATAATGAGGCTACTCGCCGCGACAGGCTATGTCGTTGAAGCTGGGAGGCAGCTCTTCAAGCCCTCCCCGCTTACTATGACCATGGCCGATCCTGCCATGGAAGCAACGACCAGAATTTGGTGCGTCACTCTGTCATCTCTGAGCCGCCAGCCCTAATTTCAAGCACAGCGCCGAAACGAACAATGCCAGCACCAGATGTGCCCCGGAGTACTTCCGCCGCAATGGCAACCAATTTCCGCCATCTTTCGAGGACACCCCTTTTCAGCTGGGTGCCAACACCAAACTAAGCTTCTTCGACTGGCTGCGTGAGAATCCGTCACTGGCTAAAGACTTTCAGCAGTTCATGGCATTCAGACAGGCCATGTCTCCGAACTGGGTGGACTGGTTTGATGTTGAAGGGGCTATACTTGATGGGTACGGCAAAGGTCAGCCAGACGACACCCTGATAGTTGACATTGGGGGTGGCGAGGGCCAACAGCTCCGCCCCTTCAACCGCAAATTCCCACCATCTGCCATTCCTGGTCGCCGTATCGTCCAAGATCGGCCCAACGTCATCGCGAATATTATCCAGCCTGCATCCGAAACAGGAATCGAGCCAATGGCCTACGACTTCTTCACCCCGCAACCCGTAAAGGGCGCTCGAGTCTACTACATGCACTGGATCATCCATGACTGGCCGGATGAGCAAGCACGCGCTATCCTAACGAACATTGCAGAGGCCATGGAACCGGGCTACTCGCGCCTGATTATCAATGACCGGATCGTCCCAGATAAGGGCTGTGACTTTATGACGGCTGCTGTTGGAGTCGTGATGATGATTCAGTGTGCGGCTGTTGAGAGGACGGAGAGGCAGTGGAGAGACTTGCTTTCTTCAATTTCGGGCTTCAAGGACTTCGAGTTCCATCACCCGCCTGCAGGTACGGAGGGGATCATTGTTGTTACGACATAATGGTTGGTCTTTCAGATACAGGACATAGGTATTCTTCCAGAACACTACGTACACGGAGGACATTATATGGACTAAAGGCAGATTTCTAAGCAGTGAGACGGATCAACACTACTGTCAGCATGTCTTTACAGCTAGGCCAACTTTATATTCCGGGTTATACGCAAATTCGGATATCAATGTACTTCGCCGACCATGTCCTGAGCCCCGATGACCAATGTAATCCATCCAGAAATACACCCGTAGAACAACACAATCAAACTCTAATCCAATCTAATACTCTGTATAAAGCACTATACCCCACAACGCACAAGCTGTAACAAACCGAGTAACCTCCCAATCAACGCCATCAAGCGTGGATAGCCAAGACAGACCTCAAGCACCAAAGCCCCCGTCCAGGCTCCCATCCCCATCCAACCTTTGCGCCTCACACATCTTCGCATAAACCCCGCCCCTAGCAAGTAACTCACTGTGCTTTCCAACCTCCACAATCCTCCCTTCCCCAAAAACAAAAATCAAATCCGCATCTCTGACAGTTGAGAGTCGATGCGCCACCGCAACCGTAATCCTCTCCCGACTCGCCGCCGCCTCCGCCAGAGCCCCCTGCACCGCCTTCTCGGCCTCGGTGTCCAGCGCGCTCGTTGCCTCGTCGAGAAGAAGGACGTTCGGGCTCCGGATGAGCGCACGCGCGATTGCTAGACGTTGTCGTTGGCCGCCGGACAGCTGGCTCCCGCTTGTGCCCCCGCCAAGGGGTGTCTCAAGCCCATCTGGGAGCGAGGAGATGAAGTCCCAGGCGTTGGCGGCACGGCAGGCGGATTCTATTGCGGCGTCGGTGTCGGTGTGGGTGTCGGTGTCGGAGGGTGTGGCGAGGTCAGAGTCTGGCACGCCGTGAGCGATGTTCTCGCGGATTGTGCCGGGGAAGAGCGTGGGTTCTTGTTGGACTAGGGCTATGTTGCGGCGGTAGAGGAGAGGGTTTAGGGACGTCAGGGGGGCAGAGGAATTGATTGTGATGGTTCCGGATGTGGGGTCGTAGAAGCGCTCTAGGAGGGAGATCATTGTGCTTTTTCCGCAGCCCGAGGCGCCGACTAGGGCTATGAATGTGCCTCGTTGGATCTAGAGGTGTTAGTCGGGGCATAGTCGGCTTTCATCAGAGAAATGGGAGATACGTACCGACAGGGACACGCCCTTGAGGACCTTGTTTTCCGGCGCTAGGGGGTACGCGAATTCCACGTCTTGTATGTCGATGGAGCGGCATCCGTCCTTTGGTCCTTCGTTACGGTTATCGTCTGTCTCACGAATTGTCCCGTCGAGCTCGTCGAGCCAGAAGTAGTAGTTCGCGGCTTGGTTTGCTTTGGTGAAGCCTGGAGCTGGCTGTTAGTGGCTAGTTCTTATTGACCATGACCTGGAACCTGAATGGAACTCACTGCTGGCGAAACTGAATGCCAATGCGCTGGCTTGGCCTGAGAAGTAGACGCCCATGAACGACACTACAAACTGGTACAGGCTGATCTCGCCGTCGTTGATGAGCTTTGATCCCCACCTGTTACAGTCAATCAATAAACCCGGCTAAAGCAGAAAATAAGACTCGGACTTACCAGAACCCCAGAGCGAGCACAAAGTACTCCACGGACTGCGTAAGCGAGAACCAGCTCATCATGTGGAACATCGGCCTGCTCGTCTGCTTAATCGCAAGGTCAAGCTCATCGGTATACTTCCGTAGCACTGTGCTCTCAAGGGCAAGCGAAGAGACAGTCCGGATCGCCAGGACTGTTTCCGACGCCACCGAGGCACTTGCCGACAGCCTCTGTCCGATCTCATCATCCATTTTTGCTTCGAGTTTCACGCGGGCGTAGCCTCCTATCAGTACGGGTGGGAGGCCGGCGAAGACGCCGACCAGCCCGAGCTTCCAGGATACGGCGATTGCTAGAATGCTCGACGCCACGACATTGATGGCAGACATGAGGACGATGGCAACGGTGAATCCCATTAGCTCGAGTATAGCCTGCGGGTAGGAGTCCAGTTTGCTGATTAGCGCGCCGACTGTGTTTTCGGGGCGGTCGTAGAAGCGTAGGTCTTGTCGGAGGAAGGAGTCTAAGATTTGGCGTCGAAGTTTCCTGCTGAGGCTCTAAGAATACACTCAGGTTAGTATTGTGATGCAGGGCTGACTAGAATGTGATTCCCCTACCTGAGCAATAGTGTTCGTTGCCCATCCCATAATGAAGTACACAACCAGAATGCCGAGCGACATGACAAAGAACATCAAGGCGATGAAGTTACCACGGCTGATAAAGTTCGGAGAATCAAAGACGCTCAGTATGTTACCTAGCAAGAGGGCCTGCCCGGGGTTGACGGCGGCTGCGGACATTGTGGTGAGCAAGTGCTACGCCGATGCCATACTCTTTAGGGTTAGCACTCACCTCCTGCAATGCATGTAACTGCTGTTATGCCGAACCATGGCCAGATCTCGGGCGTTTTCCTCAAGAGCTTCCATATACTGTGGATAATGCCAATTTTCCGGTATAACTCGTAGTCTTCCCGGTCCTTTAGTGTCGTCGGTTCTCGCGTCTCGGCCGTCTGAAGCCTGGTAAGAGAATTAAGACGATCGGCGTCATCGCCGTTCTCCGAAGCTTCGCCAGACATGATCGTGGCCTCTGAGCCATTGTTACCCTCGGTATCAGCCGGTGCGAGGTCCTGGGCTTTCGCAAGCGTAGCATAGACGCCGTCCATGGCCACCAGCTCCTCATGACGCCCCTGTTCCATGATTCTACCCTTCGACATGACCACAATGTTATCCGCGTTACGGATGGTTGCTAGCTTGTGTGCAATGACAATGGTTGTCCGGTTAGCAGAGGCGCTGTCGAGGGCCTGCTGGACAATTTCCTCCGCATGCGGGTCGAGCGCGCTGGTCGCTTCGTCGAGAAGCAGGATCTTGGGCTCCGAGATTACACTTCGCGCAATGGCGATCCGCTGCTTCTGTCCGCCCGAGAGCAGGCCACCCCTTTCGCCGATTCGTGTGTGGTATCCCTGCGGTAGGTTCTGGATGAAGTCATGTGCGAAGGCGAGCTTCGCGGCGTTCTGGACACGGTCCATCTGGTCTTCTTGCGATGCTGCTTCCCATTGCGTGCCTACAAGGCCGTTGGCGATATTCTCAAAAACGCTGCCGTTGAAGAGCACCGGTTCCTGAATTTGTTAGAAAAGTATAATCCAGTGTGTGGCGCCTTACTTGTTGAACGAGACGAATGTTTGTACGGAGCCACTTTAGGTTGAGCTCACTAATATCCCTTCCGTCCAAAGAGATACTGCCTTCAGATGGATTATACCACCGTTCGAGCAGGCCGACGATCGTGCTTTTCCCTGAGCCAGATGGTCCCTTTTCCTTGTTAAAAGACTCCTACTACTAACACGAATTAAGGCTACTCACCACCAACGCCGTGACCTTGCCTGCGGGGATATCCAGGGTAAAATCATTTAACACGGCGACATCTGGACGCGTGGGATAGCTGAAGTTGACACCGTGCAAGCTAATAGAGCCGACAGTCTCGTCAGGTTTCCCTCCTGATTTGTCGAATGGATTGATCTCGGAATTCCTATCAATGAGGGAGAACAGTTCTGAAGCTGCGGTTGCCGCGCGGCTGAAGGTGACCATGTTCGGTGTCACTTGCATCACTGTATTTGCGGCCATGATGACCGAAAAGAGAACACTAATCTCCAATTAGTGCCGACCATCGCAGGGTTTGCGAGGATATACTGACACAAAGACTGTTCCCAGGTCCGAGATTTCGCCGCGATCAAGCATGGCGAGTCCCTGCCAGAAGGCAAGGCCCATGCCGGCGTAGACCACGAAATACTGTCCTCCAAACACGATGCCGTAAAGCTTGTTCTTTTTCATTCCGTGGGCATACGCACTCTGAAGGTAAGAGTCGTACTTGGCCATTACCCGCGGATGAAGGCTGAAAGCCTGAAGGGTCCGCATTCCTCCAAGAACGTTCTCGGCATAGCTACCGGCTTGAGCGTAAATCTGCAGAATCTTGGCTTCGATCATAGCATCGAGTCCACCGGCTGTGCCGAGCACAATAAGCAGAAGTGGCACCATGAAGATGAGTATCAAGGTCAACTTCCACTGCGTGACGAAAGCAATCACGAATGCCGCCACGAATGTAGCGATAGCTTGGACGACGATGCCGAGTTTCTCTGCTATGCCCGATTGGATGAGTTTGCCGTTTGTGGTTGCCTGCTGAGATATAGATCCAGACGTGCCCTGGTCGTAGTAGGCGATTTCTTGGCTCAAGGCAGCTCGTAGATAGCTTTGCCTGACGTTTCTGGTCAAATGAAAGGCACAATAAGTGAGGAGGGAGGTATAGACGTAGGTAGCTACGAGGCGGGCGATTCCTATGTAGATAAAGTAGAGACTTGGTTGCATTAGCATATAACCAAATAAACACGGGGATGATGCTCTTACGCCGAACTCCGAACGGCCGCCATGAAATCATCAGGCGCATCCGCGTTGGAGAAGGTGAAGTCGCTGAGCAGCGATATAAAATGCCCCATGACCAGATTGACCAGGGCCGAAGCAACGCCAGACGCAATGGCAGCTATGAAAGCAATACCTTCGAGGATGTAGATATTGGTGTCGCCATAAGCGAAGACTCTCTACACAGATCGTCAGTCACTTCTCTAACAGACAAAGATGCGCCCGGGGCCTGAGCCAGGCATACCAGGAGTCCATTGCCATTCTTCTTCTCGGCGGACTCATGTCCTTTCGAGGAGTCAATTGAGAGTGCGGTTTCGTTAGGTGCTTGGACAGGTTTCTCAGTCTCTTCGGGAGAATCTGAAAAAGCTGTCATATTGTTCGCTCCGTGCTAAGCTGGAGTAAAGGGCGAAAGGAGTGGATTTCCCAAGCTATTGAAAGCAGGCAAGTGGAAACGCAATGAAGATATAGAAGATGAAGAGAAGGGGGCGATGGAAGGCATCCCTGAATATAGGCCTAGGCATAGCCCCCATTTTATCGATGCTGGCATTGTTGTCAGGGGCTTAGAGGCAACAAGATCTGGACTTACCCACCACGGAAGCCAAGTTTCGAATTCTTGGCTCATGGCCAAGTGCCGCCAAGCCAATAGTCTAGATGTAACGTGGCTGAATTTCAGACATACCTATACCTTCTTATGTCGTTTTTTAAAGTAAGATACGCTTAATTTACAGCTAGCACACGCTAAGTGAAGGGCCAAGAATTCGAAACTTGGCTTCCGTGGTGGGTAACAAGCTGATGATCATCATGGACAGAGTACGCATACGACAGAAGACGCAGGAAGAAGGCGGCCAAACGACGGAGCGTCCTTGGCAGCTTGGCTCCGGCCTCCGACCACAGACGGGCTGACGGAGACTCCGGGCTCCGAGACCTCGACAACCACCTCTTCGAACAGACGCTTCATACGTACCGACCCTCTAGACCCTCTAGACGACAGTGCTTATTCCTGTCTAGCATATTCCTGTCTAGCACACTCTCGGTGTATACACGCGTCGCTCGCTTGTGAGGTCAAAGTTCAACCACGACGTCCAGCTCGGTGCCTCGGGACCCCGCAATCCCGCTCGCTCACTCTTGATGGAAGAACAAGATCAGAACCTGGTCACGGTCGAGAAGCTAGCAGTGAGCTTGTCTCCTTCATGCTGCATCAGAGCATGTATCTAATGATTCTCTCCAAAAAATAGTGTTACCGATGCCGCGAGCGTAAGGTGCGACAACCGTACACCCCTTGGGAGCCCGAAGTACATGGGTATCGTACGAACATCAGGGTCTAATATCGTTCAGGTGAAATGCGACCGAGTGAGTCCGTGCTCTCACTGTGTCAAGGCTGGGATCCAGTGCTCATATGCAGATCGGATCAAGCCTCGTGAGAGGAGGCAGAGGGTTATGGTCTCGCACTCGTTGTAAGTAATTGCCATCGGATCATGGTTAGGAGGAACATCATGCTAAGCCTCGTCGAGTGATTCCAAACTAGATGCGCTATCGAGGAAAGTCGACGAGCTTAATCAGAAGATCAACCAATTGGACCATGACCCAACCAGGAATAGAGCCTCTCCCAACGTCAACCAAGAGGAGCACTCCTCGTCCTTATCGTTCGGGTCAACGCCAACTTCTTCACTCGTCTCTACGCCAGATCCAAGGAATCTGTCGTATACCCTCGCCGATAGCGGCACTCGTGTATCACACGACCAGCATCCTAAAGGGGAATACGAAGGGGAATCGTCGCTTTTCGCTCATGCCGTTTTCGCGACTCGGTTCCTGCAGAACGCCATCGACAACACGACCAACGCTGTCATTGCGCACGAAATGGAAGCCGTGCTTGATGGTCTTAGGGCTGCCGTCAATTCTGGGAAGCAACAGTCCGACACGCTCGAAAAATTGTATCCTCACGCCAAGGCGCTCACACCCAGCTTGACCACCCGCAACCTCCCTTTGCCGCCCATGGACAAGGTATTCATGTGCTTGCGCATGGCTAGGGAGTGCCCGCAGGTGGCTACGTTGTGGTTAGGAGATTACATTACACCCGCCCAGTTCAACGATTTCTTTATCAAGATCGCATCGCATGGTCCAGCCACTGAAGCCGACTTGATCATCGTCCATTGCGGTCTTTACTGGTTATTCTGCGAGTGCTCCAAAGTTATTACCGATGAAGCTACGAAGCAAGACTACGACTCGCAGGCTCTCTTGTGCGAAACGAATCTCCAAACTGTCCTTGCCAATCTTCACTTTCATCAACCAGCAAATATGGACTCCGTCTGCGCCATGGGCCTAGCGGTAAGCTGTTGGTCAATTTGGAATATCTTTAGTTCCAACTAACCGTACATTCCAGTCGTTGTATTGCCTTCAAAAGAGTAAATCTGCCGCATGGAGCTTCATCAATTCGGCCTCGCAAATGATCCAAGCCCTGGGTTTGCAACATAGCACGCCTGCTGGCACAGATAGCCCTGAAGAGAGTGCCTACAGGCGAAACGTATTCTGGACTATATACATGAATGAGAAAATGTTGTCGCTACGCCTAGGCCGTCCATCGACCTTTCGCGATCAGGACATTACTTTGCCGCGTCCTGGTATGGAGCGTCCTAACGGGACCTTCTTAGCCGAACTGGCCCCAGGATGGATAACTATGGCCAGTATACAGGGGCGGATTTATGACGACATCTACAGTCCTGGGGCTCTCATGCAACCTCCACACATCCGAACATCGCGTGCCCAGGCTCTCGCAGCAGAGATGGAAACCGCCATGCAGCACATACAAGACGTCCATGTAAGTCTATCCCGATACCTACAAGGCTCATCGAGCTGTCCATGTCCCAACTACTCCTTCAGAGAGCTCCAACGTTGACTATCCACAGAATCATTACGATGCGAGCAAAGCGCAAGTTCTGGGACTGGAGTACCATGAGATAGCAAAGCGATCCGACCAAGTCAACTGTCTTATCATGCTTACGCTCATCTACCAGGGCATCGTCCCAGAAAAGCCGTCAGCGTCCGCATTCTGCCAAGAGTGCATAGACGCTGCCAGAGAGACCCTCCAAGAACACGATCGATGTGTTGCCGTGATAACCAAAGCGCGCGGAAAGACGGTGTTTCTCGAGACGTACATTAATTGGTTCGTTGTTTCCGCTCCGTCGTAGATAAGCTCCTTCTTCCTGACACGCCCTATAGGTCCATCATCCAGTCCCCGTTCATCCCCTTCATCATCCTGTTCTGCCATACTATTGAGACCTCTCAACCTTCAGATCTAGAGTACATGAGGACATTCGTCGAGTCGCTAGAGTCGACATCCACCTCCCGCGCACAAAGCACATACGGCAAGCAATGTCGTCTCTTCAGGGCGCTGTACGATGTAGCGGTTAAGTACGTTGAGGTCAGATCCCGCGACTGCACCGGGCAAGCCGAAATGTCGTGGTCAGATGCTACACATGCTTCTGGCCTATTACCGCCATACACTCAGTTCACTCCGAACGGTGTCGGAACAGGGCTTATCGGTGGGCCGGATATCAATATGGAGATGGACCTCTCGAGTGCTGGGCTTTGGGATTGGTTCACCAAAAATCAGTCGATCATGAAGATGCTTGAGGATATATAATATACTACACAACACGGTTGGGAAGGGTTTTGGGAGATAGACATGTTATCTACTGCTTGTTCGTAAATATAGGAATACCTCACTGGTTGCCGCGAGCTCCAGCACGCTTTGCAATTCTCATGGTAGTCTGGACTAGTCTCGTGGCAAAGCGAAGCCATGTTTCCCATTTTGTACGATGTAGCCCTAACAGTCTAAAAGTTCTCATTTAAATTCACCCGCTTCGGATACCAACCGGCCGGGCCGGGCCCGAGTACAACAAACCCTAAAAGGATACTTACTTAGAACTCCGAGTGCAAATGGACCTTTATTATAGTCGTATACATAGCTTCTTCAGACTCAGACTTGTATGTTGAGCTCGTCTCGGGATCAGTATATCAGCATGGTATCATTGTTTCATAGTTACCGACCCCGGCTAGAGGGTAATGTTAAGATAGAATCCTCTTTCTAGAGTTGGGCGTAGAGATGAAAGATTGCGTTGGTGATGGCCATGGCCGGGTAGGGCTAACAGATATGCCCTAACCTTCCAATGATACCCACCTAAGATACCCCACCTGGGCTAGGAATCGTATGTCCTGCCCTAATCAGGATAGGAACTGGTTTGCCTGCTGGAGCGTACCCCAGGAACATGCCGCTGATGCCTGCTACTCTCTAAACTTTCTTGGGGTGGTTGAAGCTATGCTTTGACGGTTACGGGTTGATGATAGCTTCAGGGCTACTTGTATCCTCTTAAATACTTATTTGAAGGGCTACTATTGTGTACTGATACGAAGAGAGTATGCGAAAGCCACGATCTGTATAGTCATATATTTAACGGGTTCATGTCAAGTCAAATACAAAATTCCACATCAGCCCTCAGTTCTCCTATCTGATGTCCACATCCTGTTCGCCGGATTCCGGCGTCGCTCTATTCAAGGTTCAAACCTAGAGCTTCTTCGCAACACGGTAGTTAACAGTAACATGGCAGGAGTCGCAGTTGTTGGTGCCGTAGCTGCCCTTGTGGTGGCCGCAGGTGTCGAGGATGGACTTGGCAGTGTCGTAGAGGACCTGGCCGCTGACAGGCTGCTCGCCGGCGTCGTTGGTGGCGTAGATCATGTAGCAGTTGCCGACGGAGAACTGGGACTGGTCGTTGTAGGTGGCGGAGGTGTCGATGTTGCGGAGGGCCGCCTGGCAGTCTGTGATGCTGGGGGAGTTGCTGGAGCCCTTGCAGCTTTACGTAGAGCAGCTGTTAGTATATTGAAGAGGTAAAAAGGGAAAGGGATGTGTGGGCTTACTTGTTGGTGTAGGCGAGGGCGCCGGTGGCAATGAGGCCGAGGTTGATGAGGGTGCTGAATTGCATCTTGAGGGTTGATTTGTGGTTTGAAGTGTTGGTCTTTGAGTTCCTGAGAGTGTAGAAGGTTGTGCTTTGCTGAGGATCAACTTCGATGGACTTGACGGTCCTTATATAGGTTTCTCACTCGGTTTTCAGTCCGATTCACCTCCCATGGCGAGTCGACCGTGTCCGCGAGTATAGGCATAACTCCGTCGAAGGAACAGACACTGACGAGGGACATGGCCAATTGATGAGGCCATTCCCCTCTCCGGTGGACCGCGAATGCATCGCCTGGGCTGATCCGGGCGAAATGTGCCTTGGGGGTGCGAAGATAAAACATTGAGCTGCATCATTAGATCATAGTCACAGCACAACCGACTATGATTGCTCGTGAGGGCGTACTCTGCCCTAGTATCGGGTTTCAGGGCTATGCTGATCACCTCCTGTAGAGGTAAATGCAGGGCAAGAGCAGGGTGAGACTTGGGGGCGGGAACAGGCAATATCAAGCAACAGGCTGCCTAGGCAGCTATCCGGGCATTCCGATCTGAGTCGAGGGCACAGCGGCCTTAACGCTGCATTTGGTGGAGCACTGAGTAGGTCGCATTATTGGTGATAAGGCGTACCTCGGTGGCAAGCTAGCCATTCTGGTGGACGACTGGACGTCACTCTTTTGCTGCACCGACGCCAAATAAGCAAAAATAAGACACATGGCTCCATCATCCCGGCTGCAAGCTGAAGCGACTCATGGCAGGCTTACCGCATACGAGTAGAATCAACACAAGAGAATGGAAAGCGATTCTTGCGGGATGTGCCGCCTGCCTAGAGCAGTCTTGAGCTACCATCTGGCTCGGCCCTGGCCGTCATGGAGCGTCAAGCTAGATTCAGATTGTCGGGATCGATTGGCCGTGCCTGTGCCTGAGGGCGAACAGGGCGATTGTGGACATGAGGCACAGTGGGGCCGACGGGGCCGGGCGCAAATCAAGCTAATCAGGGGCCACAGAGGCTCTTTCCTGATCGGGCAGCTCGGTGCCACAGCGCTAGGCCCGGAGTGGCAAGATCGGCGTTCGCCCGCGAAGACTTCGAGTCTGACGTGGAACGCACTTTTGGACTCAACTTCCATCTGTCCATCACTTCTCTGTACCCATGCCCTGCTATCCTCGCTTAAGCGACCACGGCCATATTGTCGCCGACTGATGATCTCGCACCGGCATCATGTCTGCCCACCTCCTTCCCAGCCATAGCCCGGATGGGCGATTCTCAATGTCCGTCGACTCCGCGGAAGGCTATGACATGTATCAGACCGAGAAAGAACAGCCTCTGCTCGAACGGGTTTTGCAGCGGCTGTATCTCTTGTTACGGTCGATGAGATACCGTCACGGCTATAGACCTCTCGGCCCAGCCTTCGCCCAGCCTCGCTACCGACGCGTTTGCTTCCGACTAGCATACTATGTCTCCGTCTTGCTGTCGGCCATTCTCCTGCTTGTTGTTCTCTTTTCCACATGTTTCCCCTCATATACCCATCTTCCACCTCATTATCTGTCACTTCGCGAGCGTGTCTCCAGTTCAAATTATCCCGGCCGGGGGAATCCGCGCAACGAGACTGTGTTTATCGCGGCGAGCCTTTATGACCCCACTGGTCAACTCGCACGTGGCCACTGGGCCTCCAGCATCCTCCAACTCATCGACCTTCTTGGAGAAGATAATGTCTTTCTCAGCATTTACGAGAACGACAGCGGAGACGAGGGCGAAGCAGCTCTGAAAGAGCTAGACGACCGAGTTCCGTGCAACAGGTCTATAGTGTATGAGCACTTGGACATCGATGAACTGCCCAAAGTCACCATTCCGGGAGGGGAAGAGCGCGTCAAGCGTATTACCTACTTGGCGGAGACTCGCAACCGTGCCCTTCGACCGCTCGATAAGCCCACCACTCGGTATGACAAGCTTCTTTACCTGAACGACGTGGCTTTTGATCCCGTTGATGCACTGCAGCTCCTGTTCTCTACCAACATCGATGACAACGGGGTAGCGCAGTACCGAGCTGCGTGTGCTGTTGATTTCATCAACCCTTTCAAGTTTTACGACACATACGCCACTCGCGACTTGGACGGCTATAGCATGGGCCTCCCCTTCTTTCCATGGTTCTCAGATACTGGAAACGGCCAGAGCCGCAAGGATGTTATTGCGGGGAAAGATGCGGTACCGGTTCGCAGCTGTTGGGGAGGAATGGTAGCATTCGACGCCCAATTCTTCCAGCAAGACACAAGAACAAATGTCGAGATAGCCGGCGACAGCCTTCCAGCCCGCTTCCGCGCCTTGCGCGATGAAAATCTCTTCTGGGACGGGTCCGAGTGTTGCTTGATCCACGCGGATATTCAGAAGCCGTTGCATACCGAAGAAGGAGATGAAAAGAATCAAGTTGAAACTGGAATATACATGAACCCCTTCGTGCGGGTTGCCTATGACACCAAAACTCTTTCATGGCTCTGGACTACGCGTCGCTTCGAGAGTCTCTACACCCTCGTTCATAACATCGGTGATCATCTTGTCGGGCTGCCTTGGTTCAACGCCCGGCTGGGTGAGGTTCCTGGGGAGACTGTGCAGGACGAGATCGTTGTGTTTGATGAAAAGGGAGAAGGTTCTCTCCAGCCTATCGAGCGAGTCGCTAGACACGACGCCTTCTGTGGACGTCCGGGATTGCAAGTGGTCCAGCCGCGGGAAGAAGGTAAAAAGGGCTGGCAGACGATACCAATGCCGACGTGACGTTGTATAATAATAGATCTAGAATGCTACCTTTGTTTATGGGCCTGTGGACGTGTACCCTGTACCTGGCACGTGACCGGTGGCGCCTTCCTATTTAGTCGAATGTTAGTCATCAGTACCATGAAACAGTCAGTCACGTGAGCTCGTGTTTCCCGTCCTTCAAACTATTTCTACATCGCCCTTGCTCCCAAAACTAATACGAGGAGTGGATATCTTTCCTTCTCAGAACCATGCCAGCTCGTTTCTTTAGCGCGTTATACCACGCACAACAACCAGAATCAACCGCTGTACCCAAGCCAGAATGGGTGAAGCTCAAGCATGATCTTCTGGAGCACCTGAAACGCATCGAATCCACGGGATCCTTCTTCACGACAGGCACTTTGGACAATGCTCCGAACCCTGGACTTGATATCTCCTCCGTTGGCCCTGTCGGTCTACCACTAACACCCGATGCCTCTCGCTCAGTCGCTCAAGCGTGCCACACGAGTCCGTTCGGCAAGGGCACCGAGACGATAGTCGACGAGTCGGTGCGCAAGACATGGGAACTAGATGCTGAGCAGTTTTCCATCCGCAACCCCAAGTGGGAGTCTCAGATTCGCGAGATCCTCAAGCAGGTCATTCCCGAGCTGGGTCTGAAGGCGAATCCAGACGAGGTGCAGGCGGAGCTTTACAAGCTGCTGGTCTATGAGGAGGGCGCCTTCTTCCTTTCGCATCAGGACTCGGAGAAGGCTTCTGGGATGTTTGGGACCCTAGTCGTTTGTCTGCCGTCTAAGCATGAAGGTGGGGATGTCGTTGCCACGCATAAAGGCGAAGCTCGTACGTTTGACAGCTCGGCGACTTCCGAGTTTGAGTACTCCTACGCTGCATGGTACTCTGATGTTAAGCACGAAGTGAAGCCGGTGGCTAGTGGGTATCGGGTTGTTTTGACTTACAATCTGATCCATCGCCCATCTATGGAAGTGTTGAAACAACGCGACTCGGCGGCCACTGAGCTGCAGAAGGCACTAGAGTCATGGAATCAGCAGTGCCAGCAGCAAGTCCGCGACTATGAAGCCATGGATGTTCGCCATTCTTCGCTGTTCTCCAAAGCACTGTCAGACCGGTTTCCGCTTTCCCTTCTTTGTGGGCTGGATTATAAATACAGCCAGGCTGATCTCAGCTTTGCTCGCCTTAAAGGTCTTGACCAACTGCGTGTCGGTGAGCTACAGAAGGCTTGCAGGGCGCTTGGGATGCATATATGGCTTACAACAATTGAAAGGACGGTTTCAGGTACTACCGATGAATACGGAAGCCCCGCAAGCTCAGTATCCGGAATTACGAGTAACTTTCATGATTTTGAAGAAGTCTTCGAGAATGACTCACTGCTCAACAAGATTATCGACGTCAGTTGTGGTGAAGGAGCTCGAAATTCCGCTCTCCGATCTAAAATCCTTATTCTTAGATTCTTATGACCTTGAAGGCACTCCTGATTCGGAGGACTACACGGGGTACCAGGGAAATGCAGGAGCAGAAGCAACTCATCACTATCGCAAGGCTGCTGCCTTCATCGTTCCGTCTACTTTCTATCTCGCATTCGTGTTTTATGTTGTCAAACATGGACGAACGCCTATTTCCGGTTTCTTGGCTGAGTTGGAGCGCATGATCCTGGATCGCCCGGATGACACGATACTCCGCAACGAAACAGTGAAGCTATGCCAGTCCATTATATCGTCACCGGAATCAAGGGAACGAGAAACGCGATACCGACCAAGACGTGATACCGAGGATCTCAAGTCAATTGCAAGTCTGCTGATTAACCTTTCCGAATGGTCACTCTTCAATGACTGTATCTCGGAACACTTCGGATGCCGCGAGTTTCCCGTAGAATTCGGAGCTCCTATTGGGAAGGCAGTTTTTGCTCGGGGCATGGAATCCCTGCAAGCTACGTGAGTATCCTACAGTCGAGCTGCTTAACATGATGTTTCTCGGATTTTGGGCCATGTCCAAAACCTTGAAGATATCTTCGGTATACAGCGCATCAGGAAAAGCTAACGTCCTCAAGGCTCGATCGCCTATTTAAAGATCCGTATGGTTCATGGAAGGAGCAATTGCCGCTTCTTTTCAATATCATCTCAGCCTATATTTCCGAATGCCTCGCCGCAGGGCAACCCAAGTCTGAACCGTTTACACAGTGGCAAGACCGCACCCTGGACCGTTTCTTCTTGAACCCTCACTTGACAGTGACCTTGTCTGAAAAAGATGCTCCGCCACTTTTGCACATTGCACTAAGCTATCCGGGGGACACTTTTCTCAAAAGGTACTCACCAACCTATCTATGTTCAGCCTTTGAGCTCATACCAACGATATCTAGGATTGTGCCAGTTCTGGACAGGTGGGCTTCCAATACAGCCTTTCTATCATCATTCCTCATAGGACTTTTCGAAGAGTCCCAGAAAAATGACGCCGCTTCTCTCGATATCAAACCAACTTATCGCACCATCTGCTCGGCGGCAATGCGGGAGCTTCGCATTGTGGCTTCGCCGACACTAACATCAAGCGGATACGCGTCTTACGGCTCACTCTACAGCAGGCGAGCGGATCCCACCTTTGTGGACCCTGGGTTGATTGCTAAGCTCCTACGGCCATGTCCTGTAATGGATATAGACCCCACGGAGATAGTGAAAGGCGTGGAATTTTCTGCTGGCCGTGTTCTTGCCGACACCGACAAACTCAAAGCCTCTTCAAGTTTCGTTCAGTTTCTTACCCCGTTCATCACTTTTCTTTGCGGCTACCTGAATGAGAGATCTCGCTCCGAAGCCTTCGTGGCTGAATGTCGAAAATTCACAGTCCGCATGCTCGAGATCCTGCTAACAAACTACGTCGAACCGCAACCTCTCGAACCAACGACCTGGGCCCGCAAAGCCAACTTCAGAACATGCTGCAAGGACTGCGGCGAGCTACGCAGGTTCATCGAAGACCCTGTCCAGAAAACCGGCAAGTTCCCCATGGCCGAGAAACGCCGAAGACATCTGGAAAACAGGCTCGATCGCACCTTCACCTGTCAGACCCGTAGTTATGGCTCGCCGTATACGCTCGAAGTCACGAAGACAAACGAGCAATTCCAGAAAGACCTAAAGGACTGGTCTGGGAGGGGAAACGTTGCTGTCCGCCTTCTGCAGTCCCTGGAACAGAAATGTCCAGATGTAATTGAGTTGGTTGGAGAGGATACATTCAAGAGCTTCCTTGAACATGAGAACCTCAAGCCCCGTGTCGCCCCTCCTGCGCCGCCACCTGTAGCTGGTCCTGTTGCGGCAGCGCCGGAACTCCCCCGACTGCCCAGATTGGGGTATGGCGGGGTGTTCGGAGACTCGAGGGGGCAGGGCCATACCATCAACCCGACTAGGACCCTGCCTCCTTTGAGCTCTTTGGTTTCCTCGGCCGGCACGGGGTTATCGTCCGCTGGGGATTCTACTGTGCCGAGGAAAAGGTCCTATATTGACCTTACGGAGGACTAGTTTGACTGGCACAAGCGTCGTGGCGAAAAGTTATGTCTCGGTTTTCTAGGGAGGATTTGCGGATTATGTTTGGATTTAGATCTTGGATACCCTGTAATCAGCCTTCTATCAGCACTTGGGTTAATGAATCGATGTTTTCGGGATGTTCTTTTTATTTACATACTATGGAATGGCTTATACCCTTAATGATAGCCTTTAGGTATACCTTTCAATTATTAGTTCTGTAAATGGGTCAGTCAATAATGCCATGGAAGGAGCTGCCTAGGTATGGGCCATAGCCGCTGGTTTATGCTACAAGATGCCAACCCTAAAAGAAGCCCCAGTAAGACCCGGCCCAGGCGGCCGCACCTTGTGGACAATTTATTGGACATGGTTCGCTCCATCGACAGCAAAGATCCACAGCTGCTCCACCCACACAGCAAATAGGCAGCAAAAAACAAAAAGAATGACCGACGCAGGGCTCGAACCTGCAATCTCCTGATTCGTAGTCAGACGCCTTGCCAATTGGGCCAGCCGGCCTTGTTGTTGAAAGGCCTGTTTTATTTTACATAAATCAGCCAAACTTTATGATGCTCAGAATGTCGTGCATAAAACGTGCCCTGACTAATCTTCCATCATGCACAAGCCAGCAATCCACGAACTTTCCACAAGCTCTGAAGCATGTGACCGAGTCGCAATATATCGAGTCTGCCAATGGCAATGGGGAACCCAAGTCAAAATACAGACTCTTTGCCATCACGGATTGCGAGCCTGGTTCATTCGCACTTTGATGGTCTGCCAAAGCGCTCCAAGCCGGTTCTTCGCGATGATGGGACGGCCGAATGGATTCCCATGACGGGGATTGTGCTTGTTAAAGGTGGGTTATATACAGATTTCTTACTATTACTCATGATGTATTGGGTATTTCTACGGGTCTTGGGTCGTAGCCTATGTATTCGTATTCCCTTGGAATTCACACTTTTGTCCCATGTCAACCTCCTCAATGCTCCTGATCTAAAAATATATATCCGCTAACATCTACACCCAACAGCTGAGAATACACCTGAAGAAACACTAACCTGCGTCGCCGTCACGTATGTTCCAGTCCCATCCATTCGAAGTATAACTACAACTAACAAACGCTAGAACCGGCGCAAAATGCCTCCCGGCAAGCCAAATCCCGCATTGCAACGGCCTAGTCCTGCACGACTGCCACGCCGAGATCCTCGCCATGCGCGCCTTCAACTACTGGCTGATCTCCGAGTGCCGCGCTGTCCTCGAAGCCGAGCAGCAGCAGCAGCAGCCCTCCAGTCCAGGGGACACGAAGAAAGCCACACCATTCATCCGACGCCGCCAGCAAGACGGCGCCAGCGACAGCACACTGCCCCCCTTCGAAATCCACCCAGACGTGCACATTTACATGTACTGCACGTGCGCGCCCTGCGGCGACGCAAGCATGGAGCTCGTGATGGCGGCGCAGGACGACGCAACGCCGTGGGAACTGCCAGCCACCTCCGACACCTTAAACACCGCGTTCCTCTCCGGCCGCGGCCACTTCTCGCAGCTGGGTATCGTGCGCCGGAAGCCCGCGCGCGCAGACGCCGAGAGCACGAAGAGCAAGAGCTGCTCGGACAAGATTGCGCTGCGGCAGGTGATCAGTCTCTTGAGCTTTGAGAGTAGTTTGCTTGTTGCTGTTACGGCGAACGCGTATATTCGGGCGCTGGTTATGCCGGAGGAGGAGGTTAGTCGGAGTGGGTGTGAGAGGTGTTTTGGGGGTGGGGAGGGTGGGAGGTTGAGGGGGGTGAGGGGGAGGGTTTGGGGGGCCTCAGTTGATGCGGCGGCTGCTTCTGGGGATGGGGAGAAGGATAGTGATAAGGGGCGATATAGCTATGCGTTCCGCCCATTCGAGGTCCTTTCTATCCCGGATGCACAGCTCAAAGCGCTCTGGCCGTTTCGGAAACCAAGAGCCAGTGATGTGGTTCCAGATCCAGATCCAGATCCAGTCTCAGCCTTAGACCCGGCCTCCGAAGACACTGGCACAGCACCAACGCCAAAAGCGAGGAAGAGTAAGCCAGGCACCATATCCGCCGTGTGGGTGCGCGCTCCAACATCACCTCCAACAGCAACAACAGATACCCAGAGTCCCAAGCCATCAACAACGGTATCCGACAACGGCACCAAGACCCTCCCCGTCCTGCGCGGCTCAAAAACGGGTCTCTTTGAAAGCATAATCGGCGGCGTGCGCCAGGGGCATAAGGCTGTTTTCCCGGGACCGGGGATTCGCGGGGCATCTGCGTTATGTCGTGCTAGGATGTGGGAGCATTGGAGGGGGGCTGTTACTGCTACTGCTACCGTTAGTAGTGTTACGCCCTCTGCCGCGGACCAGGACAAGGGACAGGAAGGCGATGCGACTCGTTTGCATTCGAGGAGTACGGGCATAGACTATGCGTTGCAGGCGTCAACATATAGAGAGTTCAAGAAGGAGCCTAAGGCTGAGGGGCTGAGCAGTGCTGTGCGCGCTAGGAGGCAGGCTATGAGTGCTGCGAAGGATGTTTTGGGTGGGTGGGTGCCTAATGAGGGGGATGAGGGGTGGGGATGGAGGTGGGAATTAGGGACGCTGGTGGATGAGAGGGGAGATCCCGTTGAGATGGATCCGAAGGGGTCGAAGAAGAGGAAGCGATGATGTACATGTCATTATTAGATTAAATTTATATCCGAATGTTATACATAGAGTACATAGAACTTTTCCACCTCGCATTTCCCAGCCAGCCAAACCGTCCATGTCCGTGACTTCATCCAATAGAAGACAAATTAAGCAAGGATTAAAAATATATGTCAGTCCTACCAACCAAGCTCGGTTAAGGCTTGTCACCAATCAGTAGATACCCGGGATGATCCGGCTGCGAACAAGGGAAGTATATCTATCCCAGTCCTTGCCGTACTTTCTCTTGCACTTCTCCTCATCACGACGCTCACGGTGGATAAGGAGGACACCAAAGTAGATCAGGAAGAAGTAAGTGACGAGGAGAGCTGCACCACGGGATTCCGGCGTCTGGACGGCTTGCTTCTCCACCTCGCCAGTAGATGGGTTGACGCTGTTGATTATGACGAAGCCGGAGATTCCGGTGGGCAGCGAGTAAGACCACGACATCAGCCAATCGCCGAGGTAGTTGATGTGCCGGGCTAGACCCCACCAGCCGGAGGTCATGAGCTTGGACCCAGACGCAGTCTCGATGCACTTGATGTCCTTGACGCGCGGGTCGTTGGGGTTGGTACGGAAGCGGTTCTTCTGGTTGTTCGCACCGCGGAAGATCATGTAGCCCACGGCTGTGGGGGCGAGGACGAGGGCGACGCCCTGCAGACCGAGTTCGTAGGGGAACATCGCGAGGTACCGGGTTTGAAGGTTGTAGACGAAGGGAACCCAGACGAGGTCACCGAATGAGAGCATGTAGCCAAAGCCGTCCATGATCACGTCCATGGTGGTCAGAAGCGCGGGCTCCATGTAAAGACCGTCCAGGACGTAGAACGCCTGAAGTGCGGTGGAGAGGACAATGGAGTCGGTGACGTATCCGTATGTCCTGTACTGGCGGGCGATGTTGGACAGGTTCATGATGATCCATCCTAGCAAGCCAGGGCGCATCTCGCACCAGACCTTGATATCGATTGTTCGAGAGGCCTCGTCGATGAACGGAATCGGGAGCCGCACTCGGGGGTTTAGTTCACGTCCGATGAAGAAGTCATACAGCACATTGCCGGAGTGTCCGCCGGGGGCCAGCTGCCGGAGCTCAGGGTTGGGCTTGCCGGGTGCTGGGACGTAGAAACTCTTCAGGTAGACGAAAGCCGCGAGCGACGAGCAGATGATCAAGTTCGCGGTGATGACCTGCGGATAGTTGTCCCAGATGAATGTCCAGACGACGAAGTCGGCGCCATACAAGTAGGTACCAGCAGCCAAGCCGGACAGGATCAGCACAGCGGTAGGGAAAGCATTGAACTTGTATCGCAGTCTGCCTCCGCAAGCCAGTTCGGTCCCCTCCACCACCGGCCCTGGTAGAGCGATGTACAGCGCTAGCTGCAGCAGGTAATAGCTCAGCACCCACAGAAGAACCCGGGTATCGTAGAGCGCGGAGATTCCTCCCTCGGGCCAGCCAACTTCCTCCTTCAATTTATCGAGCGTCAAGGTGGAGGGGTGTAGGAGGGATGGCGCGGGACAACCGGAGACATCGTTGCACAGAAAGGTGAAGGCAAAGAGGAGGACAGGGAGACCGAAGGTGATCGCAAACGCGCCGTACCTGCAGTAGTCAGTCGCCGAGCAATCGCGGGATTAGAGCACAACACACGGGCCAAAGAACTCGTAGCCTCGCTTTTCCGGGACTGGTTGTATAGGGACAGGGGTTTTGGCTTTTTTGGACGTCATTTTGGTGAGACCCTGGAAGTTCAGTTGAGCAATTGATGATGAACGGCAGTGGGACAGGCTGCAATATTTATCCCAGCAGACCCAGATCTCTCAAACACCACTCGGATGGACAAGAGCCGAGTGAACCTTAGAATGGTACCTACCTAGGGGGCTGTGAGATGCAGGGCCCAGTCCAGTGTGACTCGGCTACAGCCACCGTAGCTCTCACGCTAATCAAGCAAGCCTTCTCCGCACCGCAGCCCGCGGCATCCGCAACGTCAGCATCTTGTCTTCACCCTTCTATGCTTTGTTGTCCATTCTTACGCTCTCTACCGTTTCCTTGCCTCTATCGCTATCAATCGCTCGCTCCGAACTTGATCACTCGAATCCAATCTAGCCGCCGACTCTTGCGGCCGAATCCCCGCGATGAAGTCACCGATCTCGCTCGTCGGCTTCCTCCTGGCCTTTGCCTCCTTTACCTTTGTATTCGCTGCTTCCGACACGTCCAGCCCTAAGGAGCTTGCTCCGTGCGTCGCGCGATCTCCGACAACGGGGCTCTACTACGACCTCAACGCCTTGCGAGTACAACCGCTTCCGAGCGACGAGAAGGCCCGCAAACACGTCCGAGATGAAAGCTGGCACGCGAAAGGCTATGACTACAATGCCAATTTTACATTGAATATCTGCGGGCCGGTCATTGAGAACGTTACGGACGTGGTCGGGATCGAGGAGCCCGGTTGGCGGAATGTCAGCGCATATTACAAAAAGGATGGGAAGACATATTCGATTGGGTTCGTCGCGCGGTCGTCGCATTGAGATTTGAGCTGACATGGCCTAGGCAACAATCGTCCGATCCTTTCTTTCGCGGCCGCAAGCTCGTCATGAACTACACCGATGGGTCGCCCTGCGATGATGAGGGATCGCATAACAAGTCGACGATAATTTCGTTCCTGTGCGATCGCGACGTGACCACGTCGACTCCCACGATCTCCTTCGTCGGTACTATGGACCAGTGCACATACTTCTTTGAGGTCCGAAGCTCCGCCGCCTGTGGTGGTTATGGCCACGATCCTGCTGGACAGGGTCTTTCCCCGGGCGGCGTGTTCGGTATAATGTGAGAACTACCCTATCAACATCAGCGCTACAGGCTAACAAGCACCAGCGCCCTTATCGCGGTCGCAGCGTACTTGGTCGGCGGTTGCGCATACCAGCGGACCGTCATGCATCAGCGCGGCTGGAGGCAATGCCCCAACTACAGTCTCTGGGCCGGGATCTTTGACTTTTTCAAAGTAAGTCTACTGTGGCTGATCCCATTTCGGCGTTCGCCCGGCAGGTACCGCGGCAGGGCCCTGAGCAACCCAAAGTTACCCACGTCGCGGCTGGATTGAGCGTTCTGCTATCTAGCCTTCATCCTCTCTCACATTATCTCCATCCTGTCGTTATCGTTCCCATAGAATGTACCTACCGCGCTGGACGCCGCCTACTGTTGGTTAGAGACCTACCACATTCGTTTCAGGCTTAGCCTCAGAACGCAAAGAATGCTAGACGCGTGTCCATCTCCAATCCACGTTTTACTGCCCACTTTCACCCTCTGCTCGCTCGCTCCATCCCTATCAATCCCTAGCGAAGCTAACGCTCTTCTGACTAGGACATGACGATCATAGCCCTCTCATCACTAGGGCGCCTCTTCCGCCTCAAACGCTCACCAGCCGGATACTCCTCCGCCGGAACCGACAGCCCGCCACGAGGCCGTTTCGGCAGCGGCAGACGACGCGACATCGACGCGGAAAATAGACTGATTGACCAATTGGATGAAGAATGGGACGATTAGAGCTGCGTGCGTCGTCCTTACCAAGTTTGGCTTTTTCTCCTGTTTGCACAGAGTTTTGTGTTTCATGCGATATGATAGATGGGTTTGATATGGTTATGGTTATGGCTATGAGAGTGTAGATGGACCACGGCCGGGTCTTGAGACGCCATTGGTGTACTATGTGGTATACAGGGGGCTGAGACCGGCTATATGGATATATACCTGGAAGGAATGAATTATGGTTACGCTTATGCTTCGCCTATGTACTCCACTTGTTTGTATTCGTAGCTTTTACCGACCCGTAAGGATCGTTTAGGGAGGTCATTTATGCTCTATGTACACCACTCATACTCCGTACTCGAGGAGGGAGACTGAACGAAGATTTTTGCGCCTGTAATAAGGGCTTGTCTCTTATCATGCAGAATTAGACATGGTTTTCAACAACTAGCATCATTGGTCTAGTGGTAGAATTCATCGTTGCCATCGATGAGGCCCGTGTTCGATTCACGGATGATGCATTGCAATTTTCTTTTTGTCCATGTCCCATGTTTTTTCTCGCCTGAAATAACACGACCCTCATGTCTGAGACGCACTTATTTACCTTGTACATAGAGTTTGGAATTCTCTGGTCGATGCGGCTCCTCTTTGATTTTGAGTTCGAACCAGTCTTGCGTTCCGCGGAATCAATCCAAGTCTCAGATAGAGACGAGGTTGCAAGCAGTCAGTGAATATTTAATGGCAGCCCTAGTCATAGAGATCATTCCAGTACATCCTCTCTTCAAGCTGCTCCTCACTCAGACCTGCATGCACAAAATGCTCACGCTGCGGCGTCCGAATCCAACGGTGAACCTCCCCAGCAGCCCTCCAGCCAAAGAAGCCCGCCATTTCCCAATCGATAAGCCCAACAATCTTGCCCTGATCGACGATGCAGTTGGACTCGGTGAAATCATTATGCATGAAGCTCCTGTCTGCATCGTCGCTTGCGCCTGAAAAGAGGATTTCCGCCTCCCGGGGATTCAGACGCCCGTTGCTGAGGATGTTGGGGTCGGGCACCACATGCGAACGAGCCCTGAAGCCCTCCCTTGGCTTGATGGTGTGCAGCAGCTTGAGTATTGCCCTGGCTTGCTCTTTGAAGGAATCCCGTTCTTCTCGGGAGAGATACGGACGCGCGACCGACAGACTCACACCGGGGAGTCTCTCTTGAACCAGAACCTGGCGATTGTGGATCTGCGAATAGTTGTTAGACCCTGTGAGGAATCGTGAGTAACGCGAGAACTGGGAATCATCCGTACCTTGCCAGCGAAGTAGATCTCCGGTACTCGGACACTGATAGCGTTGAGGACCGTCCTCGCAAGCGCAATTGCCTGGACTTCATTTGCGTCCGCGTACGAATAGTCAATTTCCGTACAGGAACCCTTCGGATCGTGGAGATGGCTGGACTTGACGATCACGCTACCAAGAGCGAAGACATCGCGGCCCCCTTCGTCGGCGGGATAAATCCGGTTCTCCTCGGTGCAGAGGCTAACAAAGGAGGCCCAGTACTCTAGTGACTCTGCAGTCTGCGAATTGGCGTGTTGGGAATCAATGCGGAAGTCGTCCGGCTTGGGTAGGTATCGACCGTAGAAAGGCACATCTGAATACAAGTCGGTTGGCGGAATCTTATCCGGGTCCGCTTCATACGGGTTCGTCATTTTGTAGTTGCAAATGAGGAAAGCTCACAGTAAATACTGTCTCAGTGTGGCTGGCAGCGGGGTTGTCGATACGCCGGACGCAAGGAACCGCGGACACGGACCTATCGTCTACGAAGGCCAGAACTCTACATTCAGCCTCAGCGATGGCCCAGGCCATGGCCCGCGCAGCATTTCTTTGGTGGAATCACGAGGCCGGGAGCGATGGAAGAGTTGCTGGGAGGACACCTGACTGGCTCCTCCCATCATCTCGGCTCCTTAGCTATGCTGCGAAAATGGAAATATCGTGCAAGTTAAATTCCACAGCTATTATATCATATATAATACCGAATCGATGAGAAGACCCCACAGCTAAAACGCAGAAAAGCCAATGACAACCAACCCTGTAAGTATATATCGCCGACCATGCAACATGAAACAATGAAGACCACGAAGTAATCGTACAGTTACCACATCTATTCCTTCATCTGCGACCCATGACCATGATTCATGCCAGACATACCAAGATCATACGCACCCATGGGCATATTCCCCGCACCGCCAAAACCCGACATACCAGCGCCAGGGTCCGGTTGAGAACCCGGATCAAGACTGGCGCCCGCGCCGATGGGATCAAGGTTAAAAGGGAGGAACCAGGCGGATGGCTGGTAATACTCGCCAGCACCCGAAGGTGCATTAGGATCCATCTGGCCAGTGAAGATATCCTGGGTTGAAAGGCCATGGTCCTGGGGCGGAGGCACGTCTGCGCCGTTCATTGTGGAAAAGGGAGTCTGATCGTTAGAGACGTAGGAAGTGGGAGATGGCTTGAAGCCAGAGAAGGAGTCATAGACAAACTGGCGGTCGAGTTGGGGGAGTTGATCGGTAACGGGGATGGTGAAGTCGAATGGGGAATGGCCAAAGGTTTGTTGGCGGTTTGGAGGGAACATTGGTTGCGGAAAGCCTGTTCCTGAGGTGCCGAGGATGCCGGGGGATGTTTCCATGTTGACGTCGACGATTTGTTGCGAGGTGGATGTAGGTGTTGTTTGGTCCATGCCTGTTAGGTCGATTCTGCTGCCGGCTCGAGAGTGTTTACGGCGGAGAACGCTCGGTTGTGGTGTCGGCGAGAGGCTGGCGAAGAAGTCCTCGACGCTCTGAAGGTCAGGTTTCTGGCTCATTACGGCCTCGTCGTCATTCTTTCGGCCGGCATGGCCATCTTCCCAATGTTGCCGTGACACGCCGTGGGGGTACTTGTCGAACCAGTCGCCGTACTGGAACATGGGAGCAACGGGCCCGTTCTGGGTCGTTACTGTGCCCTTGAGCGCGGCATCCGCAAACTGTCGGTAGCGGTCCTTGGCGCTTTCTACCATGTAATGGAACATGCCCCAGTATTTCTTCATTTTGTTCAGGTAGCGGTAAGTATGTCGTAGATTCTCTTTGGACCGGGCTTCTAGTTGCTGGTTTTTGGAAAAGATACCCCAAATATGCACGGTACTAGCAGAGTACGCGCAATACCCGGCAAAGGGAACAGTCAGAGGGTATGGCGCAGCATGATTGATGAGCGCAGAGATGTGATGAGCCGCCTCCACGGCGGCTCGTCCTGCATTGCTGAGGAATGTCCGCGGCATATCCCGCGGAGGGCGTCCGCCTGGTGAGAGGGGGATGGCAAACTGGTTGAGAAAAAGAGTATTTTGGTGTATGATGATGTGAAGGAAGAGGAACTGGTTGGCGACGCGGTCGGCCGCATGCACCTGGAGGTTTTCGTAGGTGAAATGTAAATGGCTTGGGAGCGACGCGGAAAAGTCTTCGATTTGCTTCCTAAGGCGTGAATACCCGGACTCTGGTGACCACAGTGGATGATTATCTCGTCGTTTCCCACCAAGGTTCAGATAGTCCACTATTCGGCCCCAAATCACGACCGCTCGAATGATATAGGCCAGCACGCCCATGTTGGACCTTGCATTGGACAGCTGCCCAACATCTTCCGGGACCGGATTGAGCACGTTGCCTTCTAAATCTTCCGTCGGTCCTGGGATCTCCATCTGAAAATGTGTCTCCTTGATCGGAAGTTGTATCTGGATGAACTTCTCGTTACCGATGGGCGGACGCTGACTGCCGGATGAGTTATATCGGTCCATCAGGAAACATGCCCACATAGTTCGCCTTCGGATCTCTCTATCTGTAAAGCTGAGCTGAGCGCCACCACTGTTACCTTGCGTCAGTAACGGATCGTAGTCGAGCTCGCGGTGCAATTGAAGCGCGTAGGCCATGCGCATGGCTTGTCCGCCAAAAGACCAACTCCGTCCGCCGTGGCATGTACCAAATTCATGAAGACCAAGTAGGAGGAAGACCGTTAAGATAGTGATATTCGGCTCGTCATGCCGCTTCAAGGCGATAGTGGCGGCCGGGCTTGCCCAGTTCTCTCCGCGCAAAAACGGGGGCTCCGAGTTAATCTGTGGGTGTGTCGAGAACCGAGCGGAAACGGCGCAAACGGCAAGAATGAGCACAGGCGGCACCGTTCGGGCCTTGAGTCTGCGCACAAAGCTCGGCTTGTGAAGGAGCAGATAGGACTGGCCGTAGACACAGTCAAAGAAAACCTCCGCAAGATGTTCCTGTATCTCCAGCGAGGGCAGAAACTCGGCTCCCTCGGTCATCAAACTCGGCCCATCGGGTTTGCCCTCGCGCCGCATGGGAAAGGTATCCTGCGGCCCGTTTTGGCTCCCGCGCGCCCACTGCTCCAGTTCAGCGGCGAACGCTTCATCAGCCGACCGCTTCTTCTGGTTCTTGACAGCTTGCCCTGGCTGCGCAGGCCGCACATTTGATCGGCCAATGGCCGCCATATCCCTAGCTTCATCCTTCGGAATTGTCTTGATAACCCGGTCCTCCATCCGCTTCAACCGTTTATCCAGCATCGCCATGTAATCCGTGCGGGGAGCCGCCTTTCGAGTCGTGACCTTGTACACACAAGGAATCCGTGACCGAGAGCAATGCTTGCATGCTGGCTTTTCGCCTGAGCAGCGAATCTTCTTCCGCCGACAAGCAATGCATGCTAATGGCAACCGTTTCCGCTCCTTCCCGGCCTTGGTTTTTGTTTCGCTCCATGCCGGCTTTTCCCCGGATTGCTCTTGAGTTTGTGCGGTTTCGTCTGCGTGATCGGGCGCATTTTCCTGGCCTGTATCTGGAAAAGCAATTGAGTCACCGCCGGTCTGAGCGCTTCCCGGCTCGCGCGAGCTGGCCGGGCTATTCTCTTCGAAATCGTCGGGGAGGGCGACATCGTCGTGGCCGTGGCCGGGGCCTAACGAGAGCGAGGGATTCGCCGCCGGGGACTCGTCGGGCTTGAATGGGATCATGATGGGTGCGGATACCCCAGCGACGGGGAACAGGTCATCGTTCGAAGGAGGGCAGAGTGGCAGGCGAGGGGTCCCAAAGGACGAGATAGCAATTATTGCTCAGAAAGCGGAGACGAACTGGCGAAGACGGGGAAAGAACGAGGGTCGGCTTGGCGCTGGTCGCTGTCCGGGGTTGGATTACTAATCCTCTTCTCCGGTCTCGCGAACCTTTTCTTCCTTTTCTTCTCTTACACCAGACAATTAGTACCCCAATTATTCAATTGAACAGCGATAACGAACCTGGTCGGTTTGTCCGAAGTTCTTTAGAACAATGTGACTCGATGTCATGGGCGAATGCACTGATCGCCATTGGGCGGACCCGAAGAACCTATTGTTTGGGCGAACCAGCGCAGCAGAAGCAACATTATGGAGCTCTATTGCTGTTGATCAAGTCTAGTTCTGTCCCAATTATCGGGCTTTAGCCGGGATCGCCCGGACGCGGCTCTCATTTCGGTTGTTAAATCATCTACGGAGTATATTGACAAGGTCTATCTAGAGACGGTAGCGAAACTCGAATGTGTTCCAGTCGGTCACATCATCGCCATCATCCTGCCTCGAGAGGGTCCGGATGAGCGGAGATACTTCCGTGCTACCCGTTTGACGGCCACCTGGCTGCTGGGGGACTCCAGCGGAGCCGGTGTTTACCATACCTTCTTCACGATCACGTCGGGAATTAAGGCGTCGCAGATACAAGTACAGGGAAAAGGTCAACACCGCTGCAAGCGCATAGCAAATGAGAATGGACCGGAACGAGGTCTCATGGCCTTCTTCGCGAGCGCGGAACAAGTGAGGGCCTGCGATATTTCCCACGCAGTATGCGACGAACATCGATCCCGTCATGGTCATCTTCTTGGTAACGCCCATGTAGTTGGTCTGCGCCAGGGACATGGTCAGAGGCAGCGCGCCAGGGCCCGCGGCAAGGAGGAAATATCCCAAGAGCTGGATGCCGAGGGAAACGTGGTATACCCGGGCATAGACCAGGGTGCTTCCGAGGCCTGATATTGCCAGGATGCACGCAATGAGGATGCAGTTGATGTTCCGAAATCGACCCGCGAGCCATCCGGTGAGGGTGATTGTCCCGGCGCTGATGAGGCTCACAGGGATATTGATCAAGGTGGATTCCAAGGCCGTGAACCCGAAGGACTTGATGACCAGGTTCGCAAAGTTCTGGATGCCTCCGTTGGGTATCTGGAGCAGAGTGACAATTCCAAGGAGATGCCATGTTTTAGGGTCTCGGAAACACTCGAATGCCTGCTCTGTGTTCCATTTAGTCCCCTCTGTGCGTCCTGTTCCGGCAATGACGACGCGATCTGATATGAACGCTTTCTCTCCCTCGGTCAAAAAAGTCGCATTCGAAATGCTGTCTGGGAGTAAGGCTAGAATGACGAAGGCCCAGAAGAAAGTGACTACCCCAAGGATCATGAAAAGCCACATCCATGGACGCAGAGGGTGTTCTATATGGCCGACGCCGTACGCCAAAAGACTGGCCATAAGCCCACCAAAGGAATTTCCCGAGAACCAGATACCGGTTCGTATAGGTATCTCATCGCGGGTATACCACGTGGTAGTGATGAACATGAACGCCGGCGTTATGGTTGCTTCTGCGACCCCTAGCATAAACCGGACCATTAGCAAGCCGCCATAGTTGACACAAGCGGCAGTCAAAGCGACCACGGTCCCCCAGAAGAACGTATTCGCAGCTAGGTATTTTGCCACGGGGACGCGTGGGATGAGGAAGTTGGTGGGCTTAATGTCTGTCAGCTGTAGTGACGGAAGACCGGACCTAGGTGAGCATACCCATTCCCAGAGCAAATAACCGAAGTAGAATGCACTCGATACCCAGCTATACTGCTGTCCGACCAGGTGCTATATTGTCAGTCGCCACTCTGATGAATGGAAACCGAACTCACTGTATCCTCGATCAGGCCAAAAACTGCCGCACTGGACAGGATTGTTTTGTCCATGAAGGCGAGCATGTAGGTGATGAACAGGAGGGGAATCAGACGCCGATCGACCTTTTGCAGCGCTTGGGACGCTTCAATTGCGCTGCTGTCGCCATGCTGCAGGGCCGGGGCCATCCTCAAGGTGGTTGAGGAAGTAAGGTGGATTGTGCGACGAACTTGCGGGGAAGCAGCATTGGACCATTCCGGACTTAGCGATCAACCACGGCCCTCCCGTCAGCTTATCGCAGGCAGGCGCCCACAGCCTAAATCAACTTCAATAACCCTCATCAATTCAACATCGATAGTTCTGAGCAGGCTCTTATCCAGTCTGAGGCCCTGGCCACGGTCGGAGACCCCACTGACAACGACCGAACTATTGTGGGGCGCGCCCTACGGACTACAACCCGCTTATGGGCAGCATGCACTCTATAAGTAGACGTGCCTGATGACCAGAATCATTTGGTCTCAGACCGATACTTTCCGAAATGCGTCGAGCTGCTCGGCAAGAAGTTCCTGCGGCCTTTGAGGCCGAGTCAGTGGCTGAAGCTGAGAGTCATGCAGTAACCTGGGCCTTTCCCGAGGGTGGCCGACAGGCATGGACCTGCCTACTGGGGTCCTGTTTACTCATGTTTCCCTCGTTTGGTTTTCAGACTGCCAGTGAGTTCCCACCGGAAGAATAGTAGCAAATGTCCTGCTGACAATTCTGCAGTTGGTTCTGTTCAAGAATATATCAGCACGAACCAGCTTGCCGGGTATAGTGTCCGCGACGTAGGCTGGATCACTGCCATCCTGGTGTTTCTGACTCTATTCCTCGGAGTCCAAGTTGGTCCTCTTTTTGATCGATATGGACCACGGACTCTGTTGATTTGCGGGTCGCTGGCCAGCTTCATGTCGTACATGCTGCTCGCAGAATGCACCAAGTACTGGCACTTCATCCTGTGTTTGTCCGTGCTTGGAGGAATCGCCGCCGCAGTTATTACCACCGTGTCGATTGCTGTCCTGAGCCACTGGTTTTATCGCCGGCGCGCGCTTGCGTCCGGCCTCTGCATGGCGGGATCCTCTGCCGGCGGAGCGATCCTACCACTCGTTCTACGGGCGCTATTCCCGCGGTATGGTTGGACAATTGCCATCCGCGTGGTCGCCTTCATCGCGCTAGGATGTTATGCGCTAGGTGTAATCCTAGTCCGTGGACGACTACCCCTAAGTGGCAGCGCCAGCAAAGCAACGATTGACTTCCGCGCGTTCAAGTCACTGCGCCTCTGCTTCCTGACCGTGGCCGTGTTCTCCTTCGAGTTCATCATCTTCGGCTGTGCCGCACTACTACCAACGTACGTGCGCTTTGCCGGAATGTCCACAGACATCCAGTTCTACTCCCTCACCGTCTTGAACAGCATGAGCTTGCTGGGCAGAGTCTTTCCCGGAGTTGCCGCCGACCTGTTTGGGCGCTTTAACATCCTGCTGTGTCTAGTAGTAGTCACAATGGTAGCCATGGCGGCCGTGTGGCTGCCCTTCGGCACCCGCGACGAGACAACACTGCTCGCTGTCGTTGCGGTATTTGGATTCGGCTCTGGCGGGTGGCTCTCGCTGGCGCCGGTGTGCGCCGGCCAGTTATGCAGAACAGAAGAGTACGGACGCTACTATGGCACCATCTACTTTGTGGCGGCGTTTGGGGTCCTCTTGACGGTTCCTGTTGGGGGCGATCTGCTGCAGTCAACCACGCCCAGGGTGCTCATTGGGTTCTATTCGGCGGTGCTGCTGGTTGGGTTTGTTGCGCTTGCGTTGTCGAGATGGGCTTTGTTGGAGTGGAGGTGGAGGTGGAAGGTGAAGGTATAAACCGTAGCTAGGCTCCTTTCAAGATGATGTCCTGGGGTAGGTATCTCAGATAAAGATAGAATCTAGAAACTTGAAGTAATCGCAGCTTGCTCTGGTTTCAGAGTGGTTCAAGAGAAGACATGTAACCTTTTGTCATACATAGAAAGAGGACATCTATTCAAGGCCCACTCCATCACATAGCCATGTCATTGTTCGAACAACCTACCTTGCCCAGCGAAGCCCAACCATCCTAGTTAGGACTAGCTGCATGCCAACCTACGGTAATCTCATGCGGGCATGTCCTAAGAGACAGCCTAATCGAAAACAACCTTCTGCCCGGACCTCCACGGGTGACTTCCTCGTCAAAATAAAGTATGCCTAAGCGCCCACGTCTCTCTTTCTGCCTTTCTAAGACAAATGGGATCAAAGTCCGTCTTTTCTCTACTACCCACACCAAGGCCTCTCGTTCTGATCTATTCGACTACACGTCAGGCCGGTGGATGTATGTTCTTTCCCTATCGCAATAACCTTCCATAACTGATCCAGCGTAGCTACAATGACGCCCTACGGCACCGGGAGAGAAGGCGAATCTTCAACGTTCCGGAGCTTAAGCGCCTGGCAGCGTCATCAATCGGCCAGAAGGAAGAAGACGTGGTTGGTTTCGAGAAGCTAGCCGAGGGAGGGTTCAACAGGACCTTTCTCGTGACGATGCGAGATACATTTCGATTCGTGGCACGGATTCCTTATCCTGTAACTCAGCCCAAATCCTTGGTCATCGCCAGTGAAGTCGCGACCATGGATTATCTCCGTGCTCATGACATCCCAGTCCCCCAGGTCTACGGCTACTCTGCAACTGCCGATAACCCTGCGGAGACGGAATACATTTTCATGGAACTTATGCCAGGACACAACCTGGGTGACATATGGTTCGACCTGACTGAGAAGCAGAGGTCCAGATTGCTTACGCAGCTGGTGCAGGTCGAGTCGCGATTGTTTGCGCTGCGATTTCCAGCGAGCGGGAGTCTGTATTACTGCTCCGACCTGCCTGAGCATACCAAGGTCATCGTTGCGAGCCCGACAACCAGCGCAGGCCGCTTCTGCATCGGTCCGGAGACATCGCTTGGGCTGGTGTACGGGAGGAGGTCGAGCTTACAAGTAGACCGTGGACCATGTGAGTATCTACTGGCTCACATCAGAAATCAATTTAATGTATACAGATCAAGATACCCTCACAGCATTAACAGCCGGTGCAAAAAAGGAGATTGCATACCTGTCCCAATTCGGCCAACCTCTCCAGCCCTTCCAGCGTCTCCGCAGAGAGACCTACAACTACCAGCCCCAATCGCACCTCGACCACATCGCAACCCTCAACCAATATCTCCAGATCGCACCGAGTCTTACTCCCCACAATAATCCAGCCCTGCAGCGCCCCGTCCTCCGACATCCAGATCTCCAACCCAACAACATCTTCGTCACAAACGAACTCGAAATCACCGCGCTGATCGACTGGCAGCACACCGCAATTCTCCCCCTATTCCTACAATGCGCCATCCCCAACAGCATCCAAAACTACGGCGACGAGATCTCCGAGTCTCTAACGGAACCGACCGTGCCGGCCAATTTCAACGACCTGGAACCACAAGAGCAATATGCTCAAGCCGACCTCTTCCGTAAGCGTCAGCTTCACTACCTCTACGTCAAAATGACCTCGCAGATGAACACCGAGCACTACGATGCCCTGGCCCATGGGTTCAGCACGCTGAGACGACGGATCTTTCATCATGCCAGCGAGCCCTGGGAAGGCGATAATGTATCGCTCAAGTCGGATCTGATTACACTCTCGCAGAAGTGGACAAATATCAATGGTACAGGTGGCAATGCGCCACCTTGTCCACTGGTATACTCCGACGCCGAGTCAACTGAGTGCTTCAGACTAGCGCGCGCTCAAGCTGAGGCAGATGAGCAGTTCAGATTGTGCCGGGATGTGATTGGGGCTGGGAATGAGGGCTGGGTTCATGTTGACCAGTATGAGGAGGTTAAGGCAAGGGAAAGGACATTGAGGAGGAATGCACTTGACGCGGCGGAAACGGATCAGGAGAGGAAAGAGATAGAGGAGAATTGGATTTTTGATGATTTTGATGAGGATGGGTATATGTAGCAATACTTTCTCTGATGTGATGAGTCTGTAGTATGATTCATTATCAAAGATGTGAAGTATTCCATGATATATATCAACCTTCAAAGTTTTCTCCTACTAATGCAATTCCGTGAGAACTGTACTACGAATCCATGGACTCCTTACAACCGAACGGTGTATACTGCCCCACATTTAAGGGTTCTCGGCGAGTGGGGCCAAGCCAATCACGTGAAGAAGAAGATGTCACTGCTTGCCCGTGATTGGGCGACGCATTTCTTCAGCAACAGTATGGCACAGATATCAAGCAGAAAGTATCCAGACAGATATCGCAATACCCATCCAAGTCCCCTACAACACTCAGAGCGAAGCGCAATTTTCAACATGGATCTCGAGAAACAACCCCGCGACCCGGAAACAGCCCCTGCCCCAGCACAAGCACCATCATGCGCTGGATACCCACCAGACAACGACGACGGCACCCCAGACACCGGCCCAGTTTCAGCCTTCAAACAGCTCGGCCTGCTCGACCGCTTCCTAGCCCTCTGGATCTTCCTCGCCATGGCTATCGGCATCATCCTGGGCAACTTCGTCCCGAATACGAGCGAGGCGCTGCAGAGGGGGAAGTTCGTGGATGTTTCGGTGCCGATTGGTAGCTCTTCTCCTTCCCTCACAAGTACGAAAATGGTGTAGCTGACGCGCGTAGCGGTCGGTTTGCTGGTCATGATGTACCCGATTCTGTGCAAGGTGCGGTTTGAGACGCTGCACCGGTCGTTCGCGCAGAAGAGCCTTTGGGTCCAGGTTGCGTTTAGTGTGTTGGTGAATTGGGTTGTTGCGCCGTTGTTTATGGTATGATTCCCGATCCTTGTTTCTGGCAGAGTTGGAAAGGCTGATGGTTGTAGCTTGGCCTGGCGTGGGCGTTTCTCCCGGATGAGAGGGGTCTCAGGGAGGGGTTGATCTTGGTGGGCATTGCGCGGTGTATTGCGATGGTATGGATTTGCCGACATTTGTTGAGGTCATGACTGACAAACGTAAGGTGCTCGTCTGGACCGGACTGGCCGGCGGCGACGGCGACTACTGCGCGATCCTGGTGGCCATCAACTCGATTCTGCAGATGGTGCTCTTCGCACCACTGGCCATCTTCTTCATCAATGTGATCGGCGGCTCCGACGAAGGTATCAGCATCGACTACTCGCTCGCCGCGAAGAGCGTCGGCGTCTTCCTCGGTATCCCGCTGGGCGCAGCCATCGTCACGCGCTTCACCCTGCGGTTCCTGATAAGCGCGGAGTGGTACGAGCGGCAGTTCCTGCGATGGCTGAGCCCCTGGTCGCTGATCGGGCTGCTGTTTACCATCCTCGTGCTGTTCGCGTCGCAGGGGAAGCAAGTGGTGCATTCGATCGTCTCTGTGGTGCGGGTAGCCGCGCCGCTGATCGTCTACTTCGCGGTTATTTTCCTGGTGACGCTTGCGGTGACGAGGCGGTTCGGATTCGGGTATAAGCTGTCCTGCACGCAGAGCTTTACGGCCGCGAGCAATAACTTTGAGCTGGCGATTGCGGTGGCGATCGCGGCGTTTGGGGTAGATAGTGACCAGGCCTTAGCTGCGACGGTTGGTCCGCTGATTGAGGTCCCGGTATTGCTGGGGTTGGTGTACGTGGTCAAATGGGTCGCTAGACGACAGAAGTGGGCGTGATGCGCGTTCTGTATATAGTCGTAGGCTTAATGACCACTGATTTCATCCAAGACTTGGAATAGGACCTGGTTCTGGACTCGGCATCCTTCTTCGGAGCTGCTGCGGAAGAAGCCTTTGCGGAGCTTCGCCTGGATTTCCGAGACGTCGACGCCGCGAGCGTTGTACTGGTTCACCAGTTTCTCGGCAATGGCGCAGAAAGTCGTGTTGAGGACTCGCTCGCTGATCGGCAGAGACTCCGGCCCCTCGTCGGCTGAGCATGCACAGAAAGGAGGAAGCGGCGTTGCTCTGGGTTGTCTACATCGAGGTTCACTCGTGCTGGGCTGGCATGTACCGACCACAGACTCGTGGCCTAACGGAGTGTCGGTCCTGGGATTCGGCTCAGGCTGCGTCCATTTGACCTTCTCAGGCTGCATTTGGGATCCTTGGGGTCGTTGAAGTGCCGGAATCGCAACCTTCTGGGCCATGACCGGGTCGTCAACGATCCGCAAATACTCCTCGAGGGCATCAGGTGGAACCCCCAGGAACAGGTGCAGATCTCTTAGTTTTCGATTCTCGGCCTCTAGTCTTTGGACAGCTAGCCTGTTTTCGACATCCCTCCGGTCGAGCTCTCGTTGGAGGCTAAGGACCTTCCGTTCCAGATCCTGGAGGTGGTCCTGTTTCCGCGCTCTTGATTTGCGCTGGTTCTCCCTAACGCGGGCAAGCTTATCTAGACGCTAGGCAGGTGAGAAATGCGATTGATAGATTCGATTGGCGTGTTACCTTCTTCTCCACGGCTGAGTCCATTTTGTCTCCGAGCGATCTGGTGCAACGCGATAAATTCCCCGCGGATCGAGAGTCCGCGAGAAAGAAGAATCCGATCGAGAGGAAACTCACGTGACCTTCTCCCATTCGCGTCTTCCTCTGCGGATTCGAGCGGATTTCGGTGTGGGCTGCTGGAGCAATTATCTTGGCCGTCTTCTGGCCTGTAATGGCATGCTAGATCTGCAGATCAAACAATAGTCCAGCTTGTTTTAGCACAATGCCGCGATGAAGCAGGATGGGTCCAGAGGGATGGGAGTGGCACTGAATACGGAGCGACGTCACACCGGATCGCGCGGTTCACCTCGAGCTCCAGACATTCCTCCCCCTTCCTCTCACCAAACAGGAATTCATCCTGAACTCCACGATCTCTGTCGCGTCTACCTACATAGTCTTACACCCGTTCGTCTCGGCCCCCATCTCCGTCTGCGCTAGACAATTAAGCTCACACCCCAGACCCCAGATTAAGCTTAGGTCCCCAACATGGTCTCGACACGCCATCACCCGAGCGACTTCCCACCCCCGACCCCCAAATCTTCAACCCCGTCGTCGGCAACCTCCGAACCAAGCGGCGCCGCCTCCAGGAGATGGGTGCACACGCCCACGACAATCACCACGCTCTGGCTGCTGATCTCGTGCCCGCTTGTCCTCTGGGACGCCGGCTACTGTCTCCTGCGCCCGCACAGCATGCCCGGCGGGAAATACCACTCGTTCTGGTCCGGCTATAAGTGGTACGGCACCGTCGACTACATCTACGGGTGGCCGGCGTTCAATGCGAAGAACGGATTCACAAATGCGCAGTCTATTCTGAACCTGGTCGAGACCGCGGGGTACCTGTACTATCTGTACGTTGTATACAGGCACGGAACGCCTGCGGCTGGATCGAAGGGCTCGCGCGAGACGCAGGGGGGAATCTCATGGCTTCTGGCTACGGATAAGGTCGTCTCGGGGCGGACGGGGTCCACGGCGTTGCTCGCGGCGTTTAGTTCGTCTGTGAGCACGGTTTCAAAGACGGTGCTTTACTGTACGGCCACGGTCATCGCATATAGAATCGAAAGCTCAGCTAACATCGCATAGGGCTGCAAGAATACTTCAGTAACTTTGAGAACATCGGCCACAATGGGTTCTGGCCTCTCACTGCTTGGATTCTGCTCAAGTGGGTTCTTCTTTGCACTCATTGACTAGCTGCTAATTGGTATAGTGGCGCTTGGATTGTCGTCCCTATTTGGAATCTGCATGTTTTAGGGGAGGAGATTGTGTCTTCGCTTGCTAATGGCAGTGGTCCCCGTCAACGCGGTCGTCCTAAGGCGCAGTAGCGCGGATTGACTAGTACATATACATCGCGGGACTCGAAAGGAAGAAATGCTGGATACTATCCGATATCCGTTGAATGATTTTGCTCTACGTCTAGGTATTATGGGACTGGCTAGTTCTTGGCTATCTAAACTAATACAAGTGAGGGGCTTTATTCGATCGTACATCGAGATCTCACAGCTCCTATTTGTCGATCTATCCGTCGTAATCGAGATTCGTAGATCACTGCATCCTGCGTCCCTTTTCCTCTTTGAATCTCTGTATGTAACAATGCTGCCGATATGACATCACCACCATGACACCTACACCTACACCTCGATTCGCCGAACACGATAAAACCAACCCGCCCCGGGTATTTGCATTGCAGTTCCCAGCCAGGACTCCAAAACCATAGAGGATTGTCCCAATCATGGCGAATCCCGACAGAAAACGCATCGTCGTGATTGGCGCCGGCGCAGCAGGAATGGTACCTCTACCTCTATATTCTCACTCCAGTTTCCACCAACTCTAATGAGACCAGTCCTGCGCCGCAACACTAGCAAAACACCCCTCCAAGTTCGACATCACGCTCATCGACAGCGTCTCCCAAACCGGCGGGCAGGCAACGACTCTCCCCCTGGACTCCAACAAATACGGCGCATCCTGGCTGAACGACGGCGTGCAAGGCGGCAGCAGCATCTTCAAGCACACCTTCAAGTTCTTCCGGGACTACGGGTACGAGCCGCACGAGGTGAAATTGCAAGTCGCGTTCGGGAAGGGCTCCGATGCGTTCTTTACGAATGTGTTCCCCAGCCCACTGGTCGATGAGTTCCGCGCCGAGATCAAGAAGCTAGGGCGCGTGATGAAGGTCATCAAGTACGCCTTGCCGATACTGGGCGTCTTGCCGGTGAAGGTAATCCTGAAGTTATTTCGGTTCAGCACGGAGTTTGGCAATCGCATGCTCCTCCCCCTGCTGGCACTATTCTTAGGCACAGGCAACCAAACGCCCAATGTGAGCTGTGCGCTACTCGAGCGGCTTTTCCAGGACCCCGCCATGAGACTGTGGGAGTATGACTCCGAAGGCCTAATGACGAATCTCCCGACCATGTGTACATTTCCGAATCTAGGCGAATTTTACGAGACGTGGAAGAACGATCTCGAGATCAAGGGCGTGCGGATCCATCTGAACACCGAGATCGAGATCCTGCATCGAGACCACGACGGCGTCGTACTCAGCCTACACACACCAGACGGCGAGAAAAAAGAAGCATTCGACACGATGGTGCTCTGCACGCCCGCCGACGAGTCCCTTCGACTCCTGGGCCGCAACGCCAACTGGAAAGAGCGCTGGGTGCTGGGCGGCGTGAAGTTCTTCGACGATGTGACTGTCACACATACCGACGCCACCTACTTCAACAGCATATTCGAGACGCGCGTCCGCGATTCCCTCGTCTCAACGGCCCCTTCATCCTCAGTATCACCGGAAACCGCATCAAAGCGCCAAGAGCAACTCTCCTTCGCGACGAAACCGTCCACATGCGAGAAAGACGGCTGGACGGGCTTCAACCCGATGTACTACACGCACAGCTACGCAACCGAGCAGGATAAGATCGAGATGGGCTTCGACTGCTCCAACTACCAGCACCAGTTCCGGCAGGCCGTGGGCGTGGGAAATCCTCCGCTCCCAGACGAGCAGCATATCTACCAAACCATCTTCCTGGATAAAAGCCGCCAGGACCTCTGGACGTGGGAGGATATCGACGAGACCAAGATCCTGGGCAAGAAGTGGTGGCACCAGTTTGGGCACCGGTGGCAGCATTATGCGCGCGTTGTGCCGGGGATGATGTTTGCTAATAGTTTGGCGAATAAGACGCTTTTTGCGGGGGCTTGGACGATGGTGGTACGTCTCTCTTGTCCTCCTCCTTAAACGTTCTCCGGATTGATACGGTGAGTGGTGGCTAATGGATTGGTCGTGCGATAGAATATGCACGAGATCGCGTGTATCTCGGGTATAGCGGCGGCGTATAGGCTCGGCGCGAGCTACGATCATTTCGACGACTTCGCGCAGGAGGTCTTCGCGAAGTATTTGCTTGTTTGTCATGGGGTGAGGTATAAGGGGGAGTCGGGGGATAAGAAGCGTGTTTGATGACGGTAGTTAGACCCTAGCACTCCCCTTAGATAACATTTGTATACGAGAAGGCGTAACCCACTGCAATCAATCCAGTATCTTCTCGATTCATTGCATTCATTTTCTTTCTAACCCTTGTCTCTATACATACCTAACCATAGACCACGTGACACGTCTCTATCCCGACTGCAACTCATCTACGCGCTTACGCTCCTGCTCCCCAATCTCATCTAGAAATGTCAGCAAGGTTAAGAACCCCCAAACTATGCTCTAGTGTTTTCAAGCCTGTTCCTCCCCGCATTCGACCCCGGCCATGGCCATCCACCACACCCCCCAGCAGGGGAATCGCGTCAAAGACCATACTCGCTGGTAGGTACCTATATCCATCCCACCATCACCCTCGCAAAGAGTAAACGACTAACAAAGCTAGACTGCAACCCCGAGCCATTCTACGCGTCCTCCAGCCAACGATGGCTGTGGAACGAGCCATCCCAGCTGGCACGCCGGTACGTCCGTTTCAACCTGGACGCCCTGGTCCAGATCGCAGAGGAAGCAGCAGGGCAGAATGCCGTCTGCGTCAACGTCACAAAGCTGCAAGAGGGCAATTTCAATAAGGTCTTTCTTGCGTCGATGCAGGATGGACGCGAAGTCGTGCTTAAGATCCCGAATCCGAATGCGGGGATGGCGCATTATACCACGGCTTCTGAGGTCGCGACTATGCAATATGTGAGGGGCTGTTTTGGTCTTGTTAAACAATTCCCTTGGCGTTGAGTACTGATTGTTTTCATGCAGGTCCGGGAGAAGCTTAATATTCCTGTTCCCAAGGTCCTTGGGTATTGCTCGAGAGCCTCTGGAAGCAGTCTCGGGGCGGAGTACATTGTCATGGAAAGGGCGCCAGGAGTCGAACTTGCCCGCGTATGGGATCAGTTTAAGGGCCGAGAGAAAGTGGCTATTGTGAAGCAGGTTGCTGCCATTACCTGCAAACTGGCTCGTGCCCGGTTCCAGGCAAACGGCGCACTGTACAAGCGGGAGGATGTGGCTGCTGCGGAAAGTATCGCCATTGACGAGCATTTTGCTATTGGGCCTACGGTTGGACGGTCTTGGTTTGATGATCGGAGAGGGGAGGTAGATGTTCATCGGGGTCCTTGTATGTCGTTCGTTACCCCACGTAATCAATATGGATATTGAACTGATCGGTCATAGGGGATTCAGCAGAAAGTCTCATGAAAGCTCTCGCCCACCGAGAAGTAGCTTGCCTGCATAAGTTCGACAAGTTTCCCCAGGATACACAGCAAGGCATTTTCAACGGCCCCCGCGGGTACCATCCAACCAAGGAAGCAAAACTGTCCGTCCTAGACGACTTTCTCAAAGTCCTCCCTTATATCATCCCCAGAGTCTGGAAGCACACAGAAATTGAGACCGAGACCAAGATATCAAGCGGCATCCTCTGGCACAACGATCTTCACGCTGAGAACATCTTCGTCGACGAAACCAACCCATCCAAAATCACAAGCATAATCGACTGGCAAGCCGTGCCTATATCTCCCCTCTTCCTGACAGCCCACCACCCATCCCTAATAGAGTACGACGGGCCCCAGTTAGAAGGATTCACGAAACCCGTTCTCCCCTCTAACCTGGACACACTCAACCCCGAGGCCAAGAAAGCCGCTAAACAGCTCTTCCTCGCGCAATCCCTCTGGCTCACGTACGAAATCGAAGTCCAGCGCAACGCGCCGCAGCTTCTCCGTGTATTCCGATATAGAGAAACACTACCCGGACAAATACTCGGGCTCATCGGGTCTATCTTCGACGATGGTGAGCCGTACGTGCAGAGCGTATTGGCCGAAATTGCGCAAGGGAGGACCTGGAAGCAGACCATCGCGGATAATGCAGAGGAAGCCGGGCAACAGCCGAGTGTTGCTGATTGTCCCTTGCAGTATTCAGAGCGGGAGCTAGCAGATCAGCAAAAGCAGCTCCAGAAATGGAGCAGGGATATCGAGCGCAAAGCGCAGGTCCTTGACGAGATCGGTGCTTACACGGGATGGAATGGGGCTGTGCCACTCAGTGACTATGAGGAGGTTGGTGGGCGGCTTGAGGCTGCGAAGGTGAGGTTTTTGGAAAGAGAGGCGAGGGATGAGAACGAGAAAAAGGCGTGGGAGGCTGTTTGGCCGTTTCAGGATACCCCGGGGTGTAGCTAGATTTATTTAACCTCAATGTACAATAGCAATTCCAGTTAACCATATCCATCTGCATGCTCGCGTGGAACACCTACCTGGTTTACTGTGTAGGGGATCTCTGGATTGTCAGATGTGAGTCTATTAGCAAATGAAAACCTGACTGGGGAGTACCTCATGCATCTTTTACCAGCTTTCAACCATAATGTCGATAAATACATACCTACATGCAGTATCCATATGCTTGGCTGCACTCTCCTCGATATATATACCCAGCTTGGCCAGAACCCAGGCAGAAGGCTATCGGGCTCAATCCTGGTAACATAGCAAGCACACGAGATATACTATCGGAAGAATTTAATTGGGAGTTCTTTTCTCTGTAGTAGGTAAGTATATTTTACATCAGGTCTGCTAGACCTCATCCAAACCAAGTACCATGACCTCCATGACAGCCGCTAATATACACGTATGCAAAGGGTATGAAAACAGTCAACAAAAAAAAGTACTCAGCTCTAAGCCCATGCTGCTAGAACCGCATCAAAAAGCAAATCTATCAAGTCTTCGCAAGAACGCACCAAACACCACCTCATGCCTCACAACGACTTCAACAACTCCCTCACCTTCCCACGACTCATCGGCTTCGTCAGAAACACATTAATCCCGCTCGCAAACGCCTCCTGCTGCGCATCCTTACTGTCCAGCCCCGTCAGCGCCGCGATGGTCGTCGCACCCCAAGGCGGCCGTTTCTCCGGATACTCATCGAAATACCGCCGCTCGAACTGCCGGATCTTCTGGCTGGCCTCGAACCCGTCCATGACGGGCATGGAAATGTCGATGATCACCAGGCTGAATTTGCCCGGGTGCGCTGCGAACGTCTCGTACGCTTCCAGGCCGTTTCGGGCGGTGGCGCTGGTCCAGCCTTCTTTTTTGGTGTAGGCGACTAGGATGTCGAGGTTGATGCGGTTGTCTTCGACGAGGAGGACGGTGGGGGGTGGGTTGGTGTTGCTTGAGTCTGGGTCTGAGCCCTTGGCCCCTGCCTCCTCGGTTGGAGTTGCGGGGCCGACGGAGCCTGGGTCTGGGGCTTTTTCACTTGCCGGGGAGAGACTCTCTGTTAGCGAGTTCTTGAGGTGCTGCTGCTGCTCGCCAGCTTGTTGCGCTCTGATTTCGTGTGTAATCTGTGCCTCGACGTCTTGCACTTCTTTGGTCTCGGTGGCGGGCCGTTTGCTGACTTTCATTCGTTCGTCTGGTGCATCGCGCGGCCCGATGTCGAGTGGGAGATGCGAGGACTCGGGGATCTCGACCCACCGTGTCTCCTCGCCCTGGGCTGCGTCATTGCCCTCCATGCGCCTGAGACATAACTCGAGCGTTTTGGCGAGCTTGCGAGGCCCGCAGGGCTGGCTGATGAACTCGATGATGGACTCGCGGTTGTGACTTTGGGATCTCGCGAACATCCGATGCGCTGCCTCGGGCGATTGGCAGATGACGATGAGGGGGGACAGCTTGTTTGGCTCGTCGAGGTTGAGCGCTTGGTTTCCTGCCGCGTCGGGGTCGTCGAGGTCCGTGTGCACCATCAGGTAGAAATCGCAGGCGGTCGGCGGGTTGTCTTTCAGGGAGACCTTTTTGACGGAAAGATGGAACCATTCTTCGCACAGGCGGGTTAGAGAGCTCGAGAGCGTCGCGTCTCGTTCGGAGGCGAGGGACGAGCCGAATCCGACTAGGCCGAGCGTCTTGCCCTGGGCTTCCTGTCGGATGGATCGGTATGCTGCGGTTGTTGAGGATTCGTCCGAGGTCGATGGGACAAGAGACATGGGGACGTGGATGGTTATCTCGGTGCCTTTGTCTTTCTCTGAGCTCACTTCGATTGTCCCGTGCAGAGACGCAAGCGCTTTGCGGACAATGGAGAGGCCAAGGCCGCTGCCTGGGGCGAGGGCATCTTCTTGCGAGAAAGGTGTGAAGAGGCCGTTACGCAGGAATGCAGCTCCAATCCCCTGACCGGTGTCTTTGACTGTCAGAACCACGGTGCACTTGGTGGCGCCAGTCTCGGAGTCCGAGGACTCATTGCTTGATCGGCGAGGGCCTGCGTCCTCTGCCCCTTCCACCACCTTCAGTCCTAGGTAGACGAATCCTTGCTGCGTGTATTTGAGTGCGTTGCTGAAAACGTTCAACAAGATACGTCTCCAGCATCCCGCTTGCGTGTAGAATCTCCATTCGTCGGCTTCTTGGATGTCGAAGATAATGGTGACTTGCTTCGCCGAGATAACAGCGGTCTTTGACCCACCGCCGCCTCTTCGCGTGTGATGATAAAAGCTGTGACCCGCGAAGATGCTTTCGACAACCTCTTCGAGGACCGCATCCAGCTGCGTATCGGCAAAGGTATTCTCGCTGCTACTCGAGGGGTTGCGCTTGAGGCTTCCTCGGTCCTGGTCTGAAGGAATGGACGGTTTGGCATGCTTGCGCTTCGGACCGCGGTCTTTCTTGAATTTGTCGATGTACGTAAAGTCCAGCAGATGGTTGATCGTGTCCAACAGCGTTCTTCCACATGACTCGATCGTGTGCACCATTCCATATTGCAATGCATTCATGGCGGTGTCGCTCAGGATGTCGGCCGTGCCGAGAATCCCATGCAAGGGGCTTCTCAGTTCATGCGAGATGCTGCTGACGAGGTTGGTCTTTGCTTTGTCGGCCATTTCGATATCGAGCTTGTGCACCGAGGCCATGACACTATTGCCAAAAGCCCGCAGGTACGCAAGTTCGTTCTCGGCCGTGAAGAGACGGTGCGGCGTCTTGGTCCAGACAAGCAGCCCTGACAGCCACCTTGATTTATGGGAATCCCACAGCGGCAGAAAGATGACGCTGCGGGCGCCGTCGAGGACTTTGTGCAGGTCATCCGCATCCTGCTCGTGGCTTCGCTTCCGTCTCTTGGAGTTCTTGGTTGATCCAGATCTCCTCGAGGTTGCGGTAGACCCGCTGTTGTTACTATCGTCTGATAACGACCCGTCTTCGTTGTAGTTGAATATCTTGCCACTAGGGTACCGATTCATCATTGCCTTGAGCAAGTCTTCACGGACCGGGTATTTGTGAACCGTCAACTTCGATCCAGATTTGGAATTGGCGTCGATGGTGGAAAAGTGCGAAGTAGAAGATCCCAGAGTTCGACAGGTGGTCGTGCTCTCGTCTTGGCCGGAGTCAAGACTGTCTTCGCTAGTCGTTGTGGTATCACTTCCTGAACGAGGTTCGCGGTCCTGATGGAACTCGTATCCCACCAGGCCACCGAAGGACTCGACCCTAGCGTCGAGGAAGGCCACGCCTTCCACCGCGATAGACTCGCGAATCAGGTTTGCCGCTCGAGAAAATATCTCTTGCAGCGCACCTTGCACGCCATCGTCGTCGGGAAGAATGTCGCTGGAAGGCTCCGCCCGGAAAGTGGCCTTTTCCTGCAGTGACTCCTTCCTCCTGTGCCTGCCGGGTCGTACATCGGGTACTTCTTGCACCTTCTTCCCGTCTTTGGGCTTTGTATCCAATCGGTCACTGTCGGGAGATGAAGAATCATCCTTAGCCGGACGGTGCGGAAGCTGTCGCCGAGTGGTGTCTCGGGCTTCCTGCAAATCCTGCTGGCGTTTATTCAACAGGCCTTCCACAGCCTCATCGCCAGTCCGACCCCTCGCACCATCCTGCTCGTTCGACTCCAGCCACGAATCCCGCAGCGTGGCCTTCCCCTCCACAAAGCTCCCCAGACCAACGATCATCTTGCGAGCTTGAGCATGCTCATACTTCAAGTGCATCGTGTCGAGGTATCTCATTACCGTCGCAGCCATGTCCCTCATGAAGGCTATCGACCGGTCGTCCACACCAGACGGCCGCGGCTGCGGGTCAAGAACCGCATACGACCCGACGGTGTTTCCCCTCGGTGTGATGATCGGAACGCCCACGTAAAATCGGCCGTTGAAGAGTTGTTTCGGTATCGCGTACCGCTCTGCATTTTGGCTTTCGTCTAGATCCGAGATAACGAGGGCGCCGTCTCGCATCAGCGTGGGATTGGGACGGTCCGAAGCGGGCGTGCTGATATCCACGCAGATGCTCTTCTCGATGGGCAGAACGCAGCATCCTGCTAGTATATCGTCATCAGGGGAGCCGGTCGCCTCGGCAACGATATACTGCTGCGTCGGAGTGAAAAGCGAAATGATTGCACGCAGGGCACCGAGTCTCATGGCGCCCAGCTGGGCGAACGAAGTCAGGGCATTGTCTCGCGAGGGTGTTGGAACAAAGGCTTTTCGACCGGCGGCGTCAAAGGGGGCGTAGGGGTAGGAGACGTGGTCCGGCGGAATAAATCTTCAGGCACGTGGCGGTCAGGTTAGCAGGAACCAGACTCGTGTTTTGTGAGCGCAGCGAACCTATAGAACTCGCGCTCTTTTGCCAGATTGAAGAGATGGTCGTCTGAAGGCATTCTTGAAGCGATTCGCGTCGTAAGACATCGTAATGGTAGTTGCAGAGGCCATGCCCCGTGGATGTAGAGGCGATCGGCCTTTAAGCGAGTCCAGGGCAATGATATCATCGGGGCTCCACCTACGTCATCCTCGGTCTCCGCTGCGGATCGCGTTGGCCGTTCGGATGGCTTCGTTTAGCCTCGCTCCCTTCGCCCCTGGAGATCGGATCTAACGTGTAACTCAAACGAAGTTCATTCGTGCGATCAGCTGTATCGACAAGCGTGCAATGTACTCTGACAAACCATAACTTGACTGCAACGTGAAGGAAAACGCCATCCATACCCTGCATCCGATCCAAGCGCCCGAAGGAAAACAAGAAAAAAAAAGCCGCAGGCGCCAAGATACCGCCAAATGATAAGTACATGAGGGCCTGGACGGAGCTGGACTGTACACTATGAACGAATCTGGAAAGAAGAGAAAGCTGTCATCCGTATGCTAAATCTGAACGCTCGTAAATGCAGTCATTATGTGCAGGCCTAGGCCTAAGGCCGGTTCTTCGGCTGGGCTAGCATGTTCAGTCGGCTCATGCTTAGCACGCGGCTCCTAGCGCGCGCACTTGCTGGGGTCCCCTTGCGAATTGCCCCAGAGCCTAGACGCGAAGGAGTGTGCGAGCGGGGCTTGAGTGGGCTGGACTGATGGACCTTCGAAGCTTGGGGCGTGCTCACTTTCACCCGCTTCACGCTCCGTTCCTGAGCATCGTCGGCCGGAGGAACGTTCTCGCGATCGGTCTCGTCCTCGGCCGCGCGGTGCCTCTTCTTGTGGCTTAGACCGTGAGGCATCCCGGGAACCTCAGGCAGAGTGGCCTCAACAGGAACGTCCGATGGGCGGACTGATCGAATGGCGGTGGGTGTTGAAGCGCTACGCTCGGGGCTCAGGTCAGGAAGGGTGGGATAGACCACGTCGGATGTGGAAGGGAACGTGATGGTTGCGGGTTTCTTCGATGGTGACGGCGAGATCACCTCTTCAGCAATCCGAGGCTTGGTGCACGGTGTAAACTCCACTCGTTTCTTGGGCGACGGGGTGAGTGCTGCCATGGGCGAGCTTTCACCGGATGGCTGAAGCAAAAGCTCAGGTCTAAAGTCAGGAGCAGTCTGATGCGTCCCAGCGGCGATCTTAGACGGGTTCTTGGAGAACAAGGGCTCATGACGGCGAAGAATAGACTTGAGGCTGCTTAGCGTGGGGATGTTGCTCTTGAAACGAGGGTTGAATTCGGTACGCGGGGTGCTCGGAGCCTCAGCAGGCTTGGCGATAGGAGAGCGTGCGAGCGACGGAATCATGCTAGTGCGTGGAGGCTTCAGGCTGCCAGAAACACGAGCCAGCGAGGCACGCGTTGGTGTGAACAGCGAGCTGCGAATACTGGACCGGGGTCGCGAGATGGCAGACTTGGGCACGCGGCTTTGAGGTGTGGCCTCGGCCGTATCCTGCTTGACACGTTTCGCAGATGGTGTGGAGGGAGTGGATGCCTTGGGTGTGGTTTTCGCGGGCGAATCTTGGCCCTCGAGTTCGTCCAAACGCGCCTTGGAGTTTGTTCTCTTGAGTGTTTTCTGGACAGGCTGGAACCGTCCTGGTGTGGCACGGAAGGCGGAGGCGTGGCCGGCGATGGAATCCATCTTCTTGAACTCGGCCATGTGGGCATCGGAGAATCTGCTGGATTTCCCCTTTGGTTTCGCAATCTTCCGTTCACCATTCTGTGATGATTCCGCGGCAGCCTTGGCGGCATTTTCTTTGACCAAGTCGGCCTTGATGCGAGCCACATCCTCGCGTACGCTCTCCATGAGCTTCCTTGCCTCGTCGCTAAGCTCCGAGTCTTGACAGGAAAATTTGAATTCAAACGCAGGCGTGCCGTAGAAGGTTGACGCAGGCGAAGCGTTCACTTTGCTGGGTGTGTTCTGCGCGGGGTTCTCCTTTACCACATTGCCCTGAGCGTCCTTTTTGATCGGATTGAAACCGAGAATCAGGCCAGAGTCCGCCTGCTTCGTGGTGCTTTGGTGGACCTTGCTAGGGTGCATCTCGAAATGGGTTGGACGCGTGATCGAAGTGGTTGGTGTTTTGGCGGGCGATTTGTGGGATTTGGCCTTGGGAGTGTGGGCGGCTTTTGCCGGGGTGGAATGAGTTTTGACGGGAGCGTCAACAGGTTCTTCGCGCTCCATCACGCTATCGAGCTTGTTTTGCGGTTTGTTGTTCTCCGCAGTGTTTTCGGTCGACTCTGAGGGAGAATCCTACACGAGAAGCGAGGGTCAGCAATTTGAAGCAAGGGCGGCAAGCGTCAGGAGCGCGAGAGATGTGTACCTGAGCGGGCGACTGAATGCTCCTCAGGCGAGCTGAGCGGCGGACCGCCATTGTGAGAGAATTCTGTCTTGAAAATTCTGGACAGCCAAAATTTGCGCCGGATGAGAGAATTTGAGCTTGGATAAAGCGAGTGGAGCGTGGTGTGGGAGTTAGTGGGAGTTGGTTGAGACGGGATGAATCTGAAATGACGGTGTAAATAAAAGGTCGGAAGCGGCAGGCGGTGAGCTGACGTCATGGCCTTTGTTTACATCATGCCTGTTTCGGCCGTCTCTCTCCTCGCGTCTTTGCCTATTTTCACTTGAGGGAAAATTATGATTTCGACTCTGAGCTATGCAAAAGGTTGCAGGTGAAGCTCTCACTAATTGGTCCTTGGAGGAGCAGCAACTTGGCTCGTGAGCATGGTTCCTCGGCAACTGGAGATAGAGAAGCGACCGCCTCGAATCGCTTCCCCCAATACAAACCATAGCCGACGACGAGGACACATCTGATCGGGCTTTCGTCGATCGAAATGTACCAGTAAATGAAGGGAGAGCTATCTCATCGAAAGCGCGATTTCCAATCGAAAGAATGCACACAATGGCCAGACTCGTAACGAAGATCCGACGATATATTTTTGCAGACCCTACCTAGGTAAACTGGTCAAGTCGGATCTTCGAAAGCACGTCAGGGCTTTGATCATGTATGAATCAACATGGCTTGACCGGAGAAATCTGTCGTAGGCCTATGGGCCATGTTGCGGCGTTTTATCGGTACTCACTCCGAGGCCTGGTAGAAGTGCGATGAAAATAACGTCTCCAGATCGAGAGTTTTCCTCTGCAGATATTGACAATATCATTGAGGTTCTGATTAGAACTAACTGCCTGACTACTGTGTGAGGTTCAATCGTTCTAGCTCCTCAATCTCGTCTTTTCCGAGAAGACCCAATGCCTCCCTGCGACTCTTAGCCTTCGGATCGAAGAAAGGCTTCTCAGCCAGGGCCGTCACTCGGGTGCCATGTCGGGGCTCAGAGTTTTCATAATCCCAGCTCGCGTTGTGAATAGTGATCCTGGCCAGTCAGCCTACCATCAATTCTTAGCTGGGCGAGCGAACCTACCGATTATCCCACAAAGCACTACTCCGCGGAGTCCACTTGAACCTCACCTGGATATCAACGTTCTTCTCGTACACATCATACAGGTACCCGAGGATCACGTCGCTCTCTGCCTTGTCTAGTCCAACGATGCGATCAGTCATGGCTCGGTTCACCCACAGAGCCTTCCAACCCGTTGCTGGATGGACGCGCACAAGCGGGTGCTCACGCTCGATATACTTGGGCCCAGCATCAGGGTTCTCGCAGTCCAAGTATGGGTGAGCGGAACGGTAGATTGCTGTTCGGCCGTCAATGATCTTGCGGAACCCGGGGGAGAGCTTCTCGTATGCTGCGTATCCGCTGGCCCAGAGGGTATCGCCTCCGATAGAAGGGACTGTATCGTTGTGGAGGTGGGTCACACCCGCAGGCTGCCGTTCATGAACGAGATCAGTGTGCCATCGCGAAGCGCCTCCAGGGCGACGGAAACTGGCTGGAAACTCAGTTGCCTGAAGAGCAGGCCACATGACCGAAACACCGGGATTACCGGGCACTTGAGCGACTTGCGGCTGTTGTAGTTAGTAGTTTTCTGGATCTGTGGTGGGTATAGTACATGAACTTCGATCTCGCCATAATACTCGCCCAGCGCCTTTTGCTCCTGCGGCGAGAGGTCCTGGTCGCGGAAAAAGACGACGCTGCGCTCGGCGATCAGCAGTCCCAGCTCGTCTTTTTGCTGGTCAGTCAGATCCTTGAGCTGCAGGCCCACGATCTCGGTGCCGATGTGCTTCGTCAAGTGGATCACTTCCTTCGCGGCGGAAAGGAGGGCCTTCTTCTCCGGATCAGCACGGCTACCGGGATCGACGTGTTCGCGGTCATAGTCGCGGATCCGGTAGACATCGTCTAGGAACAGAGGACGAGAAGGACGGTAGGGATAATTCGAGATATCGATGCCGGCCTTTTCGAGCCTTTTGCGGGCCGCCTCAGGAAGATCGAGAGTGTCCTTCCGGGGCTCTGCGACGTCGACGATGCTCGGGTCGATTGGGGCTGGAGTCATTTTAACGGTATTTGTTGCGGTCAATGATATCACCATCGGTGTGGGAACGCAGAGATCTTATCTTTTCGGGAATGGATGTTCGTGATGTGCAAACCGAATCTTGAGAGGACGACGATCGCACCATCATCGCTCATCATTGCGCATCGCCACGAGCTTGTCTGGCCATGGCCAAATTCTCTTCCCCTCCTTCATATATCCGTCTGCTCACTCAGTGCCTGCTTGTTGGAGATACTCCGATCTCGACTTGCAGGGATAATATCACGCCTCGAATTTCTAATCGCCGTCTCAGCGACAAAGGATTCTACACTGGGACTTGCTACTCTATCATACGAGAAGAAGGTCAGACCAGATAGATTGCGCGCATGACACCATCTTAACGCCGATAGCGTTACCCTACTCCAAGATCACGCACGAGCGCCGGTGATAAAACGCAGCCCAGGCTCTGCTTCTGCCGACCATACCGCGTGGAGGAGAAGCAGACATCATGACGCGCCCGCAAATTCGGCGAGTGGCAGTTATTGGGGCTGGAATTAGTGGTGTCGTGTCGGCGGCGCATTTGCTGCGGGCTGGATTGGATGTGACCGTCTTTGAGAGGAGTCATGCCGCTGGAGGTGTTTGGTATGTGGCCTTGTCAGATGCTTTCGCTGGTCTAACATTGCAGGCTTCACGATGAGCGCCCGGCACCGGAACCATCCTACACTTCGCTGAAACCGCTCGAGGCAGAAAAGTACTTTGACAAGGACGAGCGCAATCTTGCTCTCGCCCATGCGCCGCCTGGGTATGTTCCGTCACGTGAGTGAGAGCTTGCGCTGACTCGATAGACCATGTTACGCCGGACTCAAGAATAACGTGTCGACGCCGTTGATGCGCGTCAAGCTCAATGCCTGGCCAGAGGGAACACCGGACTTTGTCAGCCATTCTGTGATGAAGGAGTATATACAGGATACGTCGAGGAAGACCGGAGTTGACGACATTACAATCTACGGGGCTCGCGTTAAGGACGTTTCCAAGCAAGGTCATTTGTGGCAGGTCAGCTGGTCAAGGCTAGAGACACAAAAGGATGGATTGAAGGAGATTGAGCAGTTATCTGTAAGCCACAGACCTTCAATAATGGACTACTCTGACCGATCTAGCTGTTCGACGCTGTGATTGTTGCCAGCGGCCATTACCATACCCCCCGAGTTCCCGACACGCCCGGCCTCGCCGAGGCAAAAGCGCGCTGGCCAGAGCGTATCTTCCACTCGAAGAGATACAGAAAACCAGAGGGCTACGAGAATAAGGTACGTTGGTTTCCGTCCGCTAGGAACAGCGGCTTATAGCATAGAACGTCCTCCTCGTCGGCGGCGCCGTGTCGGCCATCGATATCGCGCGCGAAATTGGGCCGCAAGCAGATACCATCTATCAGAGCACACGCGGCGGCGAGTTCGACATCTCCGCGAACATTCTCCCGGAAAACGGCGTTCGAGTTAGCGAGGTGACACGGTACGAGGTTCTGGACGACAACCAAGCAGATGACGGCAAACTGCCGCTGAAAGTACACTTGAAATCTGGCCAGGAGCTCTGCGGCCTCGACGAGGTGATTCTCTGCACGGGATACCAGTTTACCCTCCCTTTCCTGGAAGATTACCATAACGACAAACTGTCCTCAGCGGACGCGGACGAGACGATCCTCGTAACGGACGGGACACAAGCACACAACCTGCACAAGGACATCTTCTACATCCCCGACCCGACCCTTGCGTTTGTCGGCGTGCCCTTCTACACCGCCACCTTTACGCTGTTCGAGTTCCAGGCCATTACCGCAGCGAACGTATTCTCTGGGATTGCCAGCCTACCGTCAACGCAAGAAATGAGGGCGGAGTACAACGCGAAGCTGAAGAGAAAAGGGCACGGCAAGCGGTTCCACTCGCTGAAAGACGTGGAGGAAGACTACGTCAACGACCTGCTCGGCTGGATCAATCAGCCGAGGACGGAAAAAGGCCTCGAGCCTGTCGAAGGGCACACGGAGAAATGGCACGAGGCAAAGGAAGCTCAGCGCGAGCGATTGAAGGCGTTCTTCGAGAACGCAAACGACAGCACCAGGCGGGACAGCGGGATCGGAGAACTCCTGGAGCTGCCGACTTGCAGTGCATGATTCAGGCAATGAATACTCCGTAGCAATAGATTATCAATCACGTTAGTTGAGAACAGAGAAGAGTGGTCTTATCTATGACCTCGTACGTACAGAAATGGTGTGCTCCTTGCGTCGAAGGAGGCGGGTTCAGCGGGAAAAGAATTCTTACCCCTCACAAGCTGCCGCACAAGCTGCCATGCTTTGCTGGTAATGGCTTAACTGGCCCTTGTCCAACGGTCTTATTGGGTGCGCGGGATGGTGTGAATCTCGATGGCGATGAGCAATCGTCTCTTACCTAGTTTAGGGCTCCGGATGCGCGACTTTAGCCTCGATGAGGTGACCGTGCATGACTGGCCTCCACGCTGGGTTAGCACCCAGTACGTATATAAGAAATCCCTGCGTAGCTTACTCCATCTTGATGAGAGCCAGGACTCATTCATTTCCAGGGATCAGCTACAATGTCCTCAAAGACAGCAGACGCAGACGCAGAACGGGCGACCGCATACCCCCCCGCCACAGCCATCCAGGAATCGCCCAAGCGACGCTGGGTCAGTTACATCTGGGATACATTCGACAAGGCGCCCGAGGAGCGACGGCTCCTCACGAAGCTCGACGCGGCGATTCTGTCGTTTGCGTCGTTGGGTGTGCCACTTCCTCCCTCACCTACTCAACTCACCCTTCTTCTCCACATATACCCTTAGCTAACTGTACCTGCACTCACTAGGCTACTTCATCAAATACCTCGACCAAATCAACATCAACAACGCCTTCGTCTCCGGCATGAAAGAGGACCTGGGCATGTACCAGAACCAGCTGAATTACATGCAGGCCGCGTGGACGGTGGGATACGTGATCGGCGAGATCCCGAGTAATGTCATGCTGACGAAGATCCGGCCAAGGTATTGGTTGCCTGCGATGGAGGTGCGTCTTCTTCTTCTTGGCTCTGTCTGGTCCTGGTGGTTGGGTGCTGATCAGGTTGTGTGTGTGTGGTAGCTTCTGTGGACGGTCCTCACGATGTGTCTATCGCGGTGTGATAGGCCGACGCAGTTTTATGTGCTCAGGTTCTTTATTGGTATGATCATGTATCATGTATCAGCTGGAGGAATCTATGGAGGATGCTGATGGCTATCGCAGGTCTTGCGGAGAGTACGTTCTACCCCGGCATGCAGTATATCATTGGCTCGTGGTACCGGAAGGACGAGCTTGCGAAGCGGTCGTGCATCTTCCATACGAGCAGTGGTATTGCTAGTATGTTTTCGGGATATTTGATGGCGGGAGTGTATAATCTTGGTGGGAGGGGTGGGTTTAAGGGGTGGCAGTGGTGAGTTCACCTTATTCTGTCCAGCCCTGGGAAAGGATATACTAAGGAAGTACCAAGGCTGTTCATCATCGACGGCGTCATTTCCCTACCCATCGCGTTGCTGGGTTTCATTGTCCTCCCTGATGTCCCTGAGATCTCGAACCCATGGTACTTAACTGAAGATGTATGTTCCATGCTGCTAAAGAAGAGGAGGAGAAAGAGGTTAATGTTCTGCTAGGAAGTAAAACTCTCCCAAAAACGCATGCAACTCGAAGGCCGCCAACCCCGAGGCCCCTACACAAAAGCCAAGCTGAAGAAGATCTTCACCTCCTGGCACATCTACATCCTGACAGCAGCGTACATGTACGTCCCCCCTTCCCCCCCGTCCCTACCGCATGTACATGGCGTATTAATATCAACGGAAAAGAACATTCAACAACGCCTCCGGCGGCCAGCCCGTCTTCCAGCAGTACCTCAAAGCCTCCACGAACCCCGTCTACACCATCGGGCAGATCAACTCATATCCCACAACAACATACGCAGTCCAGGTCTTCACAACCCTCGTATACGCCTGGACATCCGACTCGATCCTCCGCGGCGCGCGCTGGCCACCGATCATCTTCGGCGCGGTCTCGAATATCGTCTGCTATGCTTCCCTTGCTGTCTGGAATATCCCCGAGGGATGGAGGTGGTTCTGCTTTATTATGTCGGGGGCGGGGTATGGGCTTAGTGGGTTGTTGTTTGCGTGCGTCCCCGGTCACTTCTTTACAGCCTGTGTCGGAGAAAGCTAATTTGAATGGAATGTGCAGCTGGGCACATGAGATCTGCAGCGAGGACAACGAGGAGCGCGCGCTCGTCGTCGGGTCCATGAACGAGCTCGCGTATGTGTTTCAGGCGTGGCTGCCGCAGGTGGTCTGGCAGCAGGTTGATGCGCCGCGGTACCGCAAGGGTTTCATTACGGGGACGGTGATGAGCGTGCTGCTTATTTTGTTTACGGCCGCTACGTGGGTGCTGGAGCGGTGGGAAACTGGCAAGAAGAGGTATGCTTAGGGATCGGAGTATCTATGATGGACTGGGCTAACTATCGGGGGTTCTAGGGCGGGTTTGGTTGGGTCTGAGGGGACTGGGAGTCTGTCGAGTGCATATGGGGAGCTTGGGGAGGAGAATGTTGTTGTTGATGCTCAGGGGAAGTGATGGGTTCACCTCCCTAGGTAAAAGTAGGGCGTAAAAATCACTATAGGGTTGAGCGAAAGCTCTATTGTTGGTGATCATGGTGACAGGGTACAGTAGGGCTGATGGAATGACAGACTTTGTACCCTATCTACCTATAAAAGTTCGAAGACTATATGATATGAGTTAATCACATGTGATTCATCATGGCCAGGCTAAAGCATCCCATTTGATGGGATGATTGTTGGAGGTTGCCCAAATTGGCAAGGGGTCGGGTCCACGTCTCCATCACTCCTTCCTGGAGACAGCCAAGCAAGGAGTTACCTCTTCGAATGATGGACTTCGTTCCAACTGCTCACTCCTCTTCAGGCAGTGGGAGAACTTCCCATGATAAGTCCTCCGCCGTCCAGATACTCGTTGGACAGGACACGATCATACTTGGGTACGACAGGGCTATTCGGGTAGGTAGGGTTAGCAAAACTCCAACTCATCCTCGATGAGCCCGGCACTGCGTTTGATTTTCTCCAATTGCTCAGTTAACACCAAGATTAGGTAGGCGATGAGCATATCGCGGCTCCCACACCGGCGATTCAACAACCCGCTCATCCTTAACAGCATTACCCTAGTACGCTGCTGGACCATGCAATGCTGCTGTAGCAGCTGGCTGTGCCGAAGATTAAGACTGGATGTGGCTCAAACCTCAGCGGTATATCTGTCTGCAAGCTCAGCAAGTCTTGAAATAATGATGGGTCATGACTTTACCGCGGTCATCCGTCACTGTCTCCCTCTTTCCTTTATATGAATCTGCTAGAGGCACGAAGCCCACTTGATATCGTAAAGGGATTTCGAAAATTCCTGCAGATGGTTGCCGGAAGATCTCCCAACGTGGGTAAATGAAACACTGGAAGACCAAGCGGATCATCCGTCAATTACCTAGGTAGACATGTCCCGCAACTCGATTCGATTAGAACCATAGTCCGGGCGACCGTGCTGAAAAGTCTATTCCCCGAATCGTCGCCACTGGAACGTCATGCATGCATCCTGCATGGGCAGATGGATTCTGGTATACACTTCCATAGTTATGTCCAGGGCAGTCCTCGTTTGCGATGATAACCGTGCCTTAGATTACCGCAGTATACCTCAATATAAGAGTTCAAAGACCTGGGGTGTACGCCTGTCTATATTTAGCTACGGCCCGGTACGGTTCTGGACGTGTCCAGCCTCGGATCTTGAGTCCGCAACTTACGTGCACGAGGGAAAGAACTGGAACCCACGCTCGAAAACATTAGTAATAGTATCCATGCTGCTCTACAGGAGCCATCCTACGTTGAGACAGAGGGAGGGATAGTTAAGTAGATATAACATATTCTATTGCTTCTATCTAGACTATCTAGACTATCTAAGAGAGAGAAGAGGAGGGAGAGAAGGAAGGAAGAACATGAACACCAGCGGCAGGACTCGAACCTGCATCTTCTCCAAGCCGTTTAGGGGACGAGGTCCAGGGCTTTTGGAGTTATGCTACCATTGCACTACGCCGGCTTTTGTTTATAGAGAGAGAGGGAGAGAGGGGTGTTTTGTTCTATCTAATCTATCTAAAAGCTATCTACATAAGAGGAAGGAAGGGAGCCACCAGCGCCAGGACTCGAACCTGAATCTTCTCCAAGCCATTTAGGGGACGAGGTCCGGGACTTTTGGAGTTATGCTACCATTGCACCACGCCGGCTTGTTGTAAAGGTAGAGGAGAGAGAAAAAGGAGTGTTTTGTTCTATCTAGGCTATCTACACAAGAGAAAGGAAGGGAAGGAAGGGAAGAAGGGAAGGAAGGGACACCAGCGCCAGGACTCGAACCTGAATCTTCTCCAAGCCGTTTAGGGGACGAGGTCCAGGGCTTTTGGAGCTATGCTACCATTGCACCACGCCGGCTGGGATATACTTACCTTGATGGAGGGAGGGAGGGAGGGAAGGAGGGAAGGGAAGAGGCCAAAAATTGCGATGTTGGTTGTTGAAGAAGGAAAGAAGAAGAGACGAGAAAGCGCGGCGGGAGCAGGATCTTATACCTGGGGACCCGTGACGGGCTAGCGGAGGAGAGGGCCGTGGGAGGGAGGCCCGGTCGAATCGGGTGGGATTGTGATTTAGATTGGGGTGACTCTTCTGCTCTGTAAGCTCTGATGCTCCGTAAGCTCTTTGCTCTGTAAGCTCTGATGCTCTGTAAGCACTTGATGCTCCGCTCCAATGGTAGGGTTGCTCGGCGTCCGAGAGGCACCGAAGGACCGAGGGATAGGGGTCTAGCCGGGCGATGAAGCTCATAAGATTCCCGAACTCGAAGGGCGAGGCCGTGCTGTGACTCAACCTTGTGCAAACACCCGGGGGTGAGCTCCTTCCGTTCGGGTGTTTGTATCCAGGGTGAGAATGGCTCCTGCCTTTTGTAAGTAACCAACTGCACATACCTAGGGAGGTACAGAAGGGAGACATCTACGACTGGACTGATCATTATGTTTGATACATTTTCACCATCTGGATATGCAACCCTTGGACCTGCTCTACTGGGTTCCTATACTATACGAGCTACACTGAATTGCACTGGACCATCGACGGTAAAAGTCGCATTGGGAAAGCAAAGTCGCAAGGGCATAGGAGTCGCATTGGGCAAGTATTCATTCAGTCTGATTGCGGTCCTAAAAGTTCCAGGTTAAGCAGTCCAGTTCGCCTCCACGCTTTTCCATCATGATGTGTCCGCTTGGGCATCAGTACGCTTTTCCGGGCTATTGTCCTCATGCTCGATTATGTTGAAGGAGCCTTCCTCAAAACAAGAAATGTCGCCTTGTCGCCGGCGCCCCTCCGGTAGTCCAACACCTCCGTGCTGACGATCCTGGCCAGGCCGTCCTTTTCGATCTTCTCTGTTTCGGCCTTGAAGCCCCACGTTTGCCAGATCTCGTGAAGAACGGTCGCGACAATAACGCCACCGGGCTTGACGAGGCGGATGAACTCCCTCAGCGCAGGGTCCGGACCGACGTGGCCATGCGTGAATGTCCCGCAGCAGGTCACGACGTCGTAACTGTTGTCTGGCTTGTCGATAGGCTGCGTAAGGTCGACTTTGGTAAGGTTCCGGTAGACACCGGTGTCTTTGGCGATCTTGAGCATGGAGGGGGAGAGGTCGGCGCCGTCGATGGTAAGGGAGGCTTTGCCTTTGGACAGAGTAACTAGGGCTTGGCCGACCAGGCCGGTTCCACACCCAGCATCCAGGACAGAAACAGGTCCGCGAACGTTCTTGATTAATTGAAGAGCCGTCTGCGCCGTGAGAAGAGGAGCGACATAGTTCTGCGAAGCGTCGGAGACATCTTTGTTGTAGGAGGCCGCCCACTCGTCGTACAGGGCCATGCAGGCTTCCTTGCTGACGGCCCCGCGGGCGCTTGCCAGATGGGCGTTCTCGGTGATGACTTGGGTTTGGGTGGCCATTGTCGCGTATGGGCTTTTGAGAATGTTACGGTGGAAACGATACAAATGTTGAAGGGGGTAAGATACTGGGGGATAGGCTCAATAAAAGCGGACTCAGCGCTCCAAATAGGCCTTTCTGGCCAAATCACCCGCAAAGTTTCTGGATGGCGTCATGGCTCGTACCACGCTGTGCCCTGGGACAATTGGTCCGCTTTCAGGTACGGAAGCAACTCTGCTGGCAGACCTTGGAACGCCGCTGAATCATTCCTGATGCTGCATCGCAGAAGTGGGAACTTACCATACCGCAGCGCCTCACCCCGCAACAAAGTCAGCGAGCAGGACTACCTAGTTAACAGAGTTATGCACCCATCCGCTGTTAGCAGCGGCATCTCCGCATTCAGATACCCGGCATTCCTGGATGATATCATGGCGGATCTTAAGGACGGGTATTATAGGCTATCGTAGATTGGCGAGCGCTAGGGTGCGTTGGAGTACATTAGCGGTCTGCAGGTCATTAGGATCAATTCTCCGACAGGGAATGGGCCATTCGGGGCTTACTGTGTCCATGCGTGGCTTGACATGTCCTAGTAATTGCTAGTCTGTGGCGGGGTTGAGGGGTATTGCCAGCGACTGTTCAAGACTGTCTCACGCCCAGAATCATTGGTCATGCATTTTATGCCGTCGGCTATCCTTTCTTGATTGTACCCGGGCTACTCCTACATGTACTCCATACCTTCGAGCAGAGTACGGGGCCCGGTACAGGCGCTGAGCGTGACAGGGTTAGCCCTAACCGGATTCCGCGCCGGGCTTGGATGTCGGACCTTGCCCTTGCTAAACCTATACCTATACCTATACCTATACCTATAACTATACCTATACCTATACCTATACCTATACCTACCGGTAAAGTGGCCTAGGACTTTGCCTGCACATTATACCCTTAAATCTAGGATATAACAACACCGAAGTGCCCTGTCTGTCCTACAAGCGGCGTGGACGGGATAATTTCGCCCTAAATGACGAGTGAGAGCGTTTCCACCACACCTCACCTGCCAACTCCAATACCACAGTCTTGAAAATCTGTGTCCGCCCATACCTAAGTAGATAGCTACGAGATTCTCCAGCGGACCGTGGTGCTTGCTGAATCCGACGTCATCCGTCACGACCATCCATATCAATATCGACAGATTTCATATAGATTTCATATTCATGCCCCCCAGTCTCCACCTGTGGTATATTATCAAAGAACGTGAGACGAGAGTAGAAGCCAGAAGGGAAAGGAAAATCTGCATAAGTGATTTTGTTCCTAGGTTAGTTACCATTGACATCCATGACAGCGGAGAGTGTGCAGCTGGATGGCTTCTCACATTGATTGTTAGACGGTGCACCAAAGCCGAATTTATTCAGAGCCACAGGTCCAGATCCGGCATCGAAGTCCAGCAGCGTAGAATGCGCCCGCGCCCGCGGGCCTGGGCCTGCTGTGTCTGCGAGTCTCTGGCAAATTAGGTCTCGGTCTATCACGTGTTGCTGTTTTATATCTTACCGAGATGGATACATGGGATATGTTAGGTAGAGTTCATCTGTCCACAGACTATCATATCTGAGCAAGCCTCCAGAGTTTACGTCAAGACTGCGTTGCAATTTCTTCTGATTTCTCAGCCGAAACAGACTCTATAATGACTGCATTGGCATTAATACTGCACTATGTGAAGAAATAGCACGAGCTGAGTCTAACTCTACAAGTACAGGCTTTGCGAGATTCCAGCCCTAACCCGGGACTCCACGGAACCACCTGCCTCAAGACACTTGCCGTATATCGGCATCGAAATCCGCGGCTGCCACATGCCGGAAGCATGAGTCTGGAAGCCAGGGATCCGCAGCCGGAATGTGCTAAAACACAATAATTAATTTGTGACGCCCTGAGAGTGGAGCTGGACGGGCCCTGAAGATATTGGCGGGCTCCACCAACGGCTGGCAGCCTACTTTAAAAGGCGCACCCTCCTCAACAAAAAAAAAGAAGAAGAAAAAGAAGCAATCGACAGCTCTCAACATGAGGATCTCTCGAGTAGCCTGCCAGGCAGCGGCCCTGGGCGCCGCTGGAGCCTCCAGCCTCTCCTCCAACACCAGCGGCTACGACTACATCGTCGTCGGCGGCGGACCCGCCGGTATCATCACGGCCGAGCGCTTCGTCGAAGCAGGCAAGAACGTCCTGCTCCTCGAGCGCGGCTCAGGCCCAACCGTAGCCACCGGCGCCAACGAGACCCTCCCCTGGAACAACACGCTGACCCCCATCGACCTCCCCGGTCTCTCCGCGGACGTCGGCGCCCTCGACGTATGGAACGAGTACATGTGCACCGACACCCCCGGCAACGCCGCCTGCGTGCTCGGCGGCGGCGTGACAGTCAACTACATGGTCTTCGTGCACCCGTCCAAGCACGACTTCGACGACAACGCCAACTGGCCGGCCGGGTGGAAGTGGAAGGACGTCGAGCCCGCCGCGCAGCGCCTCTACGCCCGCAACCCCGGCACCATCCTGCCCTCGTCCGATGGCAAGCGCTACGACCAGGGCCTGTACTCTGTTCTGTCGAAGTTCTTGGGCTCCCTCGGCTGGACGTCCGTCGATATGATCGCCCAGCCTGACGAGAAGCACCGCGTCTACAGCTACCCGGCGTGGAACGTCCAGGACCAGGTCCGTGCTGGGCCCGTCCGCACTTATCTCCCCCTCGCGCAGAAGAGCAGCAACTTCTCCCTCCGCCTGAACACCAAGGCCCTCCGCGTCATCCGCACCGGAAGCACCGTCACAGCCGTGGAAGTGCAGAACCCCTCCGGCAGCACCGAAATCATCCCCCTCGCGCCCAACGGCCGCGTCGTCCTCGCGGCGGGCGCCCTCTCAACACCCCGCCTCCTCTTCAACTCAGGCATCGGGCCCAAAACCCAAATCGAGACCGCAGCGCGAAGCGGAATCCCCGTCCCCGCGCAAAAGGACTGGATCGAGCTCCCCGTCGGCAAGACCCTAAAGGACCACCCCATCTTCACCATCACCGCCAAAACACCCGGCAACTTCAGCATCCCCGACTACGACGCTATCCTGGACGGTTCGGACAGAGGCGATATCGCGCTGTACGGACAGGGCTCGGGCCTCCTGACGCAGGGCAAGCACCGCCTCATCTTCTTCAGCTCGAACACCGTCCACAACCACACGCGGTACTTCCAGGGGTCTTGCGCGCCCAAGGAGGACGCCGTCCTTGAGATCAAGGCGTATATGACGCATGGCTTGACGTCGACTGGTGTGCTGGGGCTAGACGAGGACCAGAATACAGTCATCGAGACCTCGCCGTATATGCAGACGGCGGATGATGTCCTTGCTGCGCGCTTGTTTGTCCAGGAGCTCCTTGGCGACTTTGATGCACCGAACAAGGGGTGGGAGTTGACGGTCGACGCCAATGTCACTGAGATTCTGGCCGCCCCTGCTGCTGGAACGCATTATACGTCCACGGCCAAGATGGGACTTGATGATGGACGGAAGAATGGGACTGCGGTGGTGGATGTTAACACGAAAGTCTATGGCATGGATAACCTGGTAAGTTGGTCTAATAATTTCATTGATGGATGCATGGCTAACGGTTCTTGTAGTATGTTGTTGATGGCAGTATCCACCCCGACCTGTCTACTGGTAACATCCAGACGACGATCATGGTTGTTGCCGAGGCAGCGGCTGCTCGTATCCTTGCGCAGAAATAGAGGACCTTGTAGGAGTAAATAGATCTTTCATAGCATAATATAGATAATAGCAACTGGTTGTATAAGATCTTGCGCGCGTCTCTTTCCAATCACCCCCTGCTAAATCACCCGCGTCTGGCGTGTATCTTCAATGCCTACCTACCCTAGGATTCTGACTCTATGAAAAAAAAGGATTGTCCTGACTCCCATTAGCCATGGCATCCGTACCTAGGCGCTGGTGTCTCCGCTGCGGTCGGGCATGTCCTACCTATACCAATATCTCCAAACCAGCTCGATGCGCGATTTTCTCTTGCGCAGGGCAGGGCCAAGTTTGCGAGCAGCGAGCCATCCCGCTTTCACTGAAGAATGCCGAGGTCTACGGACCCTTCCCAGATCCAGGGACAAAGTGGGTCGTGGGCCGGCAGATGTCAAAGTCAAACATCAGTCAGCGATTATCAATCAGGCTGCAGATTAGCAACGATCCACAATCTTTCTTCAATAGGTATGGCTGATGGAGATTGATAAGGGCCATGTGGGTATCAGGGCCCGTCACGGCACCGAAGGAGCCGAGTGATGTGCCGAGTGCCTGGCAAGGCTGCACCTGGCACCTGCAGTGTGACGGGTCAGGGGACGCCGGTGTCGGCGGTTTCGGCTTCATGAGCCTGCTTGAGATTTAGCACAACTGAATTGAGTTTGAAAGGTCGGACCCTTATGCAAATGGCCTCGATGTGCAACTATGGAACTGGAAGCTTCAGTTTCAGCTATGTACTTTTGGTTCTAGTGTGACAGTCCCCATTTGCGTGTCCTCAATTGACAATAGGTACCTAGAAAATTAGGTAGGTGTACGGTAGGCAATCCCGGGCCGTGGCTTCGTCTAGTATGTACTTTATGTCCAATAGCGTTTTGTTCTCGGCTTACGAAGCTGCCAAAATCCGTGCAACGCATGTCGTCGATCTTGGGAGACTTTTCCTATTTTTTTATGTAGTACTTAAAAACATAAGAGTACAATGTACTCTAGGGCTACATGCATAAGCATAAGAATGCTTCATAAAATCCTTAAATAAATAACATGTTTTTGTTCATGATCTAAAATCCCTGTGTGCATTGTTGAGTAAGAGGTTGAGAGCAAACATCAAGTCACGCAGACACTATGTATGGAGAATGCTGGTGTAATACCTAAGTCTACGCTAAACCACGGCAAGTATACGAGTAAAGTGCCTCATAGAATCCCCAATCTCGTTAACTGGCAGATTGTAGGATATCATGAATTGCCGTGGTGAAATACCCTACCTAAAGATGTCAAAACAAGATGTGATTTTATCTGTGTAGATAGGGTCGTACAATCCAAGATGGTTTCAACATACCACGACAAATAATATTTGTACACCTAGAATCCGCAGAACACCTGCTTCTCTCTCTACCGCTGGATGGCTAGCCCTTAGCTAACCAGGACAGACCTCGTCGAACCCCGCAAGCGTATATCACCTGTGTACAGTAGTGTTGTTCGTTCAACGGGAATGTTATTACATCAGACCGGGTAATGTGCTAGGCTGCAGATATATGAAAGCAGGGCGGAGATAAGCACTATGGCAGCGGGAGAGAGCCTACACGCATGTTTAGGTACCTAGATGACGGGATCATACCTAGTATTTGTGGTGAATGGGGAGATTCATGTAATCTGGTTAGCCGTGAAGGTTGGCAAAGCATGGATTATAGTAGTTCAAACACTATCCACGGCACCTGTCAGCGTGATTTGTAGCTTAAATAAACGCCTAGTTTCACTGGCTAAACACCACACATTGGCTAACGACCAAGCACTCCACCCCAGTACACTCATCAACCAAGGTGGACATGGAAAGTCCGAAGCCTTCAGGGTCATACTCTGGATCATCTTCATTAGGGCCCCAATCCAACACGTCCAACGTGAACAGGCTATCAAACTTAATCCATCTCGATATTATCTCCTCTCAGCCCAGGCAAACTCCCCTCCTCTCCGCCAATGCCGTAAACAAGCGGACGGGTGCTCCATAGAGCTTCCTTGGTGTGGCGGTTCCGGATGTTATAGTACCGCAGCATTTCCGGAGCCGGAAGCCGTAGATAAACAGCAGCACCAGTTGTATCCCCTGTCTCCTGTTCCTCGAAACACCGGCTATATGTCCAGCTCCATCTCGCGGCCGAGCGACCTTGACCTCCGTTACCATGTAGACAGGCTGCTTCAGGCGCACTGAGTGCGTCTTCAACGCCCTCTGTACACCCGGACTAGCAATGCTCGCTCGGACATACTCATCGAAAGGCTTAATGAAGTCGTGGTCCAAGGTATCGATTTCGCTACGGAGATGAGTGAGACCGATTCTGGTAGATAGACACCGTGCATGTGCCTGGTCAGCATGTTAGTTGCGGCGTAGCGAGAAATGCCAATGTGTGGTTCAGTTCCTGTAAGGTACTCGCGTAGGGTTCTGATTGAGCTCTGCTTGTGAATCCCCTCGAACGCATTGAATTGTAGCGGGGAGTCTGCGCTGATCGGGCGGCCCGGGTGCGCGGGCGAGGTGATGAACTGTCCGGCCTGTAGACGCTTCAGCTGGTTGGGTGCAGACGTTGGAGATACAGCGTAGAACTTCGTGGGTATGAGATACGAAGGGCAATTTATATCTGGCATGATTGGCGATGTGTGATATGAACATAAGGGATGGAGCGTGCGAGTTGTTGGTCAAGGCCAGGGCAAGGGGGGTTTTATATGTAGGACTGCAAACAGACAATGGACCCGGTAAAGCCGCGAGAAAAGAAACATTGCGAGCCTGAGGGCGAGTGGGCAAGGATGGTAGCCTTGGAGTTGCAGGCTCCAGGGTCAATGGGGCCCTTGGCTGCATGCATCTCCTCTACTCTGGAAGCGCACCCAGCCGCTATAGTGTTTTTATGTATGGCGGCAAACCGGCAGTAATGCTGTCTTCATGATTTCCCCAAGGCAACATTCCAAGTAGATGCAGCTGCAAGATGGCGGTGCTTTTATGCTGCCACCCAGTCATTTCCGACTAGCTTTGCGCTGCCTCCCAGCTCAACCAGGGTAGGCCTCGAGTAGACAGATTCCACCAGGTGGATGTGGAAGATGGTAGCTGCTAGGGCTTCATGTTTGTCATCGGCCATCGAGAGCAATATTTGCTGGCGAAGGATCGTCCGCAGAGGTATAGCGTGCTTCATGTTTCCTAGGTCTAGGGCTTAATGACGGTTACTTGGTTTTGTTTATAATGTTAGGACTACAAGGGACAGTTTGATAATGCAAATAAGTGTATTAGCCAGCGTATATCTACCTGTCTGTTGACTTGAGTAACACAGGAATCAAATGATTGTGACAACCTATAAAGAGGGAGGAGGATCTTGGCCAAAGAGCTAGGGAAGCAAATCGTAGCGATATCACGGGGAGATACATAGTCCTATGCGGCCGCTGATGTAGAAGAGGGGTTGATACTCCCGGTCCCAACATAGGCAGTCTTCTTCTTATGCCACTCCAGCTTATCCACAATGTTCACATGACCGTAACGCTTTGCGTACATCAGCGGCGTTTGATCCTCGACATCCACAGTCTCGGTGTTCGCCCCGTTTGCAAGAAGCAGATTGGCAATCACACCGTGGCCTTCGGCCGCGGCCCAATGGAGCGGAGTACGAAGATACTGGTGGCGCGCATTGACATTGGCATCATTTTGCACGAGCAGCCTGACGATTTTCAGGTGTTTCCATACCACTGCCATGACAAGTGGGGGTGTTCCTGTCTCTTCGGCCAGTTCCGTGTCTGCTCCGTTGTCAAGAAGCGTCCTGACCATAGGAACGTTGTCCCTCTCGACTGCTATATATAACGGCGTCCTCCCGCACGCATTCCGCGCGTTTACATCGGCGCCGTTTGCTATCAAAACCTCCGAAAGCCTCGTGTATCCCTGTTCAACGGCTGATATCAAGGGACTTGCGTCTAGTGCGGTGTGGGTTATTCCTAGTAGCCTCTCCGCCACGAGGACATGCCCCATTTTTGCAGCGTCCAGAATAGCTTGTTTCTTTTTGAATGGCGCTAGGATATCTTCGTTACATCGTGTCAGTAGATTGTTGACGGTGTGGACGTCTCCACTCTTTATGGCGTCGACCAGCGGAGCGTTGTATAGGTAGCGCGTGTTTGGTATGGTAGAGTCGTCAGGCCGAGACTCCAGCTCAAGTAAGCTCAGCACGACTTCAGACCACCCGAGCCGAGCTGCTAATGAAAGGGCATCCCCCACTGTGTCCCCGTCGTCCGGGGGTTGCAAGTGAGCAAGCCCGATTAGCGTGGTCGTCAAGTCGTTCGAACGCAAAGCAGACAACAGGAAACCAGGAGAACCCCTTCCCGGTTCTGTATGAAACCTACGAGCAACCTCGAGATAGCGACTAATGATTGGGACGGCCGGGGGAAACCGGTCTAACTCGGCCAAGTGCTGGTTGATACCATCAATGCCAAATTGATAGTGTCCAGGCGCACGAAGTGCGTGTCGATAGAGCTCACCGAGCGCTCCAACGAGTTCCTCAATCATGCTGTCGCGCGAATCGCCATTTAATTCAGACGGAGGTATCCGCCCTATCTCGTTGAACATCCACTGGAGAACATCCCGAGCCTTGGACCATCGTTGCTCCCGTCGGTGAGTGTTTGCCGTCTGCTTCGCTGCCTCAATCGCGCATTGCAAAGAAGATGCTTTCAGGCGGGCCAATATCGCCGGCAATATACACAGCAAGGCGTCCTCCTCAGATCCTAGATTGTTTTCAACAAATATTTGGACGAGGGACGCCACCAGGTTGTTGGACAGCTGGAAGCTCCCGTCTATCTCCTCCAAAGTTATCGGGCCGAGGTCATGGATGGTAGCGAGAATAGCCATGACGAATGTGCCGAATATTTCCTGCTCACACTGGAAAGCGAGTGGCCTGCTCGATTTGACAGTAGACGCAACTAGCTTAAGGGGTTGACCAGCCGGACAAGGTTGACGGTGGAGTGCATACCACCCAAACACACGATTCAAAGCGTCGTCGCGTTCCAATTCACTGTTGTCATCGCTCTGTATTTTGGCTGGAACGTGTGCGTCTCGTTCCTCATCCAACCGCCATAGTGTGCTGGAGTTGGTGTGGTGATGATGGCCTTCGTATCTGCTTGAATGTTCCAACAAGGTTGATCTCGAATGCCACAGCCGTAATGAAATGCCTCCATGGTCCTCTGCCGCGGTGACTATTGTGCACGCTTGAAGGCGCTCTAATCTCCGCCAGTCATGAGAGGCATCTTGACCGTCATGTATCACCAGATCGTCTAATTGACACTTCAAACCCCAAAGCCATAAGCCTAAAGCTGCTTCCATCTCCTCGTGAAGGCTCTCGGACGCTTGCCAACTAGAATCTGGGGCCCCAAGGACCCTTGACAGTCTGGATGGATAGGTGCCTGGAGTGTCCGGATCGAGGATCAAGTCACTTTCGACCAAGGAGACCTTGCACCCAAACTTCCAGCACATGGTGCTTTCGGTCCGCCAGTACATCCTAACCATGGTGGAGTTGGAGAAAACGGTGTTGGCAACCGCCACAATAGCTGCCACCAGATACTTTGCGCGACGACGCCCTTCAACCATGTTCGCATCGAATGCGCTCGGCGAGACACTGAACCTCGCATCCACCGAAGGCGGGATCGTAAGCGATGCCAGTCGAGCTCGAAGACTCAGCAATTGGCGCCCGATATTGGGCTTGTTGGAAGCGAACCGGCCCGCCCCTGTGAGTGCTACCGGTGTGCAAGGCGCGCTGTGAAAGATCCAGCGGGCGTGGAAGGCAGTTTCTGGGCCTGAGAAGTCTTGGGGCAATGAAGGGGTACGCGTAATATACCGCTTGATGTCCTCTCGTCCAAGGCGCAAAGCCAGCCAGTCAAGCTCATGGCCGATGATCATCTCCCCGTGGCTGGCGAGTGCGTTCGCGTCCGGCGTTAGTCGCTGCATGCGCAAACCTGCTCGGGCAATGGCCATGGCCATAACAGCGCCGAGTTGGGCCACTGCGACAGCCGAATGCACACCCCGAAGCCCGATAAACTGGAGAATGAAGCCGGAGATCGTGATGCTAACGGCTACCCACACGGTGTAGTGTGCTTTTGGTGACTGTTCATTTCTCCAGGAGATGGTATACTCTTGCAGGATATCCTTGGGGTTGTCCTTGTCAGAGTAGGAGAATGCGTGAAACGTCTGATCGCCAACTCTTTGCCCCCCCGGCTGCAACCAGTGTATCGATGCCCTGTCGTCTTGCCTCGCGCCCTTGCACCACACTTCCTCGTCGGTACTCTGGCCGATCAAATATGCACAGAGGTACACACCGGTGCCGACAAGTACTGTGCCGATGAGCACGAGTGGACACACGTAAGAGTAAGATTCCTCATCTTTGCCATTTCGCCCCCAGTGAAGGTAGTACGTCGCAACGCAAGCATATACCAACACACCCGCCTGCAAGAAGAACCCGCAAACGGCCACGGCCCAGAAGACAGCGGGGTGGAGTTTCTTGATGCCAACATTGAGCGATAGGTTCGGCGCAAAGGCCGGTGCCGGATTGTCATAGGCCGGGGCCTCGTGCATGCTTGTTAGCGAAACGGAGTCGATTCGGTTGGGCCGTCTGGGCCAGCCCCTCTCCTTCTTCCGGTGCCATCTGCCGGTCTTGCGAACATATTCCTGGAACGATAAGACGCATGGCCGATCCAGCTCGTCGAACTCCGGGTCGTAGACGACCTCCAGGATCTTCGCAGACATCCTGACTAGTCGATGAGCAGAGCTCAGCCTCTGCTTGGCCTCCTCCTTCCTGGGCGCGACCGATAAATGCCCGCAAGGCTGGGCTTCCGCATACACGGATGGCGGAAACCACAGCTGTGAGGATGCCCATCGGGGCCATGGCAAAGATAAAGTAGTCTAGGAATGTCGTACTTTCACTCAAGTATTGCTTTGTCACTTGCTCGCCAAACAGTGAAAGAAACGGGGCAAGATCGGTCGCAAGCCCTGGAGGTTGTTCGAGAAGTCATCCCACCCAACAGCTCCGACGACCGGGAGGGTGGCGAGGCCGAGAAGGAAGGCGCGAGCCATGGCCGCAGTTGAAGATGAAAGACAAACGGCAAGAGGTGATGGTTCTGTCTGGTTCTCTCGCGACGGCTTTGGACGGACTCGTCTGTCATCATCCCATCCGTCACCGAGGCACCAGCTCAGCTCAGCTCAGCTCAGCCCCGCTGATTGTGGCCAGCCTTGCCTATTGTATTCAATGTTGCACGAAAATCCGGGCAACGAATCATACCGTATCCCGCTCGAATGTTGTTCTGCATGGTCCACACGCCTGGAAGTCGTGCTGACGCAAACTCCGCCCAGTCCCAGTTCAATGAAAGGTCTCGTCAACACTCACCTGTAAAGAGAAACATTGGGAGCTCGACAACCTATCATGTCACATCCAACGGCCCCTGTCCACTATGCTACGCGCCGGTCTCCAATTTTGACATGAATGGTATAACTGCACCAGGGCTCTTCCCTAGATAGTGCTGCGGCGTGTTTAGTGGGTCGTGTGTGCAAGAGCCTCGATTGCTTTACCGTACCTATTCTTTCCCAGCTCACCCACAAGAATAGCTATTTTTCTCCATTGTTCAGGAAAAATGATCCACATGGGTAGACTTGGCTTTCAGTAGTATGCATTTCTGCCTTGAGGTCCAAATTCCCAACCAAAGAGCCGCACGACACCACCCGTTCCCGCCGGAGGATAGTCGAACAGCCAGTTCTGAGAACGCTCGAATGCTCAGCCTCGGCTTACCTACCAAGCCACATTCGACGTGGACCGTGGCAATTCGTCGAGCTGTCAACGTTGGATGGCGTCGGTGTAACCACATCCGGCTGGTCGCGAGAAGGCGATCTCACCAGAACAAACCTGAGCCCCCACATCTCTTACTTGAACTTAGAGACTCACGTACGTCTTAGGATACTGAGGTCGAACCAGGTGTCAAACAATGGGCGATCCATTTTCCGTCAGTGCGGGCGTGGTAGGCGTGGTCTCCCTGGGCCTCACGCTATGCCAGGGCTTTCTCCGCTATTACGGGCCTTGGAAGGATTACGACGAGGAGATTGAAGGGTTTACGACAAAGGTCGATGGCTTGCAAAAGACTCTCAAGCTACTTGAAGGTTTCTTGATGCCCGAGTCACAAGTTGTTGCCGTTGATCAGTTTCGCCAGCTGGTCGCCGAGAATCTTGCTTCGTGTCAGCAAGTTTGCGACAGGCTGGACGGGATGCTGACGAAATGCAAATCAAGCAACACTTCGAGTGTTCCCTTTGTCAGGAAACATGACTGGTTGCGTATCAAGAGAGCGGTTTACCCGTTCAAGAAGGAGACGCTGGCCACGCTTTCCCAGTTGGTTTCGGGGCTCCAGGACAACCTGGGTCTTGCCCTCCAACTTTTGAACAGGTGAATCTCCTTCAAGAGAGACTGCTGTGAGTTAGACTGGCTAAGTTCTGCCGAAGCGCTCTCATCAGGCAACAGCACAGGGATATACAAGACCTTATATTGAGGACCTCATCGATCGACATCCGGACCACCAGGATACTCGGAGTCGTCGAGCGAGAGGAGACTTCGTCGACTGTTCCCCAGCCACTTCCTCCACAGGTATTCCCTTGACAGCCGTCGATGCAAAGGCCATATGCTCAGACAATTTAGGCACTCAGGGTTACCGACCGAAGCCGCAGCTCCACTGCCATCAGGATCCCAGAGCCGAGTACGATGCGTGGCCTCTGCAGTCGACAACGGGTGATAAACAGGTCCATACAAGGGACACGCCGGCTTTTCAACTCACGAGCTGACTCTATCTCGCGTTGTTGTACATGCCTTCTCAAATCTCGACGTCCGCAACAGCTCGAGGTCTTCACTCTTCATGACAAGGCCTGTCCGTTATATGCCGACGGCGAACATACGGTCGGCCTGGCAGCGTGCCACACATTTTGCAATCGATTTCTCGCCTTCTCCGTTCAACTAATGATGACAATGACAAGAGGCGCGGGGGCATTTTCAATCAGCCCAACTATCCGTGTCCATGCTGTCGTGAGCTGGGACTCACCGGCAGTCACACTCTTCCAGGAGAGAACCTTGATAAATTCCAATGGTGAATGCACAAAATGCGTACTTCAACATATCAAGGACAACCTCTTCCAAATGTTTCGCGATGGAACAGCTTCCCCAACCGATCGCCTTCCGGACAACAGTACATTGCTACATGTAAGTTCACTCCAAGCTTTCAGTATAATGCGTCTTTCTATGAAGCTTCCCTATGTTTCTGGCGCCGAGATTAATGTATAAGTGCAGGCATGGTTTTGGTGCCCTTGGAGAGATTTGATTACCGATAGCGATCCACAATCATCTGGTCGAATGCAGGCCTTCATCCGAGATTTGATTGAAGCTGGTGTTCCTGTCGATGAGCAGGATCTTGAGGGGCGTACAGTGTTGGATGTTGCCATCCAACAGCCGTCATGGATATACAGGATTCCCATCCTTGACTGGAGTGCGGTGGCAGGGTTTGAAGTACTTCGAGACCTACTAACCTATGGCAGCCCCATGAAGTCTCCATGTCCAGGTCTGCCCACTGATCGCGTACCTGATTTAAGCTTTGACCATGAACGTGCTACGTCGGAGTACCAGGCAGCCCAAATGACTCGCGAACTATTGCAGTGTAACGAATTTGAAGGTTGACACCCTGCTGGAGCATATAGCCTGGGCTGACGGATGGCGGGGAACCTAGATTTCGTGTTGTCGGAGCTCGATACTGCGATCCTGACAAAGTCAGAAGCGTCACTAGCACGCCTTTTGGCACTCGAAGCCGTGAAGCATTGCGAACCTAGTGCCCGCTTCTCCGGGTACCTTGGGGTTCTTTGGCTGTGCTTGGGCTGGCCGGAAGGAATACGAATCACGCTCCAGTCGGGCCTTCCTCAGGATGACAGGTCGATCTGTTACTGCTTCAGGCATGCATGTCGTGAAGGGGAGCATGAATGTGCCAGAATACTCCTAGAATACATGAAGGATATCCAGCCATACGCCGTGAGCGCCGCCATATCCACAAACAACCCGGAAATATTTAGCGAAGTTATCAGACGCTGGGCAGTGCGTCAATCCAGACTTCGGGAGATGGCATTGCAGTGCCTGCCAAACGAAGCCATATCTACTCTGCCAGAGACGACAGATGGTCTTTTGGACACGAAAACGTCATCAATTCATAGAGCATTGTTTTCACGCGGTATTCAGACCGACTTCGGGTATGATTTTTGTTTCCATGTCGACACCGTATACAACTATGTCGTGGGAGATATGTTTGCTGCGCAAATGGCGTACGATGCTGGTTTTACCGACCTTAACCAACCCGATCCAAACGGCATTACACCTCTTATGGCTTTATGCTGTGGTCCAGGTTGGCCTTTGGATGACTCTGATCTGCCCCTTGTATTTTTTACGCGCATAGTACATTGGATGGTAGGGAAGGGGGCCAATCTTTACCAAGTCTCTGCAGCAGGCTACCCTGCACTCTGGTACCTGGCAGAGGAGTTCGGGCTGGGGATACACAATGCAGGAATACTCGGTTTGCGGAGTCCTCTGCTGCTAGATTTGGATCCGGAGAAACGGGTCCTCAAACAGATAGCCGACCCCCAGACGGCAAAGCTTCTATCTACCTTCTTGACTGACCGATTTCGAGATGAGTGCATATGTGCTTGTGGAGAACACGGCTGCTCAGCATTGCTGCTCCTGCTCCATAGATCGGGGTCGGCGTACGGCTGCAAAGATATTGCACTGTACTCTGATAGGGCGGCGGATCTTAGTCCAGAGTTCTTTACCCCTGAAGACCGTGTCATCATGTCCCAAGTGATTATTCGCTACCTTACCTTCAAAGCTTTGGAGCTGACGCACACCTGTCACCACGGGAACATGCAACCACACTCCGCAGTTTATTGCAACTTCAAACATGATCTTGCGGACGATTGGTCTGAGATCCGGGATGAGCAGCGCTTGCTCATTGAACAACTAGACAGCCTTGTAGCCGAGTTTACTGCCGAGTACAGCCAACTTATTGTGAGGCTATACGACTACGTTCAGTACTATTGGCAACCGAGGATGGACGAGGTTCTTGCGGCCCCGAAAGAAGGGTTCGACGAGGATGAGGTTCGCCGGGTTCAAGAGGTTGGAGTCATAGGGTGTTAGAAGAGTGCTCGGAGCTCAATGATTAATAGGAGTTTAAGCAGCCGACCCGTATGCCAAATGGCTATTCATTGTTCTCCTCCGTGAACACTTCAACAGCAAATCTCCGGAGAGCTTCATGCAATGTGATGTATTAGAGAGAATTTCGGTCACTCTGATCAATATCCTATGACCTGGGGGTTTGCAATTTGTGGGAAAGATGATTCCAGACCATTAAGCTCAGTTAGGCAATAACGCCTCCATACATATGTAGGCACCTACCCTATACCTCGGACAAAAGCCCTTACCAAGAAACCTCCACAACCAACTTCGTACAGCTCACGCCCAGTGCCAATTCATCTAATCCTTCGTTAATAGCCTCCAATCCTTTTCCGACGACCTTTGGTTCAGGACTTGGCCTGATGGTCCCTTTCTCGATGTTCTCACTCAGCCATGTCATCCAGGACCGGAACTGCTCCAGCCTCTCCTCTTCGGCGTTCGACGGCATAACAAAGATTGTCTCCAGCCCCTCAATGACCTCCGCATCAGACGGGACAGGTGGTGCCGATGCAATCTTTGCCGTCTTTGTCTTGGCAATGAATCCCCTCAGCACAGCTTGACAGGATGCTAGATCGCCTGTAGCGAGGAAGCAATGCTTGATTACCAGCCCATCCTGTCGAGCTGCTGAGATAATAGCATCCACGACGCAGGGGTCTTTGTAGTCAAATACGCGGTCTGCACCGAGCGAACGCACGTAGTTCAGATTTTCTGCTCCAGCGACGGCGTACACAGCTGCAATGAAAGAACTCGGATCAACACGCAGAATCCGGGCTGTCTGCACGCCCATCGTGCCGACGCTCGACGACGCACCCCAGATCAAAAGAGCCTCCCTTTTCTCGATACCAGAAGCAGTGTCTTTACCAGTGCGTGGGATCCCCATCGCATCCCACGCACTAAGCGGCACCTGCACGGCAACCGGCAAAGTCGCGGCATGATGCCATGATATACCCTGCGGAAGAATAGCCGCATGCTGCCAGGGCACAAGACATATTTCCTGGAACGCGCCGTAGTCCGGATTACATCCTTTCCAGGCTGAAGCAGAGTAAGCAGCAACGCGGGTACCGGGCTTAAAAGCTGAAGGGACGTCCTCCCCGACTTCGAGGACGAGGCCTGCCATGTCGAAGCCGGTGACTGTTGGGTAGGAGGGTATGAAGAGGCCTGTGTTGCGCATGATTATGTCGGCGGGGTTGAGGGCGATGGATTTCACGGCGATGAGGAGTTCACCTGGACTTGGGGGGGGAGTAGGACGGGCTTGGATGGTGAAGAGGGCGCCTTTTGTGGGGAGGATGGCGGCGCGGTGGGTGGCCATATTGAATGGAGGCTCTGGAAGATTATGAACTTGATGGGGGATGCCGTTTCAAAACAGATTTGACGCTCTCGGGGCAGGGAATGAGCTCGTTCTTATACCGACAGAGTCCTGCTCACAGACTGCCTAGGTACATACTGGCCGATGGGGCCTCAGTTAGGGCAATTCTGGCAGCCAATGAGAGAGCACTGCATCCGAGTCATGGTTAGCGTGTAGACCAATCGAGGTTAGCGCATCCCTCAGGGCTGATTCACTTCGTGTCCGAGTCATCCCGCCTCCATTCCTCCTTACTTCTGTCGCTACCAAGCGCATCCGACGTCACCCCCTCTGCTCATGGGCTCTGCTGGTCGGAATTGGGGCCAGAAGCGCCCGATCCGCAGGTCCAGATTCGGGTGCCGGAATTGCAAGCTCAGGAAACTCAAGGTCCGTACCAGGGGTAATCTCACCTTGCTGTTGGACCCCTTCCGCATCTAAAACAGCGCATGTGCCGCTAACCCAGTGCCCTTAGTGTGACGAAAACAAGCCCGAATGCAAACGATGCAGATCGTTTGGTGTCTTATGCAACTTTGTGGCAAATGTCTCTGACCTACAGCCCCTCATCAGCGTTGAGGCGAGGAGACCAATGGTGGCTCGGCCTCAATCCCCCGTCTCCTGTGCGGTCTGGACGTCGGATGAATCCATCTCCTATACCTATCAATTGAACGATAGGTGCCAGAACTTTATCACACGGTACCTCGGACAGAGTATTATGACTACCGTCCCGGGTGATCCGAATATGGTGCATGTTAACCGCAGGCTTTTAAGATTAGCCTTCACTGTAAGTTCCTTCATTATATCGGAGCATGGCTGTTTAATACCCATGTTGACTCATATGGGTCTTTAGTATCCGTACCTAATGCACGCGTCGCTAGCCGTGGCATTTTCCTACGACCAATATCTGAACAGCCCGCCGAGTGCTCGTCGCAGTGTCGAAGAGTGCTATCACTGGTCTCAAGCGACTGTCCTTCTAAGCAATTGTCTAAGAAGGCCGATCAGAACCACGTCAATGGACAAAGATGCAATATGGGGCACTGCAGCTGCCCTGGCAATTCTCACCTTTTCGTCTACGGAAGCATACAGTTCGGAAGGCTCATGGCCTTTGAAGCCATCAACAACGGGCGACGAGTTGCACTGGTTATCTATGAGCAGCGGGAAGAACGCACTCTGGGATTTCGTGAACCCATTACGACCAGACAGTATCTTCAACGTCATGAAGGGGAGCTACGATATCATGTTCTCACCTCTTCCGGACACCGGGATTGACGGTATCCCAGGCCCTCTAGCTGCCATTTGTTCATTGAACAAGCCATGCACAGCAGAAAGTAACCCGTACTTCCACGCTGCGCATGGACTATCTGTTATCCTGAACATCCCCGATTACGAGGTCACAACCGGACAGACTCAGCTCTTCACGCGCTGTATTCATGGCCAGTTCAAGTATCTGCTCTTGAGCAGGGACCCGGTGGCTCTTTTGCTGCTTTATCTCTGGTATCGCAAAGCAAGGTGTATATGGTGGATTGAGCTTAGGGCGAGAGTGGAGCGTCCTGCTATTTGCGAGTATTTGAGACTTTATCACCCGGAACACAGGGTTCATGAGCTTCTTCAATAATGTCATTCTAATGAGCTCCCAAATTATTGAGAGGCCTTACCCCTTGCTTCGTCCATTATCTGTAATAACTTGAGTATCTCAAACCGATGACTATAGTATGTACATTTGTACACACATCTACCTGCAGTGAAGTTGTCTCAATCAACCAATAGAACCCGTTGCAAAGACACTGGTCTTCAATATAGATTCACAGCACAATCAGAGGCGTCGTTGGCGGTAACTGGACGGGGAGGTCGGGGCCTAAGTGAACATCTGAGCGGGCATTCATTCTGAACGTTTAGTCAAGATATAGAAAATCAACATCAGATAGCCTAGGTAGAGCCCCGCGTCCTGACCGGGTCCCAGCTCGCACTAGCCTTGCCGGGCCAGGCCTGTGGAGACGTTGCTGAATTTGGGGGTGTTTTGCGAGACAATAATGCAAGCCCTAATCCGCTGCTTGCAGGTCACCAAGTATATTAAGGGAAGAAGAACTGCACAACCAGAGATTCCTCTTGCCTCTCAATCCTAACTACTTATTACTTGTCTGGGTACCGCCACTACTTTAAGGCAGCTCTTCCCTCGGGGCCATACACTACCTACTGTTCACCTTCCAGTTGGATCACGCAACAATGGACACCAACCACCCCGCCCCCGGACCCAAAATACACCTTCTCACATCCATCTGTCTTGCCTCAGGACTCATCTTCAACACCATCAGCCTTGCACTAGGCGCAACCGCGCTATCGGATTATCTCAACCAACGCACGTACCTCCTCCGTCTCGTCCCCAAAGCCTCCATCCACGACATCGCCTACGTCGGCGCTCTTAGCTACGATATCGCCTGCTGCACCTTCTCCGTTTTTGCCCTACCAACCGCCCTTCTACTCCTCTGCATCCACAGGCGCCAGCACACCCTTCGCGCCCGTCGCCTCCTAATCGCATGCGTCGTTCTCGCTCTACCCAGCATTCTGAGTTTGGCGAATGCGCTTGCACTGACGGTTATCACGGCCACCGGCTCCGTGTCCTTCGGGGACAGTGTCGGGCCGCGCGTGACGGCGTACCTCGATGCAGAGGCGGATGGGCACGGTACGCCTGTTCTGTATCGGCGGGATGCGGTGGCGATTGGGACGGTTGTGTTTTCTTGGTTGGGGTGGGGGTGTTTATTTGTTGGGTGAGAGTCTTTCATTCCGAGTAGTGGTATGGTGGTTATTATGCTGGTACTGATACTTGGCTCATAGATGCGTTGTGTTGGTTAATATCTGGAAGAGTGCTACGGGCGCACAGCGGGCTTTGGGCTTTGAGGGTGACAAGTTGAGTTGGCCGGAGGATGGGAGCTCTACCTCTTAATAGCGACTGGGCATCTGATGTTCGAGCTTGGGGTGAATCTTTAAGAAGGTGGGCGGAGATGAAGATTTATCCTTCCTCCCACTCCCTAGTCGGTAGGACACCTTTACAACTCTTAGCAATTTAGGGGTACCTTTAAATAAGGGCTTTAAACACTTTAAAACTATTATAAATATATATTTTTACTATCTTAATTTTATTTTTAATTTTTTTTTTCTTTTTTTATTACTCCCCGCGGTATAATAGCTAAAATTAAGGTGTATATTTTTAATTAATTTATAAGCCTTAATTTAGCTAACTTTACCTGGCTATAAAATTTTTTATTTCCCTTTAACCTTTATATTATAAAAAAATAAAAAAAAAGGGCCTTAACAAGCCTATTTTTTTTTTATTATTAAAAATAATAATATATTAACTTTTTAACCTAGCCTAGTTATAAAAGCCCTTTATAATTAGTTTAATAAGTAAAAATACTAGGTATATATTAAGTATAAAGTTTTTATAAGCTTTATAACTATTATTAATAGCTTTATAATTAAATAAAAAACTTAAAATTAAAAAGCCTTTACTTATAATATTTATAATAAGTTTATATACTTTATTTTTTTAAAGGGCTATATTAATATTAATAATATTAATTATATTTTTTTATATATATATAATTAGCCTATTATTATAATAATTTTTAGTAAAATTATTACTTAAAAAAAATAAGTTTAACCCTTAAAAACTTAAGGGCTTAACTTACTTTTTTTAAAGTAAGTTTTTTTACTTTAATTAATACTACCCTAGGTAAGGTGCCCTTATTAAGTACCTTAATAACCTAATTAATATATAATAGCTTTATTATAGCCTTAACCATGTAAAATAATTATAAAATATTAATTATTTTTTTTAATAATAAGCTAATAATATACCTTAAGGTATATATTATTTAGCAAGCTTTTACTAAGTATATACTAGGCTTAATTATAATTATAGCTATTTTTAAAATTAATACCACCTACACGGGCTAGGTTATTATTTTTAATAACCTTTTTATTAAAAACCTTTTAGTAGCTAATAAAGTAGTTAGTATAATTTATTATATCTTAGGTATTATTAATATATATATTTTTTAAAAATAATATAATTATATAGTATAAAAAGTGTTTAGTACTATCCTAGTATATAATAGTAGTAAAATAAATATTATAAAACTAATTTAAAATAAAGTTATAATATAAACCAGGCTAAAGTTAATTAGGCTTACTTTTTTAAAATATAGGCCTAATTTTAATACTAGGTATATTATTTAAGTAATATTTTTTTTAAAATAGCCCAGGGCCTTTACTTTATTTAACTAAAATAAATATTATTAGCTTATTAAAAAATACTAACTAGTTTTCTAGTATAACCCTAGCTATTAAAAATATTACCACCTAGTATAATATAATTATATAATATATTATATATAATATAGTATAATAGCTATAAACCACCTAGGTTTTATTAATTTAAATTATAAAAATCTTATATATTATATAAATTATTTAAGCCCTTAATTAATAAAATATAATAATTACCTAGTAGCCCCCAGGCGCAAGAATAGGAAACTAGTTTACTTATTTAAAAAAAAGCTTAATAACATGTGCTATTATAATACCTATTAATATTAAAATATACATGCCTAGGCTAATATTAATACTTAGCTTTAGGCTAAAATTAAATAATTTTTATTTTAAAAAAACCCTTAAAAGCATGTTATAAAAAAGCTAAAGGTAAATAAGCAGGGCTTTATAATAATTATTAATTATTATATTTTATAGTTTAATACCTTTACTAATAATTAAAATTTTAAATAACTTTTTATTAAATTAATCCTGCCTATCCTAGCTAGCGCGGGCACGCCTTTTTTACCTTAAGTAATAAAAATTAATACTAAATCCCCTTTTAAGCTTTAATAATAAAGTATTAAAAAAGAAATTATAATAATTATTACTAAAATAATACCTAGTAATAATAAAATATTATTATTTATTAAGTTAATATAAATAAGTTTATACCTAGTTATATTATAATTTTATAACTAGCTTATAAGTAAAGCTATAATATTACTTATATTTAAAAGCCTTAAACTACTATAAATATAAAAACTTAAAATTATTTAGTATATAAGTATTACGCGCTAGTAAATACCTAAAATAATTATAAAAACTAGTTAAAAAAGCGCCCTAAAGGACTTACCTATATTTATAAAAAAAAAGTATTATATATTAAATAATATTACCTAGTATAAAGCTAAAATATATTATAGCTTATAATAAATAATATTAAGGTTTTAAATATATATTAAAAATTAATTATTTATAAAATAATTAATTACTTAATTATATTAATCCCTACCCTAAACTATATAATTAATAAAAATTTTAATACTACTTATAATATTTTTAAGCCTGGGGTAAATAACCTATACTATAATAATAAGATTATTAAATAGGCTAGTAATAATAATATTAGTTATATTAATAAACTAGGTATAATTATATATAAAACTAGTTATATTTTTAACCTAATTTTTTTAAATATTTTTTTTACCTGCATGCTAGTAATACCTAAGTTATATAATAGCTTTAATTACTAAATTTTAGTTATTATAATACTAGGGCGCGGGAAAAAAATATTAAAAAAATATTATTATAATATATTAAATTATAAGCTTAAGCGCCTGGCTAGGCTAGTAAAAAATAAAATAATATTTTTTTTTTAGCCCGAGGAACTTAGGGATATAAAGGTATTAAATTAGTATATTAAATTTTTTAATAATATTATTATAAAAGTTATATAAGTAATTAATAAATACCCTAACCTAGGGAGCCGTAGCACCCCTTAATAATTAACTAAATATATAAAAAATTACTAAGCCTGGGTGGTAAACCCTACCCTAAAATAAAAAAAGTAGTTTTTAACTATAATTTATAAAATTAAGCGCGCGTACTAGACTAAAATAATTAATAATATTAAAAATAATTAAAAATTATACTAAATAATAATATAGTATAAGCTAGAGCCTAGGCTTAAGGCTTTTTTATTATTAATAAATAATAAAGTAATTAAAAACACGCGGGAAAAAACTAATATTTTATAAAAAATAATACTAAAGTATTTTAATATAAATAATAATTTAAATTTTAATCCCCTAGTACTAAAGCACTAGTAAGGTAATAAATACCTTTATTAATTAAAAAAGCTTTTATTAAAAAAGGTTAAAAAAAATATTATTAATATAAGTAGTATATTTCCCAGGGCAGACTAGGTAATAATCTATATTTTAAAAGCTTATTAAAAGTATATTAGGCAGGTTATATACAGGCTATATAATTAATATTTATAATTAAAATACTTTTTTTATTATAAAAGCTTGCAGAGGTAATAATACTTTTAAAAAGTAATAAAAAAAATAAGTTTTTACCTTAATTTTAGTACCCTATAGCACTACTTTTAGTATTAAAAAAAAAACTTAAATAAATTATAGCGTGCTACGTTGCTTTTATTATATTAATATAAAAAATACTAAGCTTATAATAATATAATACTTTACCCAAGTACTTAATTATAAATTTAATAACCTTTTTTATTTATAATATAAAAATAGTGCTTTTATAAAACCAAAAAGTTATTATAATTATTATAAATATTTTAGGCGCTTTTAATATTATTTTATTATAATACTTACTTTAGTAAATAATAAAGCAAGGCTGGCCTTGCGTGCTTTTAGCCTTAATTATAAGTTTTTTAATAAGTAAAGCGTGAAAGTATACCTAAAATTTATTATAATAATAACATACCTAGTATACTATAGTATATTATAAGGCTTGCTTTTTTTTTTAATATTATTCTTGCTATATGTTACTAAATTATTACTAGTAAACCTAATTTTATATTTTAATTATATAAATAACTTTTACCTTAATTATATAAGTAACTTCCTTTATATAAATTATAAATTTTTAGTAAAAAATATTTATAGTATGCTAGCCTAAAAAAATAAAATAAAATAGCCTTTACACCTAAAAAATTAAAAATATTATATATTATTTAAAAGTAGTATGGTAAATTACCCCTGCTAGTAGTTAATAACTAGTTAATAATTACTTTTATTATTATAATACTAGGCTAAAAATAGCCCGCGCTATACTAGCTAGGTATTTTTTTTAATAAATAGCTTTTTTAATACTAGTATATTATTAAGTAGGTAGTTAAAGCCTAAATAATAATTTAATATATTTATAATTTAATATATATAGCACATGGCCCGCCTGTAAACTTTTTTTATAAAATAATTATTACTTATATTATTTTTAACTTATTATATAGTATAAAGGCATAATATAATAATAAAACTAAATTTAAAAAATATATATAAGACTTAAAAGTTAACACCTAGCTAGGCTAGTATATTAAAATTATTAAAAAAATTTTAATACTAGCCGCTCGCGGCATATTCCTAGTTTTTTAAATAATATTTATAATAACTTTTTTTAGGGATGCTAGGCTTTTTTTTATAATAATAATATTAAAAAAAATATAATTATACTTTGCCTTAAGGCTAAGGCTAGTTAATAGCTAAAACCTATTAATAATATAAGTAATATTACTAAAAATCTTATATAGTTAAGGCGCTAGCTTACACTAAAAACTTAAAATAAAGGTATAAATAATAAAAATACTTTTTTTAAAAACTTTTAGGCTAGCTTTAGTATACTTTTATTATTTTTAATAATATTTAAAAAATTTTATTAATAGCAAGGCCAAGAAGCTAGCTATAAAAAAGTTTAAATAATAATAATAAGTATTATTAATAATAAAGGTAGTAATTTTTAATAATAATTTTAAGTAAATATACTAAGGGGTGTATTATATAGGCTATAGCTTTATAATATATTATAAATAATATTTTTAAGTATAAGAACTATTAGTAATTAATACCTAATTTTATATATATAATATTAAAGCTATTAATATACTTAAAAAATTAAAAATTATAATTAAAAAGCTTTTAAGAGCGCCCTGCTACTAGCTTTATATTAATAATATTTTAATAATTTAATACATGCGCGGGTAGCTTTTACTATTTTTAAATTAGGCTTTTTAAATATTATACTAACTTATAAATTAATATATAGTTTACTTATAATAATTCCCTAAATATATAAATATTAAAAATAATAAGTTAGTTAATAAGCTAGCTAAAAAAATAGTTTTTATAAAAATATAGTTTTTAAATATTAACTTTTTTAAGGCGCAGTTTACTATAAGCAGGATATATAACTTATATAAATAAATATATTAAATTACTTAAGCTAAATAATAAAAAAATACCTTTATAAAATTATTAGCTTAGTATAAGTAATAGCTTATTAAATTAAAGCCTTACTAGGTTAAACCATAGCTTAAGCTTATATTAAAGTACTTAACCTTATATTACTAGCTAGTACTTAAATTTTTATATAAGGACTTTAAGTAATATTATAAATATTTTTAATATAAAAATACTAGGCTTACCTATTCCTACAGGAGAAATAAAAGCTTTAAATACCTAATTTTTTATTATTATTTTAAAAAATAATTTTAATAATAGCCCTAGCGCCCTATAATATTATTAATAATTAAGGCTAAGGTCTTAAAGTATTTTTATAAACTAAAGCTTAAGGGCTTTATATTTTTACTTAAAATTATAAATTTTTATAAATTTATTTACTTATGCTAGGGCTTCCCGTGTTTTAATAATTTTTATACTAAAATTATTTAGCCTAGTATTAAATAATTTTTTTTTATTATACTATATATTTTTTTTTTTATTTTAAATACTTTTTTTTAATATAACTAGTTTATTTAATATAGTTTTTTTATATAAAGGCTGGACCTTATAAATTACTATAATTAGTTTTTTTAAGTATATAATAAATAATACCTATTAATAGCTATATATTAAAATAATAAGTAAAAAATAAGTACCTAGTTTATAAGCTTTAGCAAAAGTTACCCTTTAAAATAAAAAGCCTTTTTATATATAAACTTATTTAAATAAGCTACTTGCCTAGTGGTGGCGCGCCCCTATACCCTAAGGGAGGTCTAGAACATAAGGCGTACGCCTAACGATCCCCGGGGCGTTAAATATCACTACTACTACTACCTAGTTGGTAGGATGGAATATACCCCAACTGGGTGTGGAGAGGCATAAGGTGGTCCCTTTTCATATCCAAGTTTCGCACAGAATGAAAATGATTAATTCTTGCAAAGTATATTGTGCTCATTATTTACTTGCACTTTAGCTCAATGTGGTTACCTTGTTCTAGTAAGATTGGCTCTTGTTGGCTACCTAGGTATAAGAAAGCTGTGGCTGAATCGGGGTAGATTCTTGTTACTGGGACTTGTACATATTTTCCAATAGGTATCAAATCAACAGGCTAAACATTCCCCTGCTCATCCCGCGCCATCCCAGTCCCCTCATCAGAAATAGGAACCAAACCCTCGGGAATAGCCTTAAGACACAAGTCCCACCTTGACTTATCCGCCAATGCGCAATACAAACCCCGCAGACACGAAGCATCAGCCCTTATAAAGCCATTATACGCTTTCTCCGCCCCAATTACATGCGCGTACCAACCATCAATCATTCCGACAAAGGCCTCCGAACCGTGGTGAAGGTCAATCAGATCTGCCAGCAATCAACCTCCGCGAGCACTTGTCAACAGCCAGGCATTCTTCAAGCCAATACCCGCGCCCCTGGCAGGCCTAGAGAGACGTCGAGGAATGCGCACGGATGTCCTCGATCGATGCGGCGTCCACAATCAAGGCTTTTTTGTCTGAGAAAGGTAACATCCATGCTTGCGCGACTCTTCGAGGGGGCGTTCCTCTCCGAATCAAACATCCGATGATCTCGAGCCATCCAGACACTTGTCGAGCTTGCCACGACAAGCGGCCACAACTCGTCTGACTCGGCCGTGTAAAACGTTCGGTGGATGATATACCCCCAGCCCCAAGGAAACGGGTACTCCGCGGAATTAATCAGGAAGCGTGTTGTGCGACTGTGCTGCGTTTGTTTATACCAGGCTTTCTGGATGCGTCCAGCGCTCGGGCCGGGATGGGTGGTGGTGGATGGTTGAGTTGTCGACCCTCAGTTCGGAGATTGGGTCTGGCGCGGACGGGGAGGAGGGAGCGTCAGGGGGCGAAATGGTGTCGAAGTAGAATGATGCGAGGTATAGAAACAGCAGCAGGAGAAGGAGGTAGTAGGTGAGAACTAGGTAGAAGTCCATTGTTGGTGGTAAAATCACGAAGTTTGCATTTTGGCGGGTAGGGGGGTTTATATATTACCCAGCTCAGGAGAAATCCAGCTAGTGCGCAATGATAATTCCCTGGCGGCTTATCAAATGGGGATGATATAGTAAGCCAGAGCAAAATTTATTATCTTTCCGTCTAGTTATTTCATTCGTAGATGGTGCTGGTACTTCCTAGTGGATGTTTATTGTGCTGTCTACGTGGATCCACGCGAATCAACATCTAGACACCATTCAGGAATGAGGACAATGGGTGTTGGAACGGCTTCATAGAGCAATCTGGGCAATAGTAGGGCTGTTTGAACTACAATATGCAAGCAATCCTTTTGGCAGTTCTGTGTGAAATGGTAAAGATAGATGCCTACGAACCTCGTGGCCTTGACAGCCCATCAGTTATTCAGGTTGTAAAGGGCGAATGGCCACTCAAGGATGAGATTAAGTCCAATTTGACCTAATAGAAAATGGCTGGTATATTACTATGTCGATCCACTCCTTACATACCCAAGGAGAAGAAAGCGGTGCCAAGCTGCTCCCTCGACCAGAGGGACATGAATCCCTCCCAGTCGACGGGCTTGACGTCAGGGTAGCGGGCATTGTCAAGCTCAGGGCCAAGGACAGTCTGTCCGTTCGCCCAGTAGTAGTAGAAGAACCTGTAAGGGCATTGTTAATGAGCTTCTATTAACGCTGGAGGGTCGGCGGGATGGTAAACATACATAGACATGTAGCTGTAGATGTTCTGGGGCTCCTTAGCCCGCAGCTCATGCATGGTCTTGTAAAGGTCGTCTAGGGATCCGCGCTTCTCAAGCGTCACGGGGACACCATACACCTTCTCGTAGGACTTTGCGAGCTCCTTGATCGTGGTGCGACCTCCGAGGACTACGAGACTTATTAGTGCATGGTAATGGATAATAAGTGGCGCACTCACATTTCAGAAGCCCCGTGGCCTCAGGGTCCAGCACAACGCTCGCCGTGTACCTCGCGGCATCACTATACGTCGTGCCCTCCAACACCTCATCGCCCTCACCCCAGTACTTGAAGGCGTTCGCCTGCGCATCAACGATCCCAAAGAACGGGCTGAAGATCGGCTCCATGAACCCGCCGACCAGGATATGCACGCCCTTGACCACCTTCTTGGTCTCCAGGTACGCCTTGATATGGAGCATGGGGTCCTTGACGAACAGCTGGCCCAGCTCGAGCTTCGTGTAGTCGAGCGCCCAGTCGCTCGCGACGTAGCGGGGTACATTCGCCGCCTCGCAGGCGTCGATGAGGAGCTTCTGGCCGTCGAGCATGAGCTTGTCGTCGCCGAGGTAGCAGCAGACGACGACGTCGCAGTCTTTCACGAACGAGGCGATCAGCTCGGTGTTGAAGGCGTCGCCTTGGATGAGTTCGAGTTGGGGGGAGGATCTGAGGAAGTCGGGAAGCTTGGAGGGGTCGCGGCAGTAGCCTTTGATGGTGAGGGTGGGATTGCTGGGTTCGAGGAGGTGCGTTAGGAGGCGGCGGGCGAATTTGCCGGTGATGCCTGCGATTCCGACCTTCATCTTGAGTTTGTGTTTGGTGGTTGTGGGAGAGTAGAGGGTAGTATGATGGTATAGGGATGTGATAGACTATTGATCCTTCCGTTGCTGGTGGCCTTATATAGCCGTTGGGTTGAGTGGCGGTTAGGGCTATTTGTCAAGTGGGACCGTTCGGGGTTGAGACCACGCCCGAGCTGATTCATCGCAGGCGGACCCATGCACTCCACACGGTGTGTGACGATCCTTCTACCGGATTCCTGGATGTGCATTATTAAGACAAGGGCTGGGCAGATGCCGGGGAGTCTTACATTGGAGGGTCATTCACATGGCCACAGACAGGGATCTGATGGGCCGACCAGAGCCAATTGGGCATACGATACGAGGTCAATACATCGAAGTAAGGTGGAAAAGATACCGAGTAAGCTTAACAGACTTCCGCTCCTTCTTGGCATCATCATTATCGGTCACCGATGTGGGTAGTGATCACCAAGTGAAGCGGGTAGGGAAAGCATCCCGTGCAAATAAGGCTCGTAGCAGGGTCTGCAGACTGTGGCGGGTTGTATCATTGCATGCCCCCTGCCGCTGTAAACTTTGTCGTCACTCAGAACCGGGCTTTAGACAATGCGCTCCCAACTGACCTCAGACGTGGGCTCTCTGTTGGCGAAATTGGGGAAAGAGTTTCAGCTCTGACTCGGAGATGGCCTGGTACACAGAGTGGTTGCAGATCCAGCACAATACCTGCTGGAGCATCACAAGCCCTGATGAATCTCTGGGTTTCAAGGGTCAAGCCTCACCTTTGTTGATGATCGGCATTAGGGCTCCAAGCCGTTGATAACGCCCCCCGACCCCAGCAAGAGCCTCCTCTTCTTCACTTATTTCCTTCTCCATCAACCCTGGAACCCGAATACATTCATCAACATGCCGCAATACAAAACCTCGAATCTTCGGAGACGAACTAAGTCGCGGGGTAAGTCTTGGAAATGTCTGTATGGTTGGTCTAGAACGTGAAGCTAATACCCCCCCCACAGCTGGATGTCTCAAATGCAAGCAAAGGGTACGCCGAGAAGCCGAATCACTGTGGATAATGACACTAATTCTGTATTCATAGCGTATTAAATGTGATCTCAGGGATCCTGCATGCGCACAGTGTGAGAAGGTCGGGCTCAGCTGTCCTGGGTACAAGAGGGGCTTAAGGTGGTCTTACAAGCACGAATTACTCAGGGATGAACAACCAGTTCACCAAGGGAATTGTGGCAAAATTCGAAAAGTGGAAAAAGCCAACAAGCTGCCAGCCCCTATTACTGCAGGGATAAGGAAAACGTCCACCCGCACAGCGGAGAGAAAGAGATCAATCGTTAGACACGCCTGCTTCAGGAGAACAACCAGCCCCGTCCCACATGTCTATCTCGAGATCCCAACCGACCAGTTATTGAGACATTACTTCACGATAGTCTGCAGCACGATCTCAGCTCACGACTCCCCGCAAAACCCATTCCGCTGCCTGGTGGCAGCACTCATCCCCACCTATCCACCCCTGCTCCATGCAGTGCTGGCCCTGTCCGCCGCACATCTCCAGCAGCATGAGAAATACGGGGGAAGGCAGGCACTTGAATACAAGACCGAGGCTATGTCAATGGTCGCGGCGCATATCTCGCACCTTAATAACGGCGCCGTTGCCATTTCAGCACCCTCCAGCAGGAACACGGGTACAACCGCTCTGCTTCTGACCGTTATATTTATGGGAATCATCTCGGTACGTATAAGCCAAGGCCCTGCCAGCGAAGCCCACAAATAACCAACGCAGACAGAAATGGAATCCAACGGAAGACGACGCCAACAATGCCACCATAATTGACACCCTGCACCTTCAAGGCGCGCGTGCGATCTTCAAGCACTGGATCGTCGGCACAAACCCACAACTCATCCGACCAGCGCCATACCATTTACATGCCACCTTCTTTGTGGGCATCCTTGCGTGCTGGGAAGCATTCTCGTCGTTCTACGTTGACCAGGACCTGAACACAGTCGATTACCTATGGGCGTATGCTTACCCAGGGTCTGAGGCAGATGCTCCCAACCCATATACCGGAATCAGCACGTCGCTGTTTATCTACATGGCCAAAGTAGGGACAATCTCCAGGCAGCTCCATAGATTGAAATGGCAGCGCTTGGAAACGTGGGATGCGTGGGAGAATGCCCAAGAGGCAGGGGCATACTTGAACCTGCTGCAAAAGGCGCAGGAGATCGAAGACGCAGTGCGCGGATTTCCAGTCCCCCGGCTGCACGATCACAGCTCCAAGGGCGACCATGCCCCTTCGCCCGCACAAGAAGCAGAGGATCCCACCACATGGCGCAGCGGATTCTGCACCCTAAGCCGTGTGTATCGGCTCTGCATCCTCCTCGAGCTGTACCGCGTGTTCCCCGAGCTGATCCCACTGGTCTACGCTTATAGCGATACGCCACCTGCGACTAGCTCGTACCCTAGCCCGCGCACAAAGCCGCTCCTCCTTGCCCTCGCAACACAGGTCATCGCCTTGCTGATGTCCCTCCCAAAGACGCCGGGCACGAAAGCGATCCCGATGCTCCCGTTGATTGTTGCGGGGAGTGCGTTACAGCGAGGCACGGAGTCTAACTCTGCTGTTGCGGTGATGTACGGACGGTCGGTTGTTTCGCAGAAATTGAGCTCGATGTCTATCTACTGCAGTGCGGACTCTGTGGACCAGGCAAAGGGGATTGTTGAGGGGGTGTGGATGAGCGCGGATCATGGATGGAATACCTTTGATACTGATGTGAATGAGGGGTTTGTGTTTGTGGATTGGACTGATTTTATAATGGAGAAGGGGGTCGGTGATCTTGCTGGGTAGGGTACCCTGCACACTTGATTAGCTTGGGCTATATTACCAGCTTGAATAACATGATGAATATTTTGATGAATGAGCGAAGATAAATTTATCTATCTGGTAGTGCAATGGGTGGCTTCAACACCGCCCGTTTTAAAAGCTTGTGATGATTTGGAAACATAAAGGAATAGTTCTAGTCAAATATCCTGACACTCTGCTAAGCGCCTGTCTTTAGTTATCACAAACATGGTATAACTGCAGGTTGGCTTCCTCCTAGACAGTGCTGCCATGTGTTCTATGTAAGGTAGGTAGCTATACATCTCCACTGAGGGCAAAATTCCATACGAGCAGACATGGGTTTCTGTATTGTGTGCTATATCATGTCCTGGAGTAAACGAAATATATCTATCAATGTATCCTTTACCGACTAGGCATAATTCCCATCACATTTCGGCTAGTAGGGCAGGGCCAATGCCGACAGGTCACCAGAATACCAAGGCCGGGTCTGGTGGAATAGATTACTTCCGCCCCTTTCTAACAGAATATCGAAGACCCAGCACCAATCACTCCCCTATCCAGCAACAGCATAAACATTCTCCCCACCCGCAATCTCAGCCGGCAACCACCGCCCAGGCACGGTATTCCGATACTTCAGCTGCGCAAGCGTAAACGTATTAAGCTCCGACACAAAGACCGAGTCCCCCAGCGTCAGAACCCGATGCACCATCGCATTCTGCGTCTGCATGGAAATATACTCTTCCCCGGCGATAGCAGACCCCGCGTCGTCGAACGTCACCCGAATCAGAGCGTCCGGTGAGTCCGTGCTGAGCAGGGACGTCGAGAGGAGCCAGAGCGCTGGGCTCTCGTCCGCTACGGACGCACGCGATGACGCATTTCCTGCAGGCGAGGCATCGGCCAGATGAAGCAACCCCGCATTCAGCCCGAGACTCTCATCCTGCAGTGAGAAGAACCGCATTGTTCCGTTGCCGCCGATATGCCCGAATGCCCCGGTGCCGCCTGTGCCATTGCCCGCGAGCGTGAACCAGATGCCGCGGAGGGGCCCGGACGCGATGGAGATCATGCCGACGGCGTTGGTGCCGATGCTGGGCGGGATGGGCAGCTGCGTTGTTTCGCCGGTTGCTGTGTTGATGCGCATGATGGAGGAGTCGGTGTCTTGCGTTACGTAGATGAGGCCTGTTGTTGGGTCTTCGGCGATGAAGACGGGGCTGTTGAGGCTGGGGTAGAGCGTATGGTTCGTCCCCGTCGTGTTCGAGCCGGGGGTGAGGTTGAGGTTGTTGATATCAGCAGCAAAGACGTAGTACCCGCCCGTCTGCTCAGACGCTTCCTTAAGGCCTGCCCAGACACGATCGCCGATCTCGAAGACGCAGTGTGGGCCGTTTCCGGGCTTGGGGATGTCGATGGTGTGTTTGATGCTGGGTGCGCTGGAGAGGTTTTGACCTGGGTCTACGAGGAGCAGTTTGTTGTCGCCCTGCAGCGACAGCCACATTAGGCCCGGGTACTTGGTTGATGGCCAGACGCCGTGCAGCATGGACTTGTTGTTCTTGCCCATTGGGAATGAGTGGTAGGCGATGGGTTCGTCGGTGGCAGGGTCGAGCTCGATCTTGACCAGCTCGCTGTTGGACATCTGCGTCAGGAGGAGGAAGTTTGTGTGTGGGACGCGGGCGAATTCGTGTGTTGCTGTCGCGAACGGCATCAGGTACTCGGTGAGTTGGCGACTGATGAGTCTGTTAGAACTAACAGGGGCTGGAGTGGTTGCCGATGCGATGCAGCCGAGGGCCAGCGCAGCCACGAGTGACTTCAAGGCATGGCAAAGCATGTTGGAATAGTTTTGGATGACGATTCGGCAGAGGGGGAATTGCACTATTTAAACGGGGGACAGGCCACCGATCTCCGACTAGCGAACACTATCGGAAAGCCAATTGTTAGTGGTCAAAGTGGATTGGGCATTTCAGCTGCGGCGCTCGGAGGGCAATTGGGCCTCATTCTACACATACTGTACATAAAGATTCAACTGAATGGACAAGGGTGACTTCTATTGCAATTGGCGCTCAAAACAGTGCAAGAGGCAGTCCTTTCTAGTCCAATGTATCGCAGCTCAGATTAGATCAGACCCTTTTTGGGCAGGCTGGCCTCCAGACCGGGTCACGATTCAGCACTAGAGCCAGACAAGATAAGATGTGCGATCAGGATCTCGACGTATCCGCACGAGTGGGCCTGGGCTGAGATGATGGATGGCACCATTGGACCCAACATGGCAGAATCCTCCAAGCCAGCTTCCTTCGGGACTCGTCAAGCACCGCGTTCGTAGGATTATCGAGCAGACTGCTCAAATACTGCAGTGCTACTCTCGCTGGTTTGTTCTGTGCAGCCATGGAATTGTTTCCGAAGCACAACTCGCACCGGGCATTCAAAAATATATTAATAAGTGAACATTTTAATAATGCTTCACACTAATGCCTTATGTGCACAAGGTATACCTAGAGTAGATGCTCCATGATATACGGTACTAGGTCCACAGGTACCATCTTGTATCAGGTTAGTGGACATTGGGATGGGCATGACATCCACCGATGGACCGCTGGAGCACCCGTAGTAAGTAGGGCATTGAAAACCTAGCTAGATCTTGATCTATCTCCCCATCTCCATGGACATTGGCGTTTGGGAATCCTGGTAATATCTGCCTGCATATACCCCAGTCCCTCCGGGCCCGATACCCCCGCGGGCGCTAATCCATAAAACGCCCGCTTGCCCCAGAGAGCACGCCGCAATGGCCAGCTCAAGGAAACAGCTCGTGTTCCATTAACCTAACGTTAGAACATCGCCAAAAAATGCCACCCCTCTCCGGCTTCTCCGACAACCCGCTCCGCTCACGCTCGGATCTGATCCGCGCAGCAATCGCTCTCGTCCAGCCTCTCCATGCGCACTTCTCACCAGCCCGGGCATTCATCCGTCTACCTGTTTCAACGGGGACGCATTTTGATGAGCGAGCGGCTCAGCTGGAAGGGTTTGCGCGGCCGCTGTGGGTTGTTTCTACCTTGCTCCATGCAGTTCGCTCCGAGCCAAACCGTCCAGATGCTGGAAGGATTCGTGGTATCTGCCAGCCATGGATTGAGGGCATCGCAACGGGGACTGATCCAAGCCACCCGGAGTACTGGGGCGACATTGGCGACGGCGACCAGCGGATGGTTGAGGCGGAGGTTATAGCCGTTGCGATCCTGTATGCACCGGAGGACTTTTTCCATTCTCAGCCTGACCATGTGCGCCAGAATATAACTTCCTGGCTGCGCGGAATGAATGGGAAAGACATGCCGCTGAATAACTGGCGGTGGTTCCGCGTGTTCGCGAACCTGGCGTTAGTTCTTGTCGCGGGTGTGCCGTACGCTGAGCTGAGAAGTCAGATGGAGAGTGACTTTGCGGTGCTTGACTCATTTTATCTCGGGGATGGCTGGAACGCAGATGGGCCGTGGTTGACAGCGCAGCAGGAGGCTGAACTTGAGGAGGAGGCTACGAGGACCAGGCGTCGTGATAAGATTGGGCCTGGTCGGCAGGTGGACTATTACTCCGGCAGCTTTGCGATCCAGTTTAGCCAGTTGCTGTATGTCAAGTTTGCAGCTGCGGCGGGGTTGGATTTAGACCGTGTTGAGAGATACAGGCAGCAGGCAAGGGAGTTTGGGAGGGAGTTCTGGAGATACTTCGATGAGGATGGTGAGTGCACCTTTCAATGAATATCCAACTGGCCAGCCGTCTGACGATTGCAATACAGGCGCTGCCATCCCATTCGGCAGATCCCTCACATACCGCTTCGCATGCGCTGGCTTCTTCGCTGCCCTTGCCATGACCGAAGTCCCCGACATGCCAGCGGCCCTGGATTCACCGGGGGCAGTCAAGGGCTTCCTGCTACGCCACTTACGGTGGTGGGCGGCGCACTCGGAGGACATCTTCCACCCCGATGGAACGCTGAATATCGGCTATCTCTATCCGTAGGTCGCCTTCCCTACAAAAAACATATGTATCGCTAACCACAATACGTGTCAGCAACATGTACATAGCCGAAGACTACAACTCCCCGCAATCCGTCTTCTGGGCGCTGAAAAGCCTCATCCCGCTCGCGCTGCCAGACGCCCACGCCTTCTGGACCTCCCCCGAACAGCCCTACCCGCACAAGCTGCAGACCGAGTCACCAGCCAAGCTCCTCCGCCAACCAAGCCAGATCCTCTGCAACCACCCCGCAGGCGCGCACCACTTCATGCTCTCAGCCGGCCAATTCGTCGCCTGGCCCATGAAGGCGTCGGCGGCGAAATACTGCAAGTTTGCGTACTCTTCGTCATTCGCGTTCAGTGTGCCAACGGGTCCGTTAATCCAGCAGATTGCACCGGATAATGCGCTGTTGCTCAGCCGCGATGGGTGCGAGACGTGGGCGGGGAAGTGGAAGTGCGCTGAGGCGAGGTACTCGAGTGTAAATGTTTGCGGGGAGAGTGTGCCGATTGCACAGGTGCAGTGGAAGCCCTGGGGTGGTGGGGCGGTTGTTGTTGATACGACGCTTGTTCCGCCGTGTGCGCGGTGGCCGGATTGGCATGTTCGAGTCCATCGGATTAGGGTGGATGGAAACAGTACGCTGCAAAGCCTGCATCTGGTTGAGGGCGGGTTTGCGATTGATCGAGTTCCTTCTGATAAGAAGGTGAAAGTCCTACCCTTTCGGTCGGACGATCCCGGGCATAGTGAAGCTGAAGGGGTCTACGCGTTTGACGATAGAGCCTCCAGCTTGGTTGTCTCGAAAGCCGGTGCTAGCGGCATCGTTTCCTCAGCTACGCGTCACATTACGGGGTCTGCATCTGATGGCCTGGTTCCTGGGACAGTGGCCGTCGAACATGAAGCCATGAAGCCCGATTCAAACACGAATCTTATGGCTCAGCGGACGTTGATTCCGGTTTCAAAGGTTGAGGTATTTGATCGGAGCCCTGGTGAGGAGGTTGTCCTTGTAACGAGGGTATTTGCTGCTACGTCGAAGCAATCTAAAAATATAAAGCTGGACGGGCGAAGGGATGACAGAATACAACAGAGATGGATGGACATGCCCGTCGTCCAGATAGGAAATGTATCTGAGAAGCAGGCGGATGATGCTATTATTGTCAATCTCTAGACTGTTGAAACAACATTGATACACTCCTTCTCGCTATATCCATACATCTCCTTTCCTGCCGCCATCTTGACACCTCCAAGCGCGGCTAAAGCCCTAATCATAAACCCTAAACCAGACGCATCCGCAACAACTGATTCCCAAACTCAAGAAGATAATAATCCCCATACACAAGGCCATGGTCACTGTACCGATCATGGTCCTGCGCGTTATGGTTCGCAGTCGCATTCTTGAGTATCGCGTCGAAGCGTTGGCCAGCGACGGCATCCTGCACTTGCACTTGAGCATCTCCAGACGCAGACTCACCATCACCCTGTACCAATCTTGCCCTCTCACGCGCAAGCGAGAACTCAATCGTATCCGTTACAATTCTGAATGCATAGCCACGATAGCGACCAGCTAGCCCTGCGTCCCCAATCAAAGGCCCCGCCAGCGCCTGCGAGAGGAGCAGCATCCCATTCGCAGCGATAACGCCAGCCGAAGAATCACGCAGTGGATTGTCCTTCTCGATGGGCGCATCAAAGTCCCAGAGTGGAACATACCGCCCAATCTTCGCCCCCGCTCTATCAGGGGACGGCCGTTCCACACAGTCCGGGGATGTCTCGAGTCTGTGGATGAAATATTCCGCCAGTCCGATCGCAGCATCCAGGAACTCCCTGTCTTTGGTCCAGGCGTATGTTTGGGCGAATCCATAGATCGCCCACGCCTGCCCGCGCGCCCATGTCGAGTCCCGATGATATCCCTGCGCCGTGCGATGTTCCTTGATTTCGCCGGTGCGGGGCGAGAAGTTGACGACGTGGTAGGTTGAGTACAGCTGCCCTTCAAACCCGCTACCATGTGTTTCTGGTAGTGACTCACGTCGCAGAAGAGCCTTCATGACCGTCCTCGCATGCGTCGTCGCGATATCCGACAGCTTGGGGGTTCCAGAATGGGCGGACGCATAGTAAAGCAAGTCGAGGTTCATCATGCTGTCAACGATAACTAGACAGTCGTCGTCTAGACTGGTGATATCCACGTTCGCCTGGCGCAGCGCGTCCCAGCTGCGGATTGCGCCGACGGAGGGCACGAAGCGGCTGGCGAGACTGCGGGCGCCTGTGAGGAGGATGTCGAGGCTTTCGCGGTTGGAGGTTAACTCCCAGTCACGTCGGAATGAGGGCGTCAGGATGAAGCCGATGTCGTGGGTGTCGGTGCGCGTGGCCATGTCTTTGATTGGGCCTGTCCAGGTGGTGCAGAGGGTTGTTAATTGCTGGAGGAATGAGGCATTTGTACCTGCTTTTATTTGACACTCATGGCCGAGATACGGGAAGGCCTGTGGGTACTTGACTGCGCGTTCTCTGAGGAGGTACAGGATTCCCGGGAAGAACCCGCATGTCCAGAAATTTGCGTCCCGGAGGAAGTACCGTCCGCTGTCTGGGCCGTGCTGGGGGACGAATTCGGGGTAGACGGTTGGTGGGCTCTATACATCATCAGAAATACTAAAGGTTGGGAGGGGCCTGGACGGGGTACATTGTTCTGAAGTGCCTCCTCTGCCACGCGGAGGACCTTGGCGATGACGTTCTCTGCGAAAAGCTCCTGGATTAGGGCTTGTTCGTGGCTGGATGCTTGGGTTGGTGGCATGTTGTCCCGGCTCTCGTTCGATCCGAACAAACAGCCAAATAATACCTGTTAGTAAATGAGTGTTTGATATGCAAAACGATGGCCACGGCCCTCATTTATCCTTCAGTGTCCCGGCAAACCCCGCAGTGACGCTGGCATGCAGGATGCAGCAAACTCGGGGGAGTCACTCCGGCAATTACCCCGATGCCCGAGATCTGCGCCAGCTGCCAATGGACGGGCTTTGACATGCAGGATGGTCATACGGTCACCCTTAGCACTGTCGATCTCCCATCCGATACCCCCGAGGCCCTTACCCCAGGTTTCCCCACTCCAACGAGCGACGTTGCGGGGTATCCTAGCCCTAAGCCAGATGTGGTATACAGGTAACCACCCTGCAGCACTGCGAAATATAAAACCAAGAAAGGCCGTGTGGACGCCAGAACAATCCGACTTTGAATCCATCGTTCTCCTCTCATCCATACCTTCCCGACAGCCATGCTCTCCCACTCCAACCACGACACCTTCGAAGGCCTCGTCCTCAAGGACGTCATCCCGACAACCCGACCCCCCTGGTACCGCGACGCAACGCTCCTAAAGCTCAACAGCCTCCTCCTCTGCGCCCTCCTCACCCAAATCGCCTCTGGCTACGACAGCAGCATGCTCAACGGCATGCAATCCCTGCCGCAGTGGGTAGAATACTTCGGGCAGCCCACCGGCACGCGCCTCGGCGCAATGACGTTCGGTCCGACAGGCGGCACGCTCATCTCAGTGCTCATCTCCTCGCAGCTCTGCGAGAGATTCGGTCGTCGGTACCCCATCTGCGGTGGCTCGATTATCATTATCGTCGGCGGGATCATACAGGCTGCAGCGGTGAACTATGGCATGTTCGTGCTCTCCCGGTTCATCGTGGGCTTCGGACTCGGGATCGTGGCGACTGCGGCGCCGCCGCTCCTGACGGAAGTCGCGTACCCAACGCACCGGGGAAAGCTTGTCTCGTTTTACCTCGTTACCTGGCCGCTCGGCTCGCTGATCGCGGCGTGGGTTACATACGGGACGTTTAAGATGGACAACTCAGACTGGAGCTGGCGGATCCCGAGCGCGCTGCAGTGTTTTTTCAGTCTCATCCAGGCGATCCTCTCCCTCTTCGCGCCGGAGTCGCCCCGCTGGCTGATTTACCAAGGACGCCGCGAGGAGGCGTTGAACATCCTAACAAAATACCACGGGCACGGCGATGGCGACTCGCGGCTGGTCCGGTTCGAAATGGCTGAGATCACGGCTACACTGGAGATGGAAAAAGCCCAGCGTCTCTCCCGCTGGACGGAGTGGCTGTCGACAAAAGGAAACAGGCACCGTCTGTTTCTGGCGTGCTATATCCCCGCCATGCTGCAGTGGTCCGGGAACGCGTTGACGTCTTACTATCTCGCCAAAGTGCTCGTTACCATCGACATCACGGACCCCAAGACCCAACTCATCATCAACGCGTGCCTGTCTGTCTGGGGATTCCTGACCGCAGCGGTTTTCGCAACAATGGTTGATCGCGCTGGCCGCCGCCGGCTGTTCCTGCTGGGCATGTCGAGCATGGGCGTCGCGTACATAATATGGACGATCTGCTCGGCCCTCAACGAGAAACACAATTTCGAGGATAAAGGGTATGCAGGTGGCGTTTTGGCCATGATCTTCGTCTTCAGCGCAGCATACCACATGTGCTCGCCGGTCGCACCAACATACATCATGGAAGTCGTGCCGTTCTCGCTGCGGTCCAAGGCGGCGATGATGTACCAGCTCACGGGAAATTTAGCGGGGCTGTATAACAGTTTTGCGAACCCGGTCGCCATGGATGCGATTTCCTGGCGGTATTATATCGTGTGGTGTGTTGTTATTGGGGTTAATTTTACTTTGATCTGGTTGTTCTTTCCGGAGACAAAGGGGAAGGGGCTTGAGGAGGTGGCGGAGATCTTTGATGGGCCTGATGCTCTGGCTGGACGGAATGCCATGAGGGAGATGGGGCTGGATGGGAATCCGGATAAGGCTGTTGCTGGAGGGGAGCATGTTGAGCGGGCGTGAGGGATGAGTTTCATGGGATGGTGGGATTTAACAGAACATTGAATAATTGAGAAACGGGGTGGGGTTTTATCTTGATTGATCAATGTGCTTTGGCGTTTCGCAGCCCTCTGCCGTCGAATCCAAGTAATGCAGATTGCGGCTGCTCAATGCATCAAATCCGACTGGTATGCTCGTCTATGTCCAGCGAACTGTCAATGATTGGCTGAAGCAACCAGGAACTTGGCCCCACAGCAGAACTCTCCGATGTCAATCCAATGCTCTTGATTGGCCGGAGACCGTGACCCCTTGCGCCACGCGGCTTCGGGCCCACCCCCGTATTGCGTATTGGCGTATTCGATTCGAGGATCCGTGCGGCTGAGTTTGAATTCCATTTTATATTTCAACCTCCCACCGTCCCGGTCCGCCGTGTAACACTCCCAACAACCCCAACCATGCTCGAACTCTACCATCTCGCCCTTATAGGCGCCATCACGGCAGCCGGCCTCCTCCTCCACCGACGCCTGAACCGCGACCCGCGCGAGCCCCCTGTCGTGGGAAGCACAATCCCCTTCGTAGGCCATCTAATCGGCCTGCTACGACATGGAACAGGGTACTTTGCCATCCTCACGTGAGTCCCTCATTCCAATCCCAATAGTGACCCCTTCTAACAAGGCACCGCAGCGAAAAACACTCCCACCCAATCTTCGCAATCGACCTCCTGCTCATAAAAGTCTACCTGGTCAAATCCCCCGCCCTTCTCGCCGCCATCCAGCGCACCCGCGCCCTAACATTCGACCCCTTCGTCACCTTCACGACCGAGCGACTGGCGGGCATCCGCGGGCCGGCCCTCGAAGCCCTCCGCGAGAAGCAGTCCGGCGGCAGCGGCGGGAACCAGGCGCTCCTGCACGCGATGCATCCGACGCTGACGGGGAAGCCGCTCGACCGCATGAATGAGCGCATGGTGCGCTTGCTGAGCCCGCTTGTTGATCAGCTTATCGACGAGGGGCAGAAGGGAAGGCCGGTGGATCTGTACGCCTGGTGCCAGCATGCGATTACGTTTGCGAGCACGGAGGCGTCGTATGGAAGGCTGAACCCGTATAAGGAACGGAGTGTGGAGGAGGGGTTTTGGTACGCCTGTCGATTCAACGAAAATGTCCGCCTCGTGTCTAATGTCGCTAGGGCCTTCGAGAGTAACCTCTCCCCGCTAATCGCGGGCATCGCGCCCTCCCTCACAGCACGCAAGGCATACAAAGGCCGCGACGCCGCGTACCAGGGATTCCTAAAATACTATGAAGCGGACGGGCAGAAGGACGCCTCGGAACTCACTATCGCGCGCCACAAGTCCCTGGTGTCCTCTGGTCTAGCCATCTCCGACATCGCGCGCAACGAAGTCTCCATGGGCCTCGGCCTGCTCTCCAACACCGTCCCGGCCTCCTTCTGGATCCTCTACGACCTGTACCGGCGCCCCGAGCTCCTGCACGAAATCCGCTCCGAGATCCGCGCAAACGCCCTCCGCGTCGAGGACGGGAAACACATCATCAACGTCCCCGCCATCCGCGATAACTGCCCCCTCCTGGTCTCAACATACCAGGAGATCCTCCGCGTGCGCAGCGCATCCTCCCCCACCCGCATCGCAACGGACGACGTCCTCCTCGCCGACAAGTACCTCCTGAAAAAGGGCTGCGTGGTGAGTATACCGGGCCAAGCGATCGCGCGGCGCGACGACGTCTGGGGCGAGAATGCGCTGGAGTTTAACCCGCGCCGGTTCATCAAGACGCCGGAGCATAACCCGCGGCGGACGGGCGGGTTCATGACGTTCGGCGTGTCGCCGGTTATTTGTCCGGGACGGCACTTTGCCAGCACGGAGATATTGGGCGTTGTTGCGATGCTTGTTTTGAGGGTTGAGATTGCGCCGGTTGGTGGGGGGTGGGTGGAGCCTGGCGTTAATTCTTTGGCGATTGCGTCGGGGATGAGGCCTGTTAAGGGCGGTTTTGAGGTCGTTGTTAGGGCGCGGGAGGAGGGGAGGGGGGAGTGGGATGTTGAGGCGAGGGAGGGGAGTGGCGTGTTTCCGTTGATGGTTGGGTAGGGTACCCAATGCCTCCCGTATGATAATATATCTGAATCAACCTGAGTCAAATCGTAGCCCTTAGCCAGTCATTCCACATTTATTGAAGCTCCCCGGTGAGACATGTATTGATTCACAGGATGGGAGTGGGCTTGTACAGGGCATGTTCACATGCACATGCTGTGTATTGATATTACAGACATAACCCACAGTGAATGCCTGACTAAGCCCCAATGCACAGAGTCAACTATATATCAATCCCATTTCCAATTGATATTCCAAATTCCTTTCTTTCCCGTCCTTCCAAAGCGCCCTACCTACAGCACCACACTTTACCCAGGCCCGAAACAATGGGACTCCACGCTCCAACCAAGCGCTGGCCGGGTGGAATCCCCGCCTCCATCAAAATCAGCAAAGAGAAAGCATGGACCCGCGCAGCCTCTCGAGGCTGGTACAAGTTCGTGCGCGAGAATTGGGCGGATGGCATTGATGCGCGCGACGAAGACGCGTTGGCTGCGCAGCGGCGGTCGCTAATCACGGCCTGGGCCTCTGCTGAGCAGGACGTGCGGGATGTAAGTCTAGCTTGCTGGATTCTGGTTTCAATCTTGGGTTTCTGCTGTTCCACCACGGTCGCCCCTGCGCCGCCAGGTTTCTTTTTTCGCGTTGGCATACGCCTTCCGGTGTGGCCGGGTGCTGGCGGATACCCTAGAACTACCATGAGATTCCGAGCTCGGCCAGGCTGACAAGGAGATTGGATAAATCAGCAATACACCAACAAAGCAGGAGATAGATGGAACCCTTTCGGCGAGGAGGTAAGGAAGCGCAGATTTCGCTAGATCATACGTATCCATCCCTCCTCTAACATGACATCTACTCTGTGCGCAGGAACTCCGAGCCTTCGGCTGTCGCAGTCCGACAAACACAACTGCGGCATGCTACCTCATCACCCACGTCCCAGAGCCCGGCTCAGCTCTGCACGCACTGTGGGTGAAGCTACTGCTAATGTTCTTCGACTACGAATCGGAATTCCACATTGCACACAACGTATTCGCGCTCTCTCCGCACGATGGCGAGGCTATAACCCTGGATACGTTCAAAAGGTACCAAGCGCTCGAGCCAGCCGATTTCAGAGTTGTGCAGTTCAATGAGCTTGGGGAGGCCGTCTTTGGGCCCGCTAACGGGGCAGTGATCATGGTCGATGAGCGGTCGCTGCGGAGCGGGCTCGTGATAGCGGCTCAGTTCGGTGTTGACGGCACGCCCAGGAACGCGTATCGGGTGCGTCCGGTGGACTTGCCGGATGCGTGGAGGAGAGTCGGAAGCTTGGGGAAACCGCTCGGAGAGGTGATGGCGCATTTTGACGGGGACAAGGACGAGCATGATCCCAGGATCTGGGACCCGTATCCGGAGGGGTAAGTTGAGGCGCTCGCACGGCTACGCCATGATCGCGTTGCAATGGACTGGTGACGCTAATGGGGGGACTACAGGATGGACATGCAGCTGCCCTTGCTGGATATCGTGATACATTACAGCCAAGACACGGACGACCCAGTCCTCACGGAGCGCGCAGAGATAGAAGAACAGTTGAACCAGTGGGCGCCGGGCTATTTGGAAGCCGAAGAAGAAGGGAAGGGACTGGCGAAAGATTATGATTTGGGCAAGGTTGATTTTGTGGTGTGATGCGTATACAACAAGAAGAGCTAGCGAGACCTCGTCAACTGCAACGGCATCTGTGGCTCCGACAGCCTCTGGGCTGACCGTATGCCCCGACGGCCTCTGCGGTGGGGATACTGGGTATACGTGCGCGGGATTGCACTTTGGCGACTGCTGTAGTAAAGATGGCTATCAGTGCGTCTATTTAAAATTACCCTCCCAGCTGCTCGAGGTCTCATGATGGATATAATGAGGACATCGTCGCTAACATAATTCCCGTCCGCTGTGATTGTATAGTGGAAGCTCAGACGAGTACTGTGGCTCGAATTATGGTACTGCTTTGATTCTGCGCGCTTATCAGGAAACCAACACCTGCCTAGTGGCCTAGAATAAGTGTCAATTGATTGCTCGGTATAAGGGCTGTTGGTGCCTCACACGACCCTGGAGAAGGTATAGGTATCTAAGGATTAATAGGCAGCAGGTGCCTACCTCCAAGCCACCCGCCAATCACACAGAGCTCTGTAGGCAATCTTGCTGCCAATCAAGTGCGCCCGCCCTTGCTTCAGCTTTCACCGTAAGTCGTCTGTTGCCATTTCTCCAGCCCCCGTTTCTCCCCGCCATTCCCCATTCCCACTGCTTCTCTCCCTCCACATCATGGAGCAAATCAACTCCCAAATATCCAAAGCCATCGACGAGCTCCACACCATCCGTATCGTCGCCGATATTCCCACCGAGCGCCTTAGCCCCGACAACTACCTCGCCTCCGCCACCCACATCCTCCAGCCATGGCTGAACCAGTGGCAGGCGAGGGCAATGACGCGGTTCCTGGCCGTCAGTCTCTTCCCCCGCCACTCATTCGCCGTCATCGACATCAACAACCACCGCTATGACTTCGAGCAAGCCCACAGACAACTCTTCCCCGTCCCTGTGCATATCCTGCGTTTATCGCGAAAGACCAATAGCGGCAACGACAAGTGGTCGTTTTTCAGACGTGCCCCCGAGGACCATCGGGCCGCGAGAGAGATCGCCATCGCGCATTGGCACGAGGGGCAGAATCCCACCCCGCTTCTCCTGGATCATATCAACCGCCGTGTGTATTTGGAGTCGCACTCGCGCACGGATGTAGAAGAGGTCCGCGAGTTGTATGGGTTTAAGGATGTTGGAACGCGTATGACGGGGTCCGCCTCTCCTCCTGCGTCAGTGCCAGAGCCAATGTCTCAGTGATTTCCCCGTCTTCATGCGTTTATATCGTTCATATTTTGGCTTTTGTCATCCTTGGGTTTGCGCTCATGGTGTTCTGGTTGGGCTTTATTTTGCAACGCGATCATCTGGTGTCTATGTCACTCTTTGCATAAATTGTAATGCATTCCATGCGCTGCTTCATACCCCTACATCACTATAAGACCGTTGCTAAGCCGCAAACCCTCGCCAAACTAAATCAATCACCGCTGTCCCTACGAACTCTGGGTACCTGGAGGTATACCCGAGGTGTCTATATGCCCAGGCAATGTTGCAATTTGAACGGCCAATCACCTCCACAGGCCGGCAACGAATTCTTAAAGAGAACAAAAGAAGTATTTCTCACAAATGCAAGATGAACGTAATATGGGTGCTCGGCTGACCGAAGCCTCTTACGCCTTGACGACTGTCCTATTTACAGGTGTAACGTAGCTATCAGCGTCTATCAAGTCGTCGAAAGCTTAAACCCATGAATTCTACTGCCCTTGACAAGAAAAAATAGGGTAACGAGATCCTGCTACCAGGAAATACGCAAACCCCAGAAACGTCGCCTTATAATGTCGTCCCATTTCATCCGATCTACATTCGCAAAAACACTGATGAACCTACTTTTATCCTTGAAAGTCTGATACAGTAACTAGTTGTCTTCTTAGAATCGATGGACACAGTGGGTTCTAGAAAAAGCTCCATTCCCCGGCCTACAATGAGGGACATCCCAATCATGACTGCTGAGAGTCGTGAGAGGCTGTGCACTCGTCAGACTGAGGTGCGCTGGGGTATCTACTCCAGGTAAACTCTCGCCAGGAAAAAGTATTGGTTTCCGCCAGCACTGAGACGCACTCGGGATGCCGAGTGGTATAGCAGAGCCGCCTCAAAGTTGTATGTCCTTTAGGGATGGACAAAATAGTTGACGGTAATTACGGAAAGTTGAAATTTAAGGATTTTTTTGGTAAGGAATAATTCCTAACAAAAGAATAAAATCACGTGACTTACTACCTTTTAATTAGGTTAGCGCCGCGGTAAAATTATTAAGCAAAGGACTGCTAGTAAAGTAATAATTTTAACTTTATATATAAAATTAACTTCTTTTTAAAGAGCGTAAATACAGGTAAGTTTGGACCTTTATAATATTGCTTTTATTAATTAATAAAAAGTCTTTATTTAAAATACTATTATAAATATTACTGCGGCTGCTTTTCTTTATATACACCCTTAAACTACCTGCCTGCTAGCCACTAAACTTTAATATTTAAAGATATATATTTTACTAAACACAAGGTGTGAATTATAAATATAAGCCTTTGGTGTTTTTTTTATGCAAGTAATTAAAAATTTCTATATTTAATTAGCTAGTAAAAAAGCTAAGCGCCAAGCTATACTTTTATTAATTAGTTTAAACCCACTTTTATGGCACGTGATTTATTACTTTGTTAGTAATAAATTAACCTTTGTCAGTAATTTTAGGTAAGGAATTATTCTTTACGGTAAATTGTACAACCCTAATGTCCTTGACTCGGAATCCCGGTTCCGAGCCCAGGGCACTGGTTCCGCCCGCGTGGCAACGGCCCGCTCATGCAGGACAACTGTGGGGCGATTATGTTGCCCTTACGTAGGTAGCCTAGGCAGAAGCCTGCCATTCAGAATCTGCAGGTAGTTCTGAGCTTCCTCATCCTCTTAGAGCCGGGAGTTACTAACTCGCGAAAATGCCAACGCTTAGCGTGAACACCGTCGCTGCGGATAAGACGCCTACCGTCGCTGATATTATCGCCCGATCGTTCACTACCTCCGTCGTCTCGTCTTTTCTGTTTCGCACGCCGGAGTCCACCTGGCCGCCAGATAATGTGCCCTACGAGCTTATCAGGTGCCACTTTGACGAAGTCGTGAGCAAGAAAGCCCAGCTGGGCGCGACGATAGTTGAAGCTGGGGGCTTTGCCGCCGTGGCTATCTGGTCTGTGCCAAAAAAAAATGATTATTTGATGTATTGAAAAAGCCTAACGCCACACTTGTAGGTTCCCACCAGACAGGCAAGAGCACGCCAAAGACGACAAGGAAAGTAGCGCGCATCAAAGCATGCGCGAGCAGGCCTTCGCGCAGAAACTCGACAAGGTCAAGGCGCGATGCCTGCAAGGGCGCAAGCACTGGTATCTAAACCTGATAGGGCGGGATCCGGAGCGGAAGGAGAAAGGTAAGGAATACCTGTTGTATGCAACTTCTTTTTAAATTGACGGGGAACTTCAGGCGTGGTCCGAGCCCTTATACAGCCGTTCCTCCAGCGGGCGAGGGAAGACGGGGTGCCTGCTTGGTTGGAAGCCGTGGATGAGCACAGTCGTGATGTATACGGGCATTTTGGGTTCCGGACCGTTGAGGAGTTCCGTGTTGGGGCGGGCGAGTTTAATGCGCGCGGCGAGATGGAGGATGGTGGGGAGGGGGTGGCGCTGTATGCTATGATATATGAGTAAACAGGCAAAAGACTGAATTTTCACGGATACTTTCCAGTAACGTTACATCGGTAGGAGGGAGAAGAGTGGGAAGCTTTTATTAAATGCAACCCTGTATTGGCCGGTGACTTGTCCAGATCATACCGACACCCTGGTTGTGAGGAAGATACAGAGGTACGTTGGGCGGTCTCGGCGTTGCAGGTGGTGTCTTGCTTTGTCTACAGGGAAGAGACATCGGTCTCTGCGAGTATTGTTGTATAACTACGTACAATCGTGATCATGCCTGTCTCACAACGGAGTTCTCCAGAATCGATACCGCAATTTCAACTTGCCCCGTACTCCCCTCCTTATATATCGTAAAGATTCCCCTTCAATGACACCCCATGCCATAGCCGTTGCTCCTTGCGACTATCCAATAAAATATAAATATCCCGTTGGTCTTCAAACCATACCTCAAGCCTGGTAATGACTGAAGCAGCTAGATCCACTCAAGCCACCTCACCCTCACCCTCACCCTCAGCATCCCAGGCCCGCCGCCCCCGCAAAATGAGCCATACATTCTCCCAAAGCAGAGCCGGACCATGCGGTCTAAAACTGGCTCGCGGCGTAGCAGGCGTAACGTCGCACAACGCGACGTCAAACGCCATAAACAGCTGCGCGCACAACAACGCACAATTAGCAAATACTCTCATCTTACCGCCACCTGGACCGTAACATACCGCAACAGGAACCTTATACAGCATCATAGTGGCATAGTGCTTCCCGAGACAAACCCGTGCCCCATATCCCCACATCAGGTTATACCTCTCGAACAGCCTCGCCCGCTCTTCGTCGCCCAGCCACCGCTCCGGCACATACGCCTCCGCATCGTCCCCGTATACTTCGCGGTCCCGGTGGCTAATCCACGGATTACACGCTAGCTCAGTGCCCGGTGGTATAACGCGGCCGTTTAGAACTACCTCTGGGTCCTGAGCCGTGTGCTCGCGCGGGAGGGGAAGAGCAGGCGGTGGATGCAGGCGCATGGCCTCACGCAGGCAGGCGACAAAGTACGGGAGGTGCATAGCGACCTCGTTGTATGCGGGCACGGGGCGTGTCAGTTTACCGGACTGCAGGGCGGCGTTGATTTCGGCGTTGAGCTTGGACCGGATAAGTGGGTTGGAGAGGACTTCGGTGAATAATGCGGAGAGGATCGCCTGGAACGCTTCGGGACCGGCGCCGAGGATCGTGAAGATCTCGCTTTGGATCTTGTCCGGGTGGATGGGTGCGCCCTCGGGGGTGCGGGCGTCTAGGAAGCTACGGCACCGTGGCCCGCGAGAATGGCTTGCGTTAGCTGGGGAGCATGGAGGGGGAATAGCACTCACGCCTGCAGAAAGTCGTACGCGCCGTCGCCGCGCTCCGCCTTCGTGATTACGCCCCTGGCCAGACCGTCCCTGCGCTCCTGGAGCACATCGTCCGCCTTGCGCATGCCGCGTCCCCAGCCGTTGGTCTGCTCGGGTCGGAGGACAATGAACCTGCGCAGCGGGGAGCTGGTGATCCACTCGACGAGCGGGTAGATGCTGCCCAGGACGACGAAGGCATAGGTGCCCACAGTAACGTGCTTCATTATCTTGCCGACGTCGCGTCCGGCTGCGACCATGCCCTGGGAGCTGCGGTAGGCCAGGTCGGAGATGGTGTCGGAGAAGAGATAGACGCCCCAGTCGGTGAAGTTGAGTTTCCTGTGTGGCGTTGCGAAGCAGGTGTCGAGCTTTGTGATGAACTCTTCGATGTGCTTGGTGCTTAGGGGCTCCATGCGTAGGATGTTGGTCATGGCGTAGGGGGCGGATACTAGACGTCTGTGTGCGGAGTGCTCGCCTGGGTGGCGGAGCACGATGGAAAAGGGTGTTTTGACGAGGCTGGGGATGTAGAACCGGCTCTTTGTGTCTCGGCGGTGGTAGACTGTTGGGATGGCAGTGGCGTCTGCTAGTAACAGCATTTTGGGCGTCAGTCGGACTATGGGGCCTGGGGTTTCTTATCAGTGAACGCGGCTGGGGCCCATCGGCTCAACGGTTGCGTAACGTGCAATGGGGACGGACCATATTTCTTGACGGCATTCCATTCGGCTTCAAGCTGGGTCCCACGGAGGAAGTGCCATGTAGTCCAGAGCCTGGTGACACTGGCCCAGAATGGACCGGGAACGTGACGCAGCTCATGGAAGAAGCGGTAGTAGATGATCTGGTATAGGAGTTGGAGGAGCAAAACGCCCATGAGTAAAAGAAGAGCCGCGAGGAATCCACTTGATACGTTTGCAGGTAGGACAGGTACGGAATAAAAGGCAGGCAACTTGATAGCATTGATTGTAGTCATGTTTGCTACCTTCTCTGCGATTCAATAGGATCTCGAGTGATTTGAGGTGTACGGCTCAACATGGCAGAGTGAAGATCCCGCCTTATAAATCTACATCTCCCTACATCTGCTGCTGACACTTCCTTGACAGAACTGCGTGGCCCATCGCGTGTGTTTCCCTTTCTTCTGCATTTTTTGTGCAGGTCATCGGAAGCTCGGACAGGACACCTTCCGCGCGCCGAAGTAGGATTGCTGTGGCGCACTGAATGAGGATCCAGCACGTAGAGGAGTGGACGCCCCCGCGGCAGAGGTTCGTTCATCCAGGGATATGCTTGCTGGCCTGGATGAAATTGGGGTTGGAAGGGGTTTGATTTGATATCACTGAGTCGTCATACTTGCAGCTGGAAACCGTGGCTAGACTCTAGACTTTTCTGCGGAAGCAGACCGGGGACTACAATACCGTACTTGATCTTGTGGTATTGGCTTAGGTCCCGATGATCATTCTGTCTACGTATCAATACTACCCATATTGTTTGCTTACTTGCCAGGCAGAATGGACACAGGGGTAAGTACCTGAGTAGATAATGAGCCCGGGCTGCAAGGTCTCCCTCCAAATGGTAAAGAAGCGTGCGCTGCTATATCCTCAAAGTGCTCAGAGATGGAATTCTCATTTGCGTTCCTATGGTTGCGGGATATTGTGTCGACACGGTCACGTCTACATTGCCGAACGCAACGCAACCGATGGATGCTTCCAGCCCATGTTTGGACAGGGGAATCCCGTGCTGACGGAGACCATTTAGGGACCGGATTATATGGCGAACCAGCACTGTGATCTGCAAAGCAGCGTCGTCCCTTTGATGAAGATAATGAATGGCCGATGGTAGGATGCATCATGGGGTTGTCTTACTCAGACCACAGCAAGTTAACCATCTCCAATCGCTCGCTACTGCCTTGCAATTCTTGTCTTCCACTGTCAGATAATATCTCACCCCAATCAACACGCACTAGGCGTTCATCCTTTTGTATAACGTGTTCGGATATACCCGTGGACAAGGGTAGCTGTTCATACGCCGGACCCGAGAAGGCGCAATGGCTGGCTGATGGCTCAACCCACCGGCCGAACCGGATACCTATCAGTGCGACCGCGTTCTTAGTGGCTGGCTTAAACTGCTGCGGCTTATTCCGTGGGACCCGTTTACGTTCATTTGTGATTCATTCGATTGGAGCTTGGCAAGGCCCGTCCTACTTACTGGCCACCATAATATAGAAATATTGTACCTCAGCTCGATCAAACAACCCCTGCACACTCCAGCCTGCAATCTTTGCTTTTATTACAGAAGCCCGGCATATGATCATCTGTATCTATCACGAGCCTGGGATCGCAAGCCCACGACATCCATAACTGGGGTGGAAACGCCATGGATGGAAGGCTTTGTCTCAATAGCGAGGGTTAGTACCTACCAACATTATAGATCGCGCAAGGTTAGGCACCAATACAGGATGAGATTGGCTGCGAGGCTTGTTGGCTCAAACAAAATTCGCGGTGAAAAAATACTGGAGCCTAAACGTTATCAAACCAGTCTTTATCGATTAATAGGTATCTCCTATTTTCTACAGCATGGACTATGTCCACCATATTACTATACTCAGCGTTGAAATATCCAAGCGCGAATATTGGAATCTTATGTGCTACGAACTGTCTTAGACATCGCGCGAACGGCGTGATTTGGGAGTATTAGTATCAGGGCGTTAACATATGAGTGTCTTAAAAGCCGGGAAGGTTCCTCTACTAGAGTCCAAAAGCGAGGAGACTGTGGAAACTCCCGACCCTGCACAAAGCAATTCGCGCCTAACCTGGTCCGAAGATGTAGAGAGAGGGATATCACGAATAGCCAGGATTGCAATCCATTCGGTCGTCCTCAGAGCAACACAGGCTAGGTATATTGCAGAATACAGCATTATCAACCGGTCAACAGCATCGGTGAACTCACAGGCTCGTGGTCAGGAACATGGGGGAATAGGAAGCAGGGCTAAGAAGAGTTTGACTTGAAGGCCTGGGACGGGCCAGAGGCGGTTGCTGGGCCTGCAGATAGGGATAGCAAAGTTACGTGACAGGATGTAGTCCTACGGGACTTGTCAGAATACATTGTATATGTGTGAGGTCCCTGTTTATATTCATAATCCATAGCTGAAATTGCCACACTATGTCTACGTATCTTGCGTATCTTTGTACCTATGACATTTTATCACTCGGATGGATTGCACTGGTAATATGCGATTGTCAAAGGATGGATAATCATAATCATAGCCTGGGTTCTACTCAACATCGCGCGTGAGTGTATTTCAGCAATCTTCTTAATTGCATCCCCCCAACATATGGATTAGGCACAAGACATGTCAACCGAAGCCTGTACCCTATAGGCAGCTTTGGGAAAGGAAGTATGTAAAAGCCTTATGGCCCTTCACTAACCTCTTGCAGGACCATCTACGCCGTACCCCAAGGCTCTATATAGGAGCATACCGCATCATCGACAGGTCCACCTCATCCATCAACTCATACTCACTGGCGAGCAACGGAATGCAGTCTTTAATCATCCCAGTCCATCTCTCATCCACGGCAATCCGTTTAGCCGCGAAAAAATCTCTCTCTTTGGCACACCGCACCCAGGATCCCACTAATCACGCCGTCCTTGACCATCCATGATACGACCCGGTTGGGTGTCTGCATCCATGTGTCAGCACGCCAAGAGCAGAGCTGGTGTCGCGATCATGCTCATCGGCAAGGGCCAGAGGCAAAGATGAAGACAGGATCTTGTCCGTAAGCGCTTCCCCCTCATCGAACCAGAGACCGGGATATCTGCATCCAGCCGCGATGCACGGAGGGCCTCAACGACGGCTCCTCTGTACGCCTCAAACGAAGGGAAGGGCCCATATATCATCGTGGACCTATAATCCCACCCATCATGGAAGAGGATATTAGGACATGGGCCCCCAATGGATCCACAGAGCCGATGGATGAGCGGCGGAATTCCCGCCACTCAGCGGTGCATCCCATTCCTTGGTGCGTGATGGATGATACCTCATCAGGAGACATGCTGTCCATGCAAGAACCGAGCAATTGCCCACCGATCTTCGTCATCAGGATGAACCCGATATCACTGATTGTGTACGCGCTCAGGGCTTGGGGTACAGGGACTATAGAGCATTGCGCGAGTAGGATCAAGGCTTCTGCTTCGCCCATGTGGACGCGCCAGCCGGCTTTGAGAATGGTTCAGTGCGGCCACGTTAGGTTGTTGCCTCCGCCTTTCAACGGCACCGTTAGGTCTGTTACGAAGGCGAAGGCATCAATACTGATGATGGGTTTATTTTAGTTGCGGAGAGAAGAAGTGAAGGTGAGATCCAGGGGACGCCTGGGCCATGATTGAGCCCATATATTCGCCGATACTTGCGTCGGGGTACTACGACTGTTGGTAGTGAAAAGAAGGCAGCAGATGGATAATCTATTTGTGGACCTCGGCGTAATAGTACCTAAGTGTCAGGTAGCTGATGCTCCATTAGTCACTTTCGGCCGTGGGCGCGGTGCATAGGCAGCAAGAGATATACTTGTCATTATATATACTATGGCCGATGGGCTAGCAAGTCAAAAATGTCATTGATATGTTATTTAGATAGGGTACTCTAGCTAACATTGAAATGCAACCGACTCCCCAACACTGATTAAGCTGGCGCCACCGCATTCTCTACCCTCTAAATCCCTTCCCACCTGCCCGAATCCAAACCTCTCCATCAAAACGTTCATCGCCAACGGTGCCGCAGAGGTAGAGCTATGAAAACCGACATACTTGGGCCAAACCTTCAGGATCTTCACGGCGCGCAAGCCCGTAGCCAGATCCGGGGCGCGGGTTGCAAGGAGATACATATTCGCGCTGACGCCGTGGTCCGCGACGCGGGTGGGGCGGTGCTCGTACTCCTGTATGTATGACTCGTGGGCATCAAGGACTGTGTTGACTTGGGGCAGGAAGGAGGGAGGTAGCGGGGCGCGGTTCCGAGTCAGGGCGATTTTCAGGGACAGGGTGTGGCCCAGGATCAAGAGGTGCAGGAGGTCGAGGGTGCTTTGTTGGCTGTGCTTGTCGGGTGAAGTGGAGTGTGTTTCGCGGAAGGAGTTGAATTTGTGGATAAAGATTGCGAATGTGCGCAGGAGGCGGGATTGCGCGGTGGAGAGGGTGTTGTATGTGGCGGCGAACTCGGGGTCGGAGAGGCTGAGGCCAGTTGCGATCAGGGGGATTCCGGTGTCGAGGAGGCTCAGGAGGACGGACTGCATTTGGGACAGGCTGGTAAAGGGCCCTGTTTCTAGGGTGCAAATGTCCTTGGGTGGTGACGAGAGAGCATAGCTCAGCATCGGGATTCGGGGTGCGTTTGCATCCGCGTCTGCGCTCTTATTACTATACAACGCGGCCTGCAGACTTATACGGCGGTATACGGCAACAAGCGATGGCTCGACTTTCGAAATGAGATATGGGCAGTGCTCAATTTCCTTGAGGATGCGCAGCCCGGAACGAAAATGCGTCCAGGCGCTGTCATGCCTGGCAAGAAGCACATCTGACAGTCCGAAGAGGAGCGAGCAGAGGAGGGCGATGTGGCGGAGTTCGGGGTCCTGGGATGACAGGCGCTGCGTTAACATCCTCATCGCGCGGCTCGACTGGTGTAGAGAGAAGCAGTAAGCGCGGTGCATTGATGTGTTGTCACTCTGCGTATATTTAAGCTCGCAGCCCTGATGTGCAGCGCTGAGCATAGTGACGGCGTGGAAAACGGCCGGGTCGGCATGAGACATTTGCAAGATGTGGCGCTGCCATAGCGGCGACTCGAAGAGGGCAGTCAGGCTTGTGATGGAGTTATGTTGGAAGAAAGCGAACGAACGACGTTCGTCGGCGGTCATGGGCCATCCGATATGTGCTCTTGCGCCCCCGCCAATGTCCTGCGGGTAGGTGTAGGATGGAGAGTGTCGCCTAGGCATTCGATCCAAAACATTGTATCCCTCACATTGCCAACCCGCATGAACACAGTTTTGGCATTGGCCACCCGGTGATTCGTCGCAGCGGATGTGGCGGACCCTTTGGTGGCGTTCCTTAGTGAGGCTCTTATATGCAGCAGAGACTGGGTTCTTACCGACAGGTTCGACAGCCTGTTCTGGATCTCGGGGCATAGGCTCTCTTGCGGTTGGGCGGCGTTGTTGACTTTGCGGGCATGGCGTTTGCTGCAATGTAATTGATAACAAAGAGATTGTTGAGAGAAAGGATTTGCGATTGGATTTAGACGAGAAAATGAAGCTTATTTGCGGCACCGTCAAGGACAAGTCAAGCTTTTCCGGCTGAGCCTCTCAGCGCTAGCAGGAGAGGACGGAGCATCTGATCCCGATCTCCAACAGAAATGGACACTCTGGTGGAGATAATTTGGCCGCCTAACCTAGTACATCCTCGGTAACCTCCTCGGTAACCCTTGATCCACCACTAGACGAGACGGCCAATGAGAGCTGAAGAGTTGCTGTGTAGCGTGATTAATCTGAAAGAATCATGCGAAAAACCTATGGGCGAGCCTTTCCACACAGGAGCCGACTTGAGAGTGATATCCAATGGTCAGATTTACGCGGCATATCGGAGTCGCTGCGGGATCTACGCAATCCCGCGGTCTCTCCAGAGTAAGCACCTTCTCCAACCTCTAAGCGAACCATGCTCCAATGGCAGTGTCAGCTAGACACGATTGCCGAAAAGCCGCGTGGCTTGGAGACTTATCCTCAGCTCAGCCTTGCCGGGTCTGTCGATGATTCAACAAGATCGAAGTACATACCTAGGTAGGCATAACTCAGAATTATACAAGCCCCGCCCCCAGCACTCTGCGTCTGGGCCCGTCCAATCATGTTGGTCCTGAGCACGGCCCCAGCCACGGGCCCACGCGGCCGGCTCCACTCTCCTCCCGTGTCGGCCCGGGCAGTTCCTCGGGGCTCGTGGGTATGGTAGTACAAAGTAAATAGGGGACGGCAAGCCCATGGAGAAGAGCACGGAGTATACTGTATAATCTTAGATACTAGTTGACCTCCAGCTGGTTCTCGCGTCTGCATATTTGATGCGAATTGGCTTGGCATGGGAAGTGGCGGTTGACGCCGAGATCCGAAGCATCTACTTAGTGCCAATTAATTGGGAAATTGATGGATGTTGCATGAACGGCTTTCGGCTTCGCCGTCCATGCAGGCGTCCGCGTGGCCTCAGGGCTGAAGATGCGCTCCGAGCTCGGCTATTTCGGCGGCGCCGTGAAAATCAGGCTTCAGCATTTTATGCCCTTATGTGTACTGTATGTAGTCCCATGTAACATTGGCTAGGCAACAAAGTACTTGTACTCCATAGCCTCGATGTCGTAGTATAGGGACTTAAACTACTGGCTTGACAAGTTTTGATGTCATGAGTTGGGCAGGTCAATATGTCACCAAATGCACCGGTGCTTCTGGCACCTGCTGTATACTTAAGTAGCAGAAAGTGGGCAATCACTTTGAACCGCCCGAGTTTCTTGCTCACTAGGCCATGTGTTAGTGTCTTTGCAGGATAAAAAGGTCAAGAGAGCACTACTTATACTCCAATGGTACGAACAATCATAACTCGCAATGGTTAAGGGCCTCGAAACATGCGTCCCACTGGCCTGGGAGAATTATATATTTCCGAAAGCTTGGGAATCTTGAATTGATCTCGTTGAACCTGTCCAGCTAGTTCGCGCCTTATGAACCCTAGAATCCCCAAGCCAGGGCTTAATTCTCGGCTCTATTGCTGCCAGCGTCTGTCCCCCCCCAAGGTCTTCCTCATGCACCTAACTCGCACCGCGCCCATTCTCACCGTCAACGGCGGTTATTATGCGCATGGGCGAGCTAGGGTTAGGAGGGTAATGCGGGTGGGGAGGGTGATCGAGGATATGGTCGCTGCAGTCGCAATGGGAAAGAGTCCACGCTGTCAACTACGGAGGGATGGTAAACACTGGTTCTTTTAAGGGCATATTCCCTCTCAACACCTGATTAGCTTGCTACCTCGATTTTCAAAGGGAAGTTTTGAGCGAAAGCAGTGTTCCTTTGTATCTCTCACTAAGCATTGTCCCTAAACTTCGCCTTTACACATCCATAGGTCTGTTCAACGACATCTGGATATACCGTTTGCTAAATGCGAGCTGAGTCCTAGGACAGCGGACAGAGGTTGCTTATCCAGGCTTAAGGAACGATATTCAATCACTATGGTACTCGGTAGGTACCATTCAATAGCCGCCCGTATAAGCTTCAGCCCTTGGCACAGTCCGCAGCGCGTCTCCAACTAAGCTACAAGCAGTTAGCCAACCTCTTGTCGCTCAAGAGACCATCCTGAAAAGGGCATATCATGCGCATCAATCACAGCTAACCAAGGTTGGAAGTCTCCTGCAGGGCACAACAAGTCTGCTCGACCCCTCGTCTTAGACTTGTGCTTTAAATTCCCAGTAGGTACCCTTCACAACCGGACACCTCTGTGGGGAGATCCCTTTGACAACATGGCGCTCACCACGCTGGTCCTAAGTGCACTTGCTCTCACATTTATCGCCTACTTCATAAGCGCCTCAACCCAGCAGCGCCAACATAACCTCCCCCCAGGTCCCAAACCGCTGCCTATCCTCGGCAACATGCTCGACTTCCCCCCAGCCGGAACCGCGGAACATAAGCACTGGCTCGCGCACAAAGACCTCTATGGGGGCCTAAGCTCCGTCTCCGTCCTCGGCACGACAATGGTGATAATCCACGATCGGGAAATCGCCCACTCGCTGCTGGACCAACTCTCTGCCAAAACTTCCGGGCGGCCAAGCATGGTCATGGCTGGGAAGCTCTGCGGGTACGAGAAAATCGTCCTGTGCCAGGGCTACGACGCTTCTTTTCGGCGGAATCGCAGGTTCCTGCACCGTGAGCTGGGTACCAAGGTTTCGGCCGCCCAGTTCCAGGCTGTGCAGGAGGTGGAGGTCAATCGGCTGCTTGTGAGGGCGTTGAATGAGCCGGAGGCGTGGCTGGAGCATTTGAAGACGTGGGCTTTCCATCGGAAGTTGGATATGGGACGCTTAGGCACGGTCGGCTAATGATGAGCAGTGCCGCCGGTGCAACGGTCCTCAAAATGGCATACGGGTATACCATCGACCCCCACAAGCCAGACCCCCTGGTGACGCTCATCGACAAAATGATGACCGAGTTCTCTCTTGCCTCCGTGCCGATGGGGTGGGCGGTTGATATCATTCCTGCGCTGCAGCACCTGCCCGAAAACTTCCCCGGCGCTGGCTTTCAGAAGACTGCGCGGAAATGGAGGAAGTCGATCCAGGACTCTGCACACATTCCATACTGGTTTGCTTGGCAACAGCTCGAGTCTTCACAGGCCAAGCCATCTTTCGTATCGAAACTCATACAACAGCTCAAAGCCGAGAATGACGGCATACTTGATCCAGAAGACGAGCAGGCTATCATCTGGACAGCAGCAAGTCTTTACGGCGCAGCGGCGGACACAACCGTCATCGCGCTAACGGCGTTCACCGCAGCCATGATCATGTATCCGGATGTGCAGCGCAAGGCACAAGAGGAAATCGACCGCGTCGTTGGGTCTGACACTCTACCAACGTTCGCCGACCGTGAGAGACTCCCGTACATCAATGCATTAGTTAAAGAGGTACTTCGCTGGTGGCCCGTTGCACCAATGGGTTTCCCGCATACAGCCACAGAAGATATAGAATACGGGGGCTACCGAATCCCCAAGGGCTCCATGCTTCTTCCCGCCGTTTGGTGGTTTACGCATGACCCTGCCGTTCATGCGGATCCGGACGCCTTTGATCCAGACCGGTTTCTGGCCCCGCGGAACGAGCCCGAGTCGTACATGGAACTGTGGGGGTACGGACGCAGGATATGTCCCGGGCGGTTCTTTGCTGATGCGGGGCTGTATTTGAATATCGTGCAGAGCTTGGCTGTGTTTGACTTGAGGAAAGCTGTTGGTGAAGATGGCGTTGAGATTGGGTTGGATATGAAACCTAAGCCAGGTGTCCTGGCGTATCCGACGAAGTTTGAGTATAGGATTGAGCCGAGGAGTGAGAGGCACGTCGAGCTGATTCGGAAGGCTGAGGACACCGTTGGGTGGGAAGAGAGTGATGCCCATAAGCTGGATAGTGTGGATAAGTTTGAAGTAGTATAGGGTGTGGCGCCGTTGATGTTTAGGATAACCTGCCGTCGGGTATGTACCTAGGTAGTATTAATCCTAAAGAATCTGAACTCCCTGGCATCGAGCGCGGTCAACGTCCAGTTCCTATGGGGCAGTGGAGCCATAACGTGCATCAAAGAGTGTCCTACATATAGGCTTAAAGATGATCGAGGAATTCGACACTCCAACCGCCAATCCCAACTATCCCATGACATGAACAAGAATTCAACCTCTCAACCAGAGCACTCCTCACACCACTCCTCACTCCCGGACTTCCAATTGACACAGTCCCCATCCGAACAAGTATGCACCTCGCAATACTGCAGCGCATTCCCCTCATAGTCCGTCGACTTCCCATTGCAGCAGTACAGATCTCCACAGGTGTGCCAGTAGCAGCAGATACTCTGCTCCCCACCCACAGTATTGTGGTCTTTCCGGTTGTCGCAGCCGCTGCTGTAGCCGTCCCAGGCGCAGAGGTGAGCCCAGCAGTAGGAGCGGACGACGCCGTTGATTAGAGGTGTTTCGTTGGTGCAGTAGGGGTCTGCGCAGGTTTGGTCTGGAATGGTTAGCTGGGGGGCTTTGTGGGTTGGGTGAGTGGGTGGATGACTTGAAGACATTGTCACGGATTATGATGGGTTGGATTGGAAGGTTCGAATAATGGAGTTGAGCCCGTCAGCCCGGGGCCACATTAACTGTTTCTTTGCTGTACTTGGAATTGTTGGGGATTATACGATGGCGGAAGTCAGAGAGGAAGTCACGTCGGGCGGGACAACGGCGTCGTCTTATTTATAGGGCGTTGATATCCTTATCACTGTCGACACACATTCAGTCTCGCGTTCGAATACTATTTATATGCAACACGGCATCTCGGCTAAATGGTGCCAATGAGGGTGGCCCACGTCGTCTTGCCCAGCTTCTTCAGCCTTTCGCGCGCCTACGCCGAGTGAGTGAGCCAATCATTACCATATACATAACATCCGCACTAATCTGTAGGCGCAGCATGTGGGCACGAGAGGCTGAAGGTGGCTTTATACTGATCGAAATACCGGGACGGAGTGATTAGGAAGACGGCTTGGCTTGGGAAACAGTATCGACCTACTAGCAGACTCCTTGCTGTGAAATCTTGACCAGGGCGAAGATCAAGGTCGAGGTGTTCCAAATATATAGTACAGAGCATGAGACCCAGAGTAATATAAGATTATTGCTTTATCATTAAACGGTTGCACTTATGCCTCACACTAAGATCTAATCTACCGGTCTCTGAGGATCTGGCTAGTGTGCAGGGGACAAAGGGCTTGACTGATGGGTGGGCTACCATTCATGACAGACCTTTTCCTGTTTCCCATTCTGTCTGTGTTCAAGAATCCACTTGATATGCAGACTTGACGAGGCGCAGAGTAAGTGCCCGATTTAGGAAGGCGCCATCAACATAGCCACGTGATTTGCATGCCCTAGTCACTGGACAGAAGCAACAAGACGTGGACGGCCAAAGATCGCGGTCATTGAGTGCTCAGACGGTATATAACCCTATACAGACCTAAGAGTGCGTGGTCGTGGACAAGGTTCAGATGGAAAAGTTTACCCATTTCATCCTTGTATATCACAAGGCGCCCACGTCTCATCACTGTTGGCAGAAAAAAGTCTGAGTGGAGTATATCATGACCTTAATAGTCCTTGTAATGGAAATACTCTCCGGACTTCTCGTTTCACCCTGTCGTATATTGGCCACGCCTTCCCGCACGTCAAGCAACACTGCAAGGTTCAAATAGCGCGGTTCCGGAAGTAGACGCCTGGTCAAGTTCCAAGGTCTATCTAGACATTCCGATCCAACCATCAGTAACGTTTCTTGACTCACTCCTCGTGACTCAGGGACGTTCTACACTATATATCGTCGATCTGCGTTTCCTGATTCCATCCTCTCTCAAGCAACTTGGTCACTCTCCGAATATCCCCAGGGCAAAGCTCACTCACATCGACCCCTACCAAACACAAGCTTGTATCAAGACAACCTTGGAACAGCATGGCTAACAACGGAGATGCTACGGAGTTTACTCAGGAAGCCGTGAACATGAACACAGACGGAAAGGCCGAGAAGGCTAGGGATCAGAAGATCCATAGCTTGCAGGCGGGTGAAGTTGGACTTAAGTATCATCAACCAACAAGCAGCCTCTACGAAAGCGACGCCATCACCATCAAAACCGGCCTAGGCCCGTACACCCGCTACACCATCCCCCGAGCAGTCCTAGCCAAAACACCCTCTTTCCCTCAACCCGCCGGCAACAAGCGGACCATAACGCTTAGCTACGTCGACAGCGACATCGGCCATACCCTCGTACATTACCTCTACACCGGAACCTACCAGACCCTTCACGAGCCACTGGCACGGTCTGCAGAGTTCAGAGAGAAGGTGGAATATAACCGGAGCGTGTTGACATACCGGGCAGCCGTCAGTTACGGACTTGACGGGTTAGCGGAGCAAGCGAAGAAGTACATGAAGATTTTCGACAAAAATATTTCAGTCCATGAGATCCTTTCTATCGCAAAGGAGACGTTTGTGTCCGCGGAGAAGGATGCGTGGTTTTCGGAGTACCTGAGCGAGACTATCAAGAGCAGGTTTGAAACGGACGAGGAGGCCTTTAGAGAGGAGGGATTCTGTGAGGCGTTTGGTGCGATCCCGGAGTTTAGTAAATTCCTTGCGAGGCTCATGTCGGATATCTATGCCGATAAACTGGATGCTCTTCGTTGTGAGTGTGAGGGACTCAGGCAGGCCAGCGTCAACGGCAGTAAGTCTCAGCCTCGAGTGTCTCGGGCTCCTAGACTCCAAGGGCCCGACTGTGGCAGCTCCGCCGAAATGACGACCGCTAGCGGCTCTGATGAGGAAAGCTCTGGTGAGGAAGACTCTGGTGAGGAAGACTCTGGTGAGGAAGACTCCGATGACGAAGAGTCCGATGAGGAAGGCTCCAGTGAGGAAGGCTCCAGTGGGGAATACTCCGATGAAGAAGAATCGGACGAGGAAGACTCCGATGAAGAAGAAGACTGCGATGAAGAAAACTCTGACGAAGAAGACTCTGATGAGGAAGGCTCAGATGAGGAAGGCTCAGATGAGGAAGGCTCTGATGACGAAGGCTCTGATGACGAAGGCTCTGATGACGAAGGCTCTGATGACGAAGGCTCTGATGAGGAAGGCTCTGATGAAGAAAACTCTGACGAAGAAGGCTCTGATGAAGAAGGCTGCGATGAAGAACACTCTGTTGAAGAACACTCCGACAAGGAAGACTCTGACAAGGAAGAATCCGATGACCAAGACTGCGATGGCGAAGATTGTGAAGACGACAGTGATGAAGACTCCAATGAAGAGGACACCGATGAGGACGAATCCCAAGATACATGGACCAACATCTACACACCAAGCGCAAGCAGTGACGAAGGCCCCGAAAGCAAGGACACCAAGCCCTTCTGCTACGTCTTGTGATGGGTTCAAGCCATGTCCCTGGCTAGACTGCAAGCTGTATCTCCGCCCGTGCAGTCATTGCAGGCCGCACCGCATCCACCAAATCCTGGGCTCAGAATGCTATGAGATAATTGCGAACAAGTTACATCAGGGCGGCGGCGTGTCGGAGTGGCCATACTGAGCCCGAAAGAGGGCCTATTTCTTCTGTTTCTGTCTTTGCTTGTTCTGGTTTGGCTTTAGTGCTTGGTATATTAGAATGTATGCGTGATACCCTGAGAGGCAGATGGATGTCCTTAGTAGGTGATCCATGGGACCAAGCTTGCTGATTGGCTGGCACCTAAGCCGTATGAATCAGAGTAGTCTCAGAAGAGTATTCCTGTGATACCCGGATGAGTCGTCCCCTCTGCTCGAGTCATGCCATAATATCTAACCACGTGACCTTCATGCCCTATCCACACCCTGAGAACGAAGCATCGGATGCTGAATATGGTCAAGCATTCGCAGAATGACGAGATCTCACATGAATGAATCCAACATACAACTTCTCGCCAGCATGATGACTCCCGGAACTAAAGCCATAGACTTCCGACCTCAAATACACCGCGGTCAACAGGCCCGATCAAATCAGTCCGCAGACCATCTCCAAGCGCGAAAGTTTACGGCACAAAGCTTGCGTAATGAAGGAGTCGATATTAACTTTGGTGCCCGGGATAAAATACCGGGAGATTGACTGTCTTTTCCCCTCCATCCTCTCCATCTTCTGTCGGAATTTCACAATCCATTTCTCATTCATCCACTCCTCACCAAGCACGTTCATACCATCCCAAAAAAATCATCCGAGTCATTCAATATGACACCGTTCCTTCAATCGGAGACCAGCACACGACGAAGAGCCGAAATGCAAGCCAAAGGCGACCCAGAGCAGCCTCTGAACCCAGGTAACCCTGCCGCCACGGCGGCACCTGTTCTTCCCGGTCGATCGAAGGGAGAGGAAGACCATAAAGCGGCTGTGGATACCTGCCACCCATCCGCTTCTCGTCGAGAGACGGACCCATCCAACGACGCCTCCAGCTCGGAAGGAGACACTCCCAGCGAGTTCGGAGCTGATCTTGACTGGGGAATTGCCCCGCCTTTGCCAGAACTACATAGCGGGCGTACACTCACGGATAAGACCCTCCCGGGCGAGAACCACACCAAGAATGAAGCAACGATCCCGAAAGACAACGCCAAAGGGAATGAGGCTGGCCAGACTAGCCGGTCTGGCGCTTACATCTTTTACCCTCGCAAGGATTTCGGCCCCGGCAAACAGTGCGGCGAGTATATTGCGTTTGGGCCTCGTTTGGAAGATAGAGTTGAGCATGGGCTTGAAGCACGATGGGATTGCGAAAGCGGACGTGGTCGCCGGCCGTACCAGGACACCAGCATTGCTGAAGATGTTGCGAAGGCGAGCAACATTGAAAATGGCGCAACAATGGCATCTCTCCGGGGCGAGACCCAAGGAAGCCAGAACGGCTTGGGCCCAAGTCCCGCTCTTGCAGACGCTGGGAAATTCGTCCGGTGCGACAAGCTTGAAGACCAAAATCATCTCTTGATGGTGGCTCATGAGGATTGGATGAAGAAAAAGGGATTCTTTTATCCTTCAGTTATTCCTATTGGGGCACGAAAGCTCGGAGGCGAACCTGTATATCCCGGCTTGGATGACGAATGGCGAAACAACGGCAGTGCTGAAACAGCTACAGGCCGTGGAAAGACTGAGGGCATAGCTCCCGTTGCGCCTAGCGACACTAAGCCCAAGTGCACAATGAGAGATGGCCTCCTTTCAATTTCTTCCTGCCCGCCTCCGCCAGATTCCGGCCGTCAAAAAAAGCCTGCTGTTTCGAGTCCAGCTCCAGCTTATGCCGACGCGGCAGCTCCCTCGCCAATGGAGAACAAGAACAGAATAGAGCGCAAACCCTGGCCTAGAACGTTCAGACATGACCCCCGGATTCACGACGCTCCCTCCCCGTACGAGGGTGAAGCAATCAAGGTCCGATTAGGACAACACCCCAAGCGGGACTTCAATGTGCCAAAGCGCATTCTCGACAAATATCCTTCCCTCCCGCAGCCCATCTGCACTGTTCACCGTAATGCCTGCTGGATTTCCGGGTGTAGCGCGTCTCGAACGTTGACGCTTGATCGGGCGAGCGACTTCATTGGCGGCACATTCGTGCATTACCTCTACACCGGCGAGTACCGGGCCCCCCAGCCGGGCTCGAAGGTGTTGATCGAGTATGCCCGGGGTCTCCACGTATATCGTTCCGCTGTGAACTATGGTCTGGACGTGCTTGCTGCCAAAGCTCAGAGGAAGTTGTTGGACGTTGACCAAGGCATTCCTGTTTTTCGCCTCCTGGGAGTTGCGGCCCTTGCCTGCCCTGAGGTAGTTGAACAGTCTTGGTTCCAAGAGTACATCACCCTCAGACTCACCGCGATGTTCAAAGACAACGAAGGGATGCTTCGCGACCAAATGTTTTTGGATAGATCTAGTATAGATCTGCGTTTCATTGCCTTTCTTGCTGGGGCGACGGAGCAGGTCTATAAGGACAAGTTGGCGGCCGGGCAGCTTCAAGCGGCGAAGCAAACAATAGGCCTCGATAAGAAAGATTCCAAACTCGAGGCAAAGCCCGAGAAGGGGCCGCCCTTACCGGGCCCATTTCAAGAGAGAAATGAAGCCCCCCGCGCATCTCCCTCCGAGCGCTCGGATAGGGCATCTTCAGCCCAGTCCCAGGAAGTGACCATGCCTGAGGGAAGGGTGTCAGCATCAGCACGACAAACGGTGCCTGGCGCAGAGGTGCGTGGGAAACACGCCGATACGTCCAGCCCAGCCGTACCCACTCCACTATCAACGACAGACGGAAAGCGCAATGCACAGCGTAAGTATTATGAGTGGAGTTGCCTGCATCGCGGCTCAGCTCCTGCAGAATTAAGATCCCACAACTGTCAATGCAACCGATGCGGACTTATTGCATGCGAGGTCTGTAGGGAGATCTATATCAAGGGGGAGCTTGTTCGGGACCACTCGTCTGAGCTTGAGCGCTGTCAGAGAGTAATCCGGATTCTGGAATACTACATAAAGTTGGACGGGCATTACTGACTGGTTAACCAGTAATGGCGGATTGTTGGTGGTCTGATCTTTGGCGTTTCTGACGGGGTCGCGTAAAGATGGCTGTGATTTGACAACGTGCATGTCACACGAGAAGCGCAGACTGAAATCAATGGATTTGTTCGATGCCGTTACACAGAAATGCAGGCCGCGCCGAAAGTGCCAATCTCATGTAGAACGATACGAGGTAATGCCGCTGGTGTGGCGAGTGCATGGAATCAGGCTGACGGGCCTGTCAGCAGGACAAGGCAGCCTTCACATAAGTAGACCAGGCCTCCCAGATCTCTCAAAGATTAGTAGCTCACACAAGTCCATCTGTTGTAGACATCTCTTCACCTACAAAATGGAGGCCTGTCATCCTCAGCATGCGTGGTCGGATGAGAGTAGCATGGCGTGGGACCCCGACGATTCCCATGTGCCCTCCGGGCCCCTCGAGCATGCGCCACGTCGTCCTCCGTTACCCTCTCTCGACGCTATTGAGTATCTCTCCGATTCTTCAAGTTCAGATAACATCTTGGACACAGCAATTCGTCGTCGTCGTCCAACTACGACCACGGCATTTGATGACGACACCCATCATACCACTCAGCCGATCCGACTTCCTTACTCGATGGTACCATTCATTGGAGGATTTCGCTGCGAATGGTCCGGATGCACCAGATCCACCGTTTTCAGGCGAGAGGCCGATGTCCTGGGACATATCAGAACAATCCATCTCCCCGACTACCGGTGCCCTGATGATGGATCCGGACAGGCGCCCGGGGGAGAAGGTCACCTCAATCGGCATTTTGAGCGACGACATAGCGACCCTCTAGGTTTGTCCCCCACGGTAGTGCGTCTGTTTCTCGAATTTCGGACTGACACCGGGCAGCTGAGAGAAGGCTGATGGGCGATGAGCCTGGAAGAGAGCGTGCCCAAGCTCGAAGCGCAACCTGGTTCACGTCTACCTGGGAGCTGCCATACGTTTTAGATGGCATACCAGAAAATGAGCGCTTGCGTTTCGTCCTGGACAGCATTACTTTGACGATGTCCGAAAGAGGTGTCATAGTACAGACGTGCAATGAGTTCATTCAAGGACGGTATGGGCGGGCTGGGGTTGATTTACTCGCTGGGCTTTTGACGGCTGTCGGGTCAGATGATGGCAGATATAGTGCGTGTCCTGACCACCTGCGATTCCATAGATGGGGCTTAGCTAACAGGTGTTTAGCAAGCCTTGACATTCGTGCTCGCTGTTCCAAGAATGATGTCTCGGTTTCACTGGCCGAATCCTTCACCATTCTCCAGGGCATGTTAGTGTGGCTCTCACTTACCTTCCGTCCGCCCAAAAAAGACACCATCTGCTTCTCTACAGGCAACATTGACAGCACTGGTCTCACTCTACAAGGACTCTCACCAGCAGCATCAAATGGTGCATCTTGTTGGTTCGGCCTCTTCGAGAGCGCAGTCGTTGCGGTGGACCCCCATATCCAGACCAGCCAGACCAGGTATCTCGAAACCAATTTCGCTCTGTTGCTTTACCTAGCAGCAGTGGAGTATCCAGTCCTATTTGATGGCGGCCTGGTGCTGATGGGGTACTCGACGGCTCTGGTTCCAGTGAGGCGCATCGACGACGAAACCACACTCTGGCATTTGGAAACAGCCGATCATGACTCCCAACTCAAGATGTCGAGCCTCAAAGCACTCAGAGGGGATTGGCTCAAAGTTACCGAGCTGAGGGGACTTGGAACGAAGAAGGCCTTGCTCGGCTGGTGCCCTGAAGCCATTACACTGCTTGGGACAGGCCAACTGGACACGGTCGAGTGGTCGAATGCGAAAGCGAAAAGATCCTCCTGGGCTTGGACGGGGGCAAATTTGCAATTTATAGCCGCCTCGGCGGCTCCCTTCCAACTCGGTGGCCAGGCTGGTCTGACATTCGATCGCTCAATCAACACCTTGCGATTCAGTGCTGAGAGAAACTACTTCAAGTGTTTGAGTAGTAGTGCAAAGGAGCAAATTGTCATCTATGATGTTGAGTGCTCGAGGGCGTGGCTCGTTCCATTGATATGCGTGTTCCATGAGATGCTGCGGGCGTACTGGCGGACGGTTCCGTCACAATTCCGACAGGCTGATATACCGGCAGCGAGTCCCAGCTTCGACGGGGCATCAGCAGCCCTGGCAGCCCTCTGGAACAGTGGTGGGACTGTTGTCGCCATCTCCCCGGATGATCGGCTCACCATCCGTGACCTAATTCTAGGATTCTCGACAAATCTCTCCCGGGCTGTATTGCATCGCCCCAACCGTAAAGAGATATACGGATATGAAGTTATGGATCTCACCATGGACTCTTCCAAGAGCGATCTAAAGAGGTGTCACATCAAGAAACAAGGACTGCCCTGGATAACGCTGTTGGAGCAGGTTAATTGCCTTTTCTGCTCCAAACTTGGCGAAGCCATCCACGGTTCACGGGGTGATACATATGATTCGCCCTGCAATCAGGTCCCAGAAGGCCGCGACTGGCTCGTTGCGACCATGCGCAGCATCAACGAACTGAATGCAAGGCACGGCGGCCATTGCCTACCAGGCATTCGTCGACTTTCAGATCAGCATCAATGGCTAATGACAGGGTCGCCTTTCGAAAAATGCGGGCATCCAAATGGAGGCCAGGCGTCCTGTTGGGAGTCAGGCGCTTTGATCCAAGAAATCCAGACAACCCGTGGGCGAAAAGCCCAACAATACGACAAGGACCCTTTGTACTCCGAAAATGGCGCCGTTGTATTTGGTCGCCCAACTGGGTTTCCGATATCACTCTGCCAGATCCCTGGGTTGAGCATGAAAAACAAACAGAGTGTCCCGGGGTACTCATCTCAAAGCTCTGTAATTGCTTCTTTGCCAATCTCATCCCAGGGACAGCATGATGTGATTATGACTATGCCATCCAATGTTGTTTAGGCTGGCCTGGGCTTGCACTAATAAGAGCGAGACAGCGGGGCTCGCAGGTTTCCTGATTGGCTTGAGAGTTGGGTATCTGGAACATGTTTGTAGCATATTTTGCATCTTGTTTGTCGACAACGTCGTATTTTGTTTTGTTCTTCGGTGGATTTCGTTCTTCGGCGGGATGTTAGGCCTTTCTCCAGGGCAAATCATTGTTCTGCGTTGAGAGTTGAGCAGATGTAGTTTGGGTTATGGAAGTCAAGAGTATCGCAAGTTTGAGATGAATCCACGGAATAAAGCGAGTTAGCAGCAGCCCTCCCATGATCGCCGACCGTGTCCCCAAGGGTTGGGGGCAGCGAATTGTGGGCGGAGGACGAAAATGATCCAACGGAAGGCGCGATGGTGTGTCCGAGATCGATGGCAAATGGGACTGCTCTTCCTCACGAGCAATATGACGCATTTGCGAGACCAAATCGAAACATATACGGGTCCAATAGGCATCGTTGCTAAGGAGCAACGTCTGCTATGGTCCGGCGATATCTTTCGATGCCTGAACTCGAGCATCGAAACATCGAGTCATATGCAGGCAGGACTTCAAGGAAGGTCAGATAAGGCGGCCAAGAGGCATCCATGTCGTCAATCTTCCAGGTACAGTTGTCGCCCTTGTGTCCCTTCTCCCTTCCCGCACGGCCGACGCAATCCGAGATAACATGGGGGTATCACTGTCCGATTCCCCGCGATCAGGATGAAAGCAAAGGCCTCGGGTACTGCTGCCGGTTGCTAAGTGCCGCATCCAAGGTATCTGCGGGGTGACTTAAGTGGCTTGGGCCAAGATAACGTGTTCAGCCCCTCCCAGCATACGCGGGTGTAATACGTAGGACGAAACGTGGTTGCGACCAGGCATTTGGGGCCAAAACGGTGCACGTGGGGGCAGAGTTGCGGTTACCTGCAATATTTGTCTGTTGCATCGAGCAAGGACCAGGGATTCCTGTGAATGTCCGTGCTGCAAGAGCTACTCAGACAGTCTTCTACCAGTCAGCAGGCGCGTCGAGTTTACCAAACTTGTACTCGAGATGCAGGAGAAATCTAAAACAGCCCTGCGAGGCAGTCTTCACGGGGAGAAGCAATGGGGTGGTGAGGGGCGCACTTCCGCCGATGAACAGACAGCACTGGTCGTGAGCCGGATAGCGTGGGAGCTGTGCATAATTCCTCAAGCAAGAGTCAACCAAGCAGAACCCTTGCCAATCAGCCCCTAAAAATGGTCACAGGCCACTCATAAGCTGTCCGCGCTGTTGGTTTGCTGTTTGGGGGTGCTGATCCCTGCGGCCAGGGGCCAACGAGCGGACACGGCCGGGGTAAACTGCAGTCTCCGGGTATGTTTCAGCCGAATTGTGCTTGTCTAAGACATCTGCCATCAGAATGGGTTGGCGGTTGGGGCCAAAAGCGATTCAAGGTACCCAAAACGGACACAACTCCGGCGGTTACCATCGTTGGTGGAAATTGGAGGTTGGCATACAGGGATCTTCAGTCCAATCGAATCACCCGAGTCACTCGGCCTTGGGCTCTCAGCCTCTTTGGTGGACCAGGTAAATTGACCCGCTCGATAAAGTAGATACATCGTTTGCGTGTGGGTCGATGTGATATATTTAGCAAAGCTTCTGGGGAATAATGACTGTGATGGACAAGCTCCTTCCCGATCAAGGTGGTTGGTCAAATATCCCCGTTCGTCACCGTGGCTTGGGGGCCTTGCAGACGATAAGCATGAAGAAAGCGCAGAGTTGGCGCCAAGTGATAATGATGCAACGGTCGAGCTACTATAAGCGAGTCAGTCAATAAGGAGCCGTGTTTCTTAAATAAGAGCCAAACGCCATTCTATATCTTAGCTCAGGGAGAGCCCCACGGTCATCACTTTAAACCGCCATTCTCAAGCCCGTGCGCTCAACGGTGTTTGTAAACGAACAGGACGGAGCATGCCTGGCGTACCGTCAAGTCGTGGCTGCGAGGCCTGTCGGAGGCAGAAGAAAAAGGTTGTGATCAGCTCGGCGCGACGTCGCAATTCGATGTGTATTTGCTAAACCTGAGTAGTGCGACCAACTCAAACCAGCGTGTACGCGATGTGTTCGTCTTCAAATTGCTTGTGTGGGATCTGGTCAGAAACGGTTCACATTCAAGGAAGGCTACTCGTGCAAAGGCCCAGGCGCTATAGTTTTATCGCGCGCATGTCAGATCCCTAGTAATGACACGGTGGACATCGCCAAAGACTTTATTGAAGTCCTGCAAGTCACCGACATCCGTTACGACGTGACGTGGTATGGGCCCTTTCTAGAAAGCCTTCCTCGGCGTATCGGATCTAGCCCTGCCCTAGATGCGGCGGTCGGCGCAGTGGCTAGTGTTGTCAAGGCGCTGCGTACGCAGAAGAATTTCCCAGACGCGATGGCACGCTATGTGAAGGGATGGAAGGCTTTGAGGACGTGTTTGAGTGACCCGGAGCAAACAAGATCAATACATACGGTGTGCGCGATCTATCTGATGATGATATGTCAGGTTAGTCTGCTCGGTCAATAAGGAGCGATGATAACTAACCATGCAGAGCTGGGTTGGGCGACCAGATGACCCTTTCGCAAATCACGGAGAGATCCTCACTCAGATCCTCAACGCAGCCGTCTCGCAGACCGGCAGAGGACAGTTTGAAGACAACATGATTGTCATGTTGAGTATGCCAGTGGTAAGCACGATGTCTCCAGCTCCAGTGGATCTAGCTCATCCGAGTCCAGGTTATGCAGAGTATCGTTGATCCCACAATTCCCCTCGGGTCCTGGTTCTGGGCGATTGCCAAATCGTATGGGACACAGCGACCGATCCTCAGTAACCATGGCACTCAGCTTCCAAGTCTCCAATTCCCTTGTATGGTTCAGATAGCACAATGGATTCGCGATCCCGGTCTGCATTTGCTCGATATCGACGCGGCGTACAATCAACTGATTACGGACTGCGTGACGATGCGTGCCGTACTGGATAGATTCACGGAAGCCGATATACCAGGTGCCACACGGTCAGGAAATCGTTTGCAAACCCGTCCGCAGGCCTCGTACTCGATGTTGATCTGCCTCGCTCTTGTGCTGAACCAAGTGATACGCATCTTCGAACCGAATAACATTCCGCTGCTCGATGAATCAGCGGATCTGGTTAGCGAAACAATTTGGCTTGCGCGGCTTGCAGAGAGATACCGACCCTTTGGGGTGAGCTTCATGCCAGTTTTGCTCGTCATGTCATGGAACGCAACGGAGGACATTGATGTGAGGAGTCAAATCCAAGAGATCCTGGTCGGGTATGAGGCCGACTTTCCCGCGGTCAAATGGGTGGAGACGTGTTACTGGATGCAGAATAAATATGATGAGATACGCAGAACGCAGCTAGGCGCGTTGTTTGCCGCTGCTTGCTGAGATGAAACGAGAGGCGAGTGGTTTTGTGGGATGGAGGAGAGTGTGTTTGGACGTGGGAGGAGTTGGGATCATGTGCTCTTTAGCGACTGCCTTGTGCGACTTTGGAAAGCGCCTTCTCTTCCGGTACAAATCGATTTTCAAGCCATTTGTACTACTCAATATTATATTTGACTTCATCGGTATACCCAAAATGCAGCAAAATAATGATCAACAGCCTTCGCTAGTCACCCCCTTCCATATTCTCCGCAGCCTCCTCCAAGAAGTCCGGTATCTTACACCTAAGGCGATGCTCCGCTTCCACCACAATCCAGCAGGTGAAGGCAATTGCATCCTCGGTGAGGTTGCCTAAATGTAGCCCATGAGAGTTCAGATCTCGCTCGTCCTTGACATCGGATGGCTTGGTGCTAGCGGCATCGACCCGCGTCATAAAGCTTGGGGAGTGGTTTTTGTGAACGTCCGTTGGATGCTTCGGTGGCTCGTCAGGGAAGGAATAGAGTCTGAGCTGGCCTAGCAACGTCTTTGACTTGTTCGGAGGGCCGCCAGTTCTCACTGTCTTGCGAGATCCCAGTGGGCGCTTCTCAAAGGTCGCGATCAGAGCATGGTCAGATAGGCGAACAAGCTGGACACCACTGTTTTAAGCAAGGAGCCTCTCTCGATAGTGCTGATCTTACCTTCATGCTATGCGACCACCCCTTAACCCTTCGCATAAATCCAGTCGCAAACATTCTTGTCCCTAACCAGCGATACCGCACACCATCCAGCTCCCACTCAACACTGCGCGAGAAGAACCCCATCCTCTGCATTCGTATCATCACCACCTTCCCTTGTACGATCTTTTCCTCGTCAATCTCCACTGGCTTCTCCTCTTTTCCAAACCGCCTCCTCCACTTATTCTTCTTTTCAGCTTTCCGTCTCTGGTCTCGCAGCCGTTCATTGTCTAGAACCTCCTGCACGCCGTCTCCGACCCAGACTCGAAACGTCCCCCACATGGCTGAACGACGAGCCCGTCCGATGGCATTTGTCGTCGGGGTATACTTGGGGTTGTCGCCGCGGTAAAACACCGGTTTCCACGTGTCGCCATGCTTGTGCGGGACAGGGTTCGTAACAAAGTATCTCGCATCTGCGGTATCTGATTCCGAGAAAAGCTGCTTGCGGCCTTTGAAGCAGCGGCGATACAGCTGGAGAGTAAGAGTGGGCTCCGGGTGCGCAGCTTCGTTGCTACTATCTCCGAGGTCCATGCTTAAATCGCACAGTGAGATTGGGTCATTCAAATGAGTAGGCTGATGAAGCACGTATCAAACGACCAAACAGCTCATGATGCTCGCTTATATATCGACCTCATCGGCCGAAGACGAGCTGAGAGATGAGGCTTTGAAGAACATCAAGTGGTCGGAGCTAGAGTCTAGCCTAGTTGGCGAATACGAGCAGAAGACCTATCAAAGCCCGAGCCCAAAGAGCACGAGGCGCGGTTACCTCGTAATGGTGCGTCTGGCGTTGGTCAAGACAGCTAAGCGCAGTTTTGCTTTTCGAGTTGCGTGGCTTGTTTTCGGGGTCCGAGTCTCCAATCAATTTGGGATGACTTGTTTTCGCCCAATAGCTTGATATGCTTAGTTCAGCAAAATGCGGCCTTGCAGTAGAGAGTGTTCACTCTGAGATATTCCATTTTTTGCCCAACGACTCCATCCTGGGGGAGATCCATGGATGTTATTGTTTGGCAAGGACCAGTGAAAGGGATGTTCGCTGTTTGTCGGGAAAATATATCTCTGCAGGTTGAGACCATATATTTCCCGGAACCGTACCAAGGCCCACCAGTGCTCGAATGACTGACTAGATGAGTTGAGTGATTCAGTACTGCAATTTTTGCCCTGTACTCCGTAGACATGAGAATCGACCTAGGATGTGGTGAAGACAACATAGCAGGCTGGAGTGTCGGAGATAGCCGGATATATCATTGTCGGGCAGAATAAGGCGGTGAGACAAGCGGAAGACAGAAATCCCGCCAAACCCATGGCGTCAACGTGGGAGCTTCTTCTTCCTCCATTGAATCCTCGTCTGCAATTGAGTATCAAAAATGGCTTCCTTCTTCCCTCGCACTGCCTTCCGCACCCTGAGCGCCCTGCCCAAGGCTGCTCCCTGGGCCAAGACTCCCATCACCGCACCCCTCGCTCAGCCCCTCGCTCGCCGCTTCATCGGTAGCCTTCCCCGCGAGCAGCCGCGTCTGCGTCTCGGCTCAACCGGTAAGACTACATCTACTGCCGTCAATTGACACCGCTAACGCCAATGTTTTGCAGCCCCCAACTTCGAGGCCGTGACCACTCAAGGCCAGATCGACTTCCACAAATGGATGGACGGCTGCTGGACGATCCTCTTCTCCCACCCCGCTGATTTCACACCTGTCTGCACAACCGAGCTCGGCGCGTTCGCCAAGCTGAAGGGTGAATTCGCGAAGCGCGGCGTCAAGATGATCGGACTGGTACGAATCACAACTGATGGGTAGGACGGCACTGACGCAAGTAGAGCGCCAACGACCTCGGCTCCCACGGCGACTGGATCAAGGACATCAACGAGGTGACCGGCAGCGACGTCCAGTTCCCCATTATCGCCGACGCCGACCGCAAGGTCGCCTGGCTGTACGACATGATCGACGAGTCCGAGCTCGCCAACCTCGCTGAGAAGGGCATTGCCTTCACCATCCGCTCCGTCTTCATCATCGACCCCGCCAAGAAGATCCGTCTGGTCATGAGCTACCCCGCGTCTACTGGCCGCAACACCGCTGAGGTCCTCCGTGTTATTGACTCCCTCCAGACCGCCGACAAGAAGGGCATTGCCACTCCGATCGACTGGCAGGTTGGTGACGACGTGATCGTCCCTCCTTCCGTCTCCACCGAGGACGCGAAGAAGAAGTTCGGTGAGGTCCGCGAGCTGAAGCCTTACCTCCGCTACACCAAGTACTAGTGTAATCTAGATAGACTGTACCATTAGCTGTACCACTACCATAGAACTGAGCTCACCATGACCCTATCTATCCTTCGCCCACCTCGTCGATCCGAGCAAAGGCGGCGGTGATCGGCAGTATGCATGTCGTCATATTGACTCCAACAAATGACTAAGCGAGATAAGGGGCCCCTCATGTTCTCCAAGTTCTCTGCCAGGTGTCGAGATCCGATCTCATCACCTCAGGGCGAAGAAACCATGGCTGAGAACGGCAAAATCACAATATCCATTGACCGCGGCGGTACATTCACCGACGTCCACGCCGTCGTCCCCGGCCGCCCCGATATCATCCTCAAGCTGCTCTCCGTCGACCCCGCACACTACCAAGATGCGCCAACAGAAGGTGTGCGTCAGATCCTGGAGCAGGTCACGGGTAAGCCGCATCCGAGGGGGAAACCACTAGAGCTGGGACCGATTGAGAGTTTGCGTATGGGAACAACGGTTGCCACGAATGCGTTGCTTGAGCGGAAGGGCGCGCGGTCCGCGCTGATCACCACGAAGGGGTTCCGCGATCTGTTGAGGATTGGAGACCAGTCGCGTCCGAATATCTTTGATCTGACGATGGCGAGGCCTGGTGTTCTGCCTGAGGCCGTTGTGGAGGTTGACGAGCGCATTGTGCCTATCCATCCTGCGTCGGATAAGGACTGCTTCACCGGTGCCCGGGTCGTCGAGGGCGTCACTGGCGAGAAGTTCCGAGTCGTCAAGGAGTTGGATGTTGAGAAGGTCCGGCCTGAGCTTGAGAGGCTAAAGAAGGAAGGGTACCAGTCTTTGTCCGTTGCGCTGGTGCATTCCTATGTCTATCCTGAGCACGAACGGCTCATCGGGGAGATGGCGGAGGAAATGGGGTTCTCGGTTACTCTATCCTCCAAGCTGCAGCCCATGATCAAGATTGTGCCTCGTGGGATGTCTGCTGCTGCAGATGCATATTTGACGCCGGTGATCAAGACGTACATCGACTCCATCTCGTCCAGCTTCGAGGGAGGCCTTGCTAACCAGCACACTTGTCGATTCGAGTTCATGCAGTCTGATGGCGGTCTGGTTGACTTTCGCAAGTTTAGTGGCCTAAAGGCCATCCTTTCTGGGCCTGCGGCGGGTGTGGTCGGCTTTGCAGCGACTAGCTGGGATGCGAAGGAGAAGACCCCTGTGATCGGGTTCGATATGGGAGGAACTTCAACGGATGTTTCAAGGTTCGACGGCCACCTAGAACACGTTTTCGGTTCCAAACTGGCTGGAGTCCAGATTCAGTCCCCGCAGCTTGATATCAACACTGTGGCTGCGGGAGGTGGTTCCATTTTGAACTCGCGCAACGGTCTCTTCTATGTCGGACCAGAGTCTGCTTCAGCTCACCCCGGCCCTGCTTGCTACCGTAAAGGTGGTCCACTGACAGTGACGGACGCCAACCTCTTCCTTGGCCGTTTGCTACCAGAGTTCTTCCCCCACATTTTTGGAGAGAACGAAGATCAGCCCCTTGATCAGGAGATCACCACGAAGAAATTCAATGAGCTGACCGAAACTGTCAACGCCGAGCGAAAGCGAAAGGGGGAATCCGAGTATACCCCAGAAGAAGTCGCGCTCGGCTTCTTGAAGGTGGCGGATGAGTCGATGGCCCGTCCGATCAGGAACCTGACTGAAGCTCGAGGCTTCGAAACCGCGGGCCACCACCTCGCGTCATTTGGTGGTGCGGGTGGTCAACATGCCTGCCCAGTCGCAGCATCACTCGGAATTTCGCGAATCATTATCCACAAGTTTTCTTCCGTGCTCTCAGCGTACGGTCTGGCGTTAGCCGAGGTGGTAAAGGAGTCCCAAGAGCCGCTCTCGACCCAATACGAATCGTCCAAGTCAAAGCTCAACGAGAAGCTAAAGGAAATGACGGACGCCGCAGTCGAAGACATGAAAGAGCAAGGATTCTCCCCGGATCAAGTGCGACATGAACGGTATCTGAACCTTCGCTACGACGGGTCCGACACCAGCTTGATGATTCTCGAGCCGGAGGATGACTCTGACTTCCTGGACCATTTCCGAGAGCGGCATCGTCGGGAGTTCGGATTCAACTCGGACAGACCAGTGCTGGTGGACGATATCCGTGTCCGTACGATTGCTGCGTCCAAGGTCCGGGATGAGAAGAGTCCACTGGTCCAGCTGCGGGAAGCTGAGATGCGCGATATCTCTACTGATCCAGACCTTATTACCAAGACGTTCTTCGATGGCCAGAAGGAGAGGCTTGATACGCCGGTATACAAACTTGATAACATCGAGAAGAACTCTCGTATTCACGGGCCCGCTATCATCATCGACAACACGCAGACGATTGTCGTTGTTCCTGACGCCGTGGCCAGTGTCCTGGAGACATGCATTGTTATCGATCTGAAGGAAACGAAGTCGACTGAGGAGAAACCATCCTCCGGAATTGACACCATCAAGCTCAGTATCTTCGGCCACCGATTCATGTCAATCGCTGAGCAAATGGGTCGAACTCTGCAAAAGACATCTGTCTCGACCAACATTAAGGAACGGCTTGACTTTTCTTGCGCTCTCTTCTCGCCTGACGGTGGGTTGGTGGCTAATGCGCCCCATGTTCCGGTTCACCTTGGGTCGATGCAGTTCGCCGTCCGGTACCAGCACAAGAAGTGGGAAGGTAATTTGAAGGACGGCGATGTGTTGGTTGCCAACCATCCCAGCTGCGGTGGGACCCATTTGCCGGATATTACTGTAAGCATCCTCACCAAACTAAACAAAATGATGCTAATTATCCAGGTCATTACACCCGTCTTCGACAAGCCCGGTGGCAGCGAGATCATGTTCTACGTAGCCAGCCGCGGCCACCACGCGGACATCGGCGGTATCCTTCCCGGATCTATGCCACCCAAGTCAACCGAACTCTGGCAGGAGGGCGCCGCCATCGAAGGAGAGAAGATCGTCAGCAACGGAAAGTTCGACGAAGAACGAATTACTGAACTCCTTGTCAAGAAACCTGCACAGTATCCTGGATGCTCCGGTGCGCGATGCCTCACCGACAACATCTCCGACCTCAAAGCGCAAATCGCCGCCAACACCCGCGGTATCTCTCTTATCCAAGCCCTCTTCGCCGAGTATGGCGTCGAGACAGTCCAGAAGTACATGTACGCGATTCAAGAAACGGCCGAGACAGCGGTCCGCAACCTACTGAAGGACCTGCACCACCGCTTCGAAGGCAAGCCCCTAGAAGCAATCGACTACATGGACGACGGAACCCCCATCAAGCTCAAGGTAACGATCAACGGCGACGACGGATCAGCCGTATTCGACTTTGAAGGCACAGGCCCCCAAGTATACGGCGCCTGGAACGCCCCAATTGCAATAACACACTCCGCAATCATATACTGTCTCCGCTGCATGATCAACGCCGACATGCCCCTGAACCAAGGCTGCCTGGCTCCCATCGACATCAAAGTCCCACCATCCTGCCTGCTCTCACCAACCAAGAACGCCGCCGTCGTCGGCGGCAACGTCGTGACCTCGCAGCGCGTGACGGACGTCGTGTTCAAGGCCTTCCGCGCCTGCGCCGCCTCCCAGGGAGACTGCAACAACCTAACCTTCGGCACCAACGCCAAGAAGGACCCCGAGAGCGGCAAGGAGATCCCCGGCTTCGGATACTACGAGACTATTGCGGGCGGGAGCGGCGCGGGACCAACATGGGACGGCGAGTCCGGGATTCATGTGCATATGACCAATACCCGGATTACGGACCCTGAGATCCTGGAGAAGCGCTATCCGACTCTCCTGCGGCAGTTTACGCTCCGCTCGGGGTCGGGCGGGAAGGGACAGCATCCTGGTGGTGAGGGGGTGATTCGGGAGATTGAGTTTCTGACACCGATGGATTGCTCGATTTTGTCTGAACGGCGGGTGCATCGGCCGTATGGCTTGGAAGGGGGTGGGGATGCGGAACCTGGTATGAACCTTTGGGTCACGAAGGACAAGGACACCGGGGAGGATCATACGGTCAATATCGGTGGGAAGAACACGATTCATGTCGAGACGCATGACCGCATTGTTATTATTACGCCTGGTGGGGGTGGGTGGGGGAAGGAGGAGTAGGTCGTTTCTCACATTAGAGGGCAGTATAGATGAGATGAGATTGTATAGGCCAATAGATACATCATATCCACCGAGGTCCCCTGAACCTTCAACCTTGTGCTTCCGAGCCATTCTAGAAGACGGAAAAGGTTTCCGAAGGCAGATCTATAATTTGAAGCTGATCATACCCACGTCATGACCAACGTCCTGATATCAATTTGACGTCAACACCAACGCCTCATGCAACCACAACCACAACCACAAGCTATAAAACCCAAGATCCCTCAACCAGAACCCCCCAGACAATCAAACAAACCCAACCCACTCTACACCTTCTACGCAAACCTCAAAAGCAAAAAATGACAACCTTCAAACTCAACACCGGCGCCTCCATCCCCGCCCTCGGCTTCGGCACGTGGCAAGACGCCGACGCGCAAGAGAACGCCGTCCTCGAAGCCCTGAAAGCCGGGTACAGACACATCGACACCGCGCGCGTCTACGGCACCGAGCCCGCCGTCGGCCGCGCAATCAAGAAATCCGGCATCCCGCGCGACCAGATCTTCCTCACCACCAAGATCTGGAACAACAAGCACCACCCCGACGACGTGCCGCAGGCTCTACAGGATAGTCTGAACGATCTGGGGCTGGAGTACGTTGATCTGCTGCTTATGCACTGGCCCGTTGCATTCAAGCGCGGAGATGAGCTGTTCCCCAAGACTCAGTCTGGAGGCCCTGATGTGGTCGATACGGATTACCTGGATACGTACAGGGCGATGGAGAAGTTGATCGCAACGGGGAAAGTCAAGGCCATCGGTGTGAGCAACTTCAGCAAAGCTGAGATGGAAAGGGTCCTTGCGAACGCGACGGTCCCGCCGGCTGTGCACCAGCTCGAAGGACACCCGTGGCTGCAGCAGCGGGGGTTCGCGGACTGGCATAAGAAGAACGGGATCCATGTTACGCACTACTCGCCGTTCGGGAACCAGAACGAGATTTATAGTCGGGAGGGCACGATTGGGCGGTTGATTGAGGACCCCGTGCTGGTTGAGATCGGCAAGAAGTATGGGAAGAGTGCGGCGCAGGTGGCGCTTGCTTGGGGGGTTAGTGAGGGACATAGTGTCCTGCCGAAGAGTAAGACGCCTGAGCGGATTCGGCAGAATCTGGAGGGGGACTTTAAGCTTGACCAGGAGGATGTCAAGAAGATCAGGGGGATTGATCGGAAGTTGAGGTTTAATGACTCCAGTGAGGATTTTGGGTATGATTTGTTCAAGGACCTTGATGGGAAGAAATAGGAATCCAGTCGGGGATGGTGGTGCTTGATATGACCTGTATGATATGATAATGAATCTTTTGATGCACCTTCATGGTTTCTTGTCCCCTTGTTCATTGCTTCTAGATGATGATTATACGGGATATGCCTGCTTATCCGCATACGCATACGCACTCCATCGTAAACAGCAAAGATCATCCTTCAGCCCTGCCTACGTGGGGCAAACCATCTGATCAGCGTATATAAACATCGATCTCCGTCATTTCTTCCCTTCCTTCATCTTAGTCCCTCGACGTTTCTCACTGTCGCCAAAATTCCCTCCAACATGGCCTTCCAACGCCCACTCCAACTACTCACCTGCTTCACCCTACTCTTCAGTCGGATTAAACTTGGAAATGGAGCAGCCACAGCGCGTCCCTACTCAGCCCGCATGGCCGACAGCGTGATGCTGCGCGGACAGGCAATTCACGACGACTCAAGTGATTCGTCGGGTTTATTGCAGGTTGGGACGTTCCAGACGGCTCTCTTGGATCTGGTCGAGTCACCGTCCGCTCAGTACCTGGAACAGGACTGGGAATCGTTTCTCTCGCGCAGCGCAGATAGTGTTGTTGGACTGGTTGATAATGCGACGCAGGACACGCAGTTCCCGCTTGATCGGCTGAGTGTGGGGAAAGGGTTATTGTATCAGTAAGTAAGACAGCTAATTTTACATGGAGGAAAGCTAAGGGTGATCTAGGTACGAGCGGACCGGGAACGAGACGTATAAAGATGCACTCGATGCCCTGCGTCTGTCGATTGACCTCCAGCCACGGAACCAATATGGTGCGTAGACCCCCTTCTGTCCTTATCGATCCACCTTTCTGAACATTTATAGGCGGCCTTTGGTACTACGTCTATCCCAACTGGAGCTATCTCGACGGAATGTTCAGCCTCCTCTCGTTTCTCCCACTCTACACATCCGCATTCTCCCCATCCAACAGTTCCTCTACGACAGACTCCGTGCTATACCAACTCGACCTCCTCTGGACGCACTGCCACGACAACGCAACAGACCTCCTCTTCCACGGCTACGACGCATCAAAGACAGCCGTGTGGGCGGATCCAGTAACCGGCGCGAGCCCCTATGTCTGGATTCGGGCACTGGGCTGGTTTATGATGGGGCTAGTTGATTTCCTCGAGCTGCATCTAACCGAGCTAGAAGGCAGGCTGGGCATTTGGCATGGACGGTTCATTTCCCTCTCCAACGCACTCCTTGACACCGTTGACGAAGGTTCCGGCGCCTGGTGGCAAGTCCTCAATGCACCCGGGCGCGAGGGCAACTACATCGAGTCCAGCGGGAGCGCGATGTTCGTTTATACGCTGCTCAAGGGTGTAAGGCTTGGCCTTTTGGAGGATACGGTCAAGAACAACTATACCACCGTTGCCGAGAGAGCTTATCAGACGCTCGTGGAGAGATTTGTTGATGAGAATGAGGATGGGACGCTGAGTTATAACGGTACCGTGGGTGTTTGCAGTTTGAATTCGACGGCGAGCTATGAGGTATGTGCCCTATGTTTATGAGAGAAAGTTTGAAGAAGACTAATTATGCGTTTTTAGTACTATGTCAATCAACCGCTTGTATACGATAGCGTCTTGGGTTCAGCGGCGTTCATCCGGGCGAGTATAGAGCATGAGCTCTACAAGGCATAATGCAGCTTTCCGCTCGTTTCGCAGTGGGATCTAAAAGGGGTGAAAGAAGTTTGAAGGAGTGCCAAACCTATCTAGAGCGCCGATCTTACACAGCCACAATAAAAAGGAACGAAGTATGATATAACCCCAGTTGCCTCATCGTAAATCAAAGGTATACACAGGTATTCCAACCGAGTTCATGCTGCAAAGAAACATTGGAAACCGCACCCCGAGCCATCCTGAGGACGAAATTGATAAAACAACCCGCATCCGAAACTATATATAGCCAGTCTGAAGGACCGTACCTGCCGCCCATATCCAGACATACACATACGATGACAAGATATCATCTTAATAGAAGGTTCCATGCTTGACCTCCCTCCGCTCTGAGCCATCAGGGTAGCGCCAGTAAAGATTGACCGCGTCCCAAGTGGCATTGGCGCTGCCAGGCGCCACCAGCCCGCTACCCTCGAGATCCGAGATGAAGGTGGACATCCAAAACCGGCATCCCTCCCATTCCTCCGTGAAGTTATACCTATCACGTCCATTCGAGTTGATGATGTCGATGATCGTGCGGACCGTAGCCTGAGCCCTGAGCGGGAAAGTCAGGGCCTTGATGGCGTTGTGCGAACAAACGTATGTCTTGGACGCGATGTTGATTTTGCCTCGCTGCCCGTCGGAGCCGTATCCTGGGGCCATGTCCAGGCGGACAGATTCACGCTCCGAGATCTGCAGAAAGGTAGCCCAGTGGTTGGTTGGAGGGTTCCCATCTTCGTCGCCTGCGTTCTTCTCGTTCTTGTAGCCGCAGATATGGATGTATTCGACTGGGGCTTCCAGGTCGGCAGGGTTGAAATCGTCATCTTCGTAGTTTGAGTTCATTTTTGCCTTGAAGTGGGTTAACTTTAGCGGGATGGACTTTTAAGCTGGATATGGACGGTTTGTTGGTTTACCGGGCGGAGTTGGATAGATAAGAGCTGGAGACTTCGACCACGGCCGGACTTGGTGGGGGACTTTGTAGGAAGATGGTTTTGAGCTCGGTTCGTGGTTAGAATACTTCATCTTGTCCCGGAAACGGGATCGAATTTATGCTCCGTTCAGTTTCCAAGTGATTACGACGCTGGCCACATGTTGTTTGAGTAGAGGCTCATGTTCAATTGATTATTGGTAAATAGAACATATTGCCTCGGAGCCTGGCGCTTAGCGAAACCATGGGCTATATATAGTATGTTGGTCTAAAAACAGCACAGCAGCGGGCGCTTAAGGGTATGGCTGGAGTAGTTAATAGATAGTGGATGGCACGTTTCAGTAAGCGCCTGTACAGAGCAGTGTTCATTCCTTCCCATGAGACATTAACAAATCAAAATTAGACAACGCGAGCGAACAGAAATCACTTTACAACGCGTCTTGAAGGGCCTCCCTTTTCCAATAGCTCGAATCTCCTACCGACAGCGAAACGTGTGAATTTAGAACGCATGATCCGGAGCATGCGTGCGTCAGCCTCGTGATAGCCGACCGCCATCCAGACAAAGAGATGCCATCGCAACCGATCCATGAGCCCCCAGTCCCGCGGGATGTTAAAGTTATACATTCCCGCATACTCGAAGGTCACCGGATAGAACCCAGCGATGTCCCAGTCCAACAGCCAAAGCTGGCCCGAAGGCGAAACAAGAAGGTTGCGCGGCGCAAGGTCACCATGTGTCAAGACAAACGGATCGATGGTGAGCGGAGTGACATCCTTGAAGTCGGGCGCTCGCGGCAGCTTTGCCTCTTGGAAGGCCCGCTTCCCCGAGGTAAAGTTCCCCCAGAATCGGAAGAAGTGGGCGAATTCGGCTCGCCCCGAGTGCGCCGGAAGCTCGAAGCGATCCTCCAGCCAGAACGATCTGCATGCGCCTGTCGCGAGCGATCCGGCGGTTGGAGACGTGACGGATCTGAGTATTTTCACGAAGCGCCGCAGCTGCAGGCCGAGTTTGAGGGTCATGAACCAGCCCAATTTCTTCCAGACGACGTCCAGCGTAGTCCCCTCGATTCGATCCATGACGGTAAAGGCAGTGGCCTCGTTCTTGATGACCCTGCGGACGGACGTACTGCGGATGCCAAGCTGGCTGGCGACTTTGGCGGCCAGCAGGGCATCGTCGACCTCGGAAGGCTGATAGTGCTTGGCGATGAGATGCGGCGAGAGGTTGCAGGTCCGCCAGACGACAGGGTCGACTGAGGGCGACGCTCTGATGTGTTGAATCAGTTCTGAGTCTGTGTATTCGTTTAGCAGCTCTTCGGAAAAGTCGGACGCCATGGCTAGGTATGAGAATAGATGAGAATACGGATGAAGAGTGGAGAGATGGAATGGAAGTGGAGATGAATGCGAAAGTTCCAGGCGTCAACAAGTGTCCGGAATTCCTGTTTTTCCGTTCCCGCCACGGCCTTGTATAGAGCTAGTAGTTTATATAAATACTGTATAAGAAGAGTCGTTAATTAGATTAATTACTAAGAAATTAAATAAAAAGCAAGATATTATATAAAAGCTAGAGCTAACTAGTAGTTTATATAAATGATCTAATTCTAAGCCTCTAAAAAATATTAAATAATAAAAAAACCTATTTTTTAAAAAAGAATTGTTAGAAAATTAACTTTTTGAAATATTTTAGATATTTATAATATTATAGATATTATAATGATACAGGCAAGTAATTGAATAATAAATATTATAATAATTTAATTTAGGCTGTTCAAGGCGCCTAAGTGCTATTATAGCGCCGTTGAAGCTCTCTACGGTAAGTGTTCTCCAACACTGGCTAACACTTTATATCAAGTGCCCTGTGGTGTGAATGGAGTGTGGGACAACATGGATCCTGGATCTCTTCCCTTTGAACTGACCAGAGTTATGCTGATAAATTTGTCTATGTATATACATATACATCCTTTCTGGCAGTGACAGATACATCATTTCTCCTTCGACCTATAGGATTGCATAGCAAGTGACTTGGATAACAAATAGGTCTGTTGCAAACCTTGGAAGGATCTTGGCACAGCAATTTATTGATTGAAAACCACATTCTCATCCATCCTGTTCACAATCTCAAGCCCTATGCAGGACAGGAGAGTCCCAGGCATAGCTGGAGGTCAGGTATCTGTGAGCACATCTCTTCCTCAGCATTTCGAGTGTCGTACCTCACTTCTTAGCCATACAACTTCGCAGCTGGGATTCAATGCGAAGGCTTTTCAAGCTGGCAGTGACCTTGGTGGGGTGTGGTACTGGAACCGGTACTCAGGGGGCTGGGCTTATCGACCCAGAGTAGCCCTACTACCAGCTAGGGATACAAGAGGTTTAATAAGACTTCCAGTTTCCCAGACTCTTTTTTAACCAGCATTAGATTGGGAGGTATTTCGCGCACGGTGATAACGTACTGTGCAAAGTTGAAGAAGGACATTCAATCATATCGCCCGCAAACTAGCCCATCTGGGATGTAAACCGGTCTCAGTGAACAGTTACTTAACTGACAAAGGTGAGGAAGGCTTCATGTGTAGGTCGTTCTAAGCTGCTTGTTGTTGTTCGTCTCTAGATATTTCCACCGCCAGATGCCAATCTAAATGCTCTAGAACGCCATGTCCAGGGACAGAGCGGTTGCAATGCGGGCAATGATAGCTACCAGACCCCGGGCTTTCCTCAGCCTGCACCGCGCCCACTGCATCACGCACCATCGACCCCCCAAAATAGGAGGAAATGGAGCGACTGCGTTGGGGCGTCACTTGGAAACCCGAGAGCCGCAATGACAGCCCCTGACAAGGCCATAGGCTCGCATCCCTGGCGAATTTCATCAACAGGGCCTGCGCGGCTTGCATGAGTGAAGTATCCGATATAGGCATTCCCGAAGGAAAAACGGCCTGCCTGGAACGCCCAGGGCCGAACCGGCCATCAACATGGTGACATAGGGTAAGAGTTGTCGGACGCAGTTGATAGCCCTCAGCTTCGAGTTCGTCCGGGGTGGATCCGGCCGAGCAAGTCTGCAACGAAAATCCGAAGCCAAGGGATGGCTCGATCGGCCGAGATCTTTGGGACAAACGTCTTGGCTGATAACATTGATTCAGCGTGTGTGCGAGAGACCACTTCGCTGACATCGACGCCGCGGATGGTATTGTAGACCCAGCGGCCGGCTTCCACCCCCACAGCCAATTATAGCTGCGGCAGACTCACCAACAACAGCGCAGGAACCTGATTAGTCTGGAACTCGCGCACAAGCCGCCGTCCAAGGTCTTGTCCAAGGCCGCGGATTTTTGTCACTCGGCAGGACAACAGGAAACCAGGGACTACGTTGGGCAGCACCACCATCTGGCCGTTTAGCTTGTTCTGCCCGGCGGCCAGCTTTGCCAGCATTTTGTTCTGCGCGACGCCCGCCAAACAGGTGTATTTCAGCTACCGCAGGATCTCGTCCCTAAGGCGGTTAATAATCTACAATCTAATGTTAAACGCAATCTCGTCCCAGTCGGGGGTGTTTTTAGTATCCTCCACTACACCTGCGGATCCCCAAACGTGCGCACTATCCCACCCCTCAACCTCACCTTTACAACTCTTAGTAATCTAGGGGTACCTTTGAATAAGGGCTTTAGATGCTTTAAAATTATTATAAATATATATTTTTACTATTTTAATTTTATTTTTAACCTTTTTTTTTTTTTTACTCCCCGTGGTATAATAACTAAAATTAAGGCGTGTATTTTTAATTAGCCTACAGGCCTTAATTTAGCTAACTTTACCTAGTTATAAAATTTTTTATTTTTTTTTAATTTTTATATTATAAAAAAATTAAAAAAAAAGGGCCCTAGTAAGCCTATTTTTCCCCTTTTATTATTAAAGGTAATAGCATGCTAACTTTTTAACCTAGCCTAGCTATAAAAATTTTTTATAATTAATTTAATAAGTAGGAATACTAAGTATATATTAAATATAAAGTTTTTATAAGCTTTATAGCTATTATTAATAGCTTTATAACTAGGTAAAAAACTTAAAATTAAAAAGCTTTTATTTATAATATTTATAATAAATTTATATACTTTATTTTTTTAAAAAGCTATATTAATATTAATAATATTAATTATATTTTTTTACATGTATATAATTAACTTATTATTATAATAATTTTTAGTAAGACTATTACCTAGGGGAAAATAAGTTTAATTTTTAAAAATTTAAGGGTTTAACCTACCTTTTTTAAAATAAGTTTTTTTATTTTAATTAATACCACCCTAGGTAAGATGCCCTTATTAAGTATCTTAATAGTTTAATTAATATATAATAGCTTTATTATAGCCTTAACCACGCAAGATAATTATAAGGTGTTAATTACTTTTTTTAATAATAAGTTAATAACGCGCCTTAAAGTATATATTATTTAATAAGCTTTTATTAAGTATATACTAGGCTTAACTATAATTATAGTTATTTTTAAAATTAATATTACCCACACGGGCTAGGCTATTATCCCTAATAACTTTTTTATTAAAAACCTTTTAATAATTAATAAAGTGGTTAATATAATTTACTATACCCTAAATATTATTAATATATATATTTTTTAAAAGTAATATAATTACATGATGTAAGAAGTGCCTAGTATTATTTTAATATATAATAATAATAAAATAAATATTATAAAGTTAATTTAGGATAAAATTATAACCTAAACTAAATTAAAATTAGTTAAGCTTACTTTTTTAAAATATAGGCCTAATTTTAATACTAAATATATTACTTAAGTAGTATTTTTTTTAAAGTAGCCTAGGGCCTTTACTTTATTTAATTAAAATAAGTATTATTAGCTTATTAAAAAATACTAGCTAATTTTTTAATATAACCCTAGCTACTAGGAATACTACTACCTAGTGTAATATAATTATATAATATATTATATATAATATAGTATAATAGCCATAAACTACCTAGGTTTTATTAATTTAAATTATAAAAATCTTACATGCTATATAAATTACTTAGGCCTTTAATTAATAAAATATAATAACTACCTAGTAGCCCCTAGGTATAAAAATAAAAAACTAGTTTACTTATTTAAAAAAAAACTTAATAATATATATTATTATAATACCTATTAATACTAGAATATATATACTTAGGTTAATATTAATACCTAGCTTTAGGCTAAAACTAAGTAATTTTTATTTTAAAAAAACCTTTAAAAACACACCGCGGAAAAGCTAAAGGTAAATAAGCAAGGCTTTATAATAATTACTAATTATTATACCTTATGGTTTAATATTTTTACTAGTAATTAAAACCTTAAATAACTTTTTATTAAATTAATTTTACTTATTTTAGCTAGTGCGGGCATGCCTTTTTTACCCTAAGTAATAAAAATTAATATTAAATCCCCCTTTAAGCTTTAATAATAAAATATTAAAAAAAAATTATAATAACTATTATTAAAATAATACTTAATAATAATAAGATTTTATTATTTACTAGGCTAATATAAGTAGGTTTATACCTAGCTATATTATAATTTTATAACTAGCTTATAAATAAGGCTATAATATTACTTATATTTAAAAGTCTTAAATTATTATAAATATAAAAACCTAAAATTATTTAATATATAAGTACTACGCGCTAGTAAATACCTAAAATAATTATAAAAATTAATTAAAAAAGTATTTTAAAATACTTATTTATATTTATAAAGGGGAAGTGCTGCACGCTAAATAATATTATTTAATATAAAGCTAAAACATGCTATAACTTATAATAAATAATATTAAGGTTTTAAATATATATTAAAAACTAATTACTTATAAAATAATTAATTACCTAATTATACTAATCCCTACCCTAAACTATATAATTAATAAAAATTTTAATACTATTTATAATACCTTTAAGCCCGGGGTAAATAACCTATATTATAGTAGTAAAATTATTAAATAAGCTAGTAATAATAATATTAATTATATTAATAAGCTAGGCATGGCTATATATAAAGCTAGCTATATTTTTAATTTAATTTTTTTAAATATTTTTTTTACCTGCATGCTAGTAATACTTAAGTTATATAATAATTTTAATTATTAAATTTTAGTTATTATAATACCAGGGCGTGAAGAAAAAATACTAAAATAATATTATTATAATATATTAAATCACAAGTTTAAGCACCTAGCTAAGTTAGTAAAAAATAAAATAATATTTTTTTTAGCCTAAAAAACTTAAAAATATAAAGGTATTAAATTAATATATTAAATCCCTTAGTAATACTATTATAAAAGTTATATAAGTAATTAATAAAT